GATAATTAGTTATGGATTGATCACCATTATTGGCCAAAAATGCAAGGCTTTTAAATATATAGACAGTCCTCAACTTATGACGATAATGGAGCCTAGAATTTCTGCTTTATGTCATGATGGTCGCAAATCAAGGCACCCATGTGAACAATCAAACAAAATGTGGCAATCTTAAAGTGAATGTTACTGTCATTAATTGGTCATTAAATGAATACTATGGTTGTTAAGTAAACACATTGCCTGCAATGGGGTGTTTTTTTTACTAGAAACCAGAAGTAGACATGGTCATGTAAATGCAATTTGAGACTTTTTTATCATTTTCCAATCTCCTATTGGATAAAATGGGTTCGTCTTATGACCACGTGATTCACTCAGTCACTCACCACATAACGATTATGATTACTTGCTTAACAACTCTCATAAAACAATTGTAAAAATTGAATCCAGTCACCTGGTGCCTCGATTTATGACCAAAATCCCAGTCCCAATTGTGGTTGTAAATCAAGGATCACTGGTAACTTGGAGCAGTGCTTTTCAGCCTTAGCAGTTTCAAGGCTGACTCCCAGAAATGCTGATTTTTCTGTCTCTTTGGCTTGTACAATGCTGTACAAGGAAGAAAGCACAGGCTGGGAAAAGTAAGGAATGAGTAATCAGGCCTCACCCAAGGAAGGGAAATTTCTTACTCAATCAATACCCTTTGCTTCATCTCTCATGTGAGGAAACCCATTGTTGGTATTCTCTCTGGGATTAGTTTTAAGAGGCTTCTGATCCATTGACCCTTCTAGGCATAAATATTGTTGGTTCCAGAGATGATTCAGTCATAAGAAAGTAGAGAGATTATTGTGTGACTTCTTCACTCAGTACCATTTTGCCCCCCTTGGCCTTTTGGGTGTGGGGAGATTCAAAACCTTAAATTGAGGGGAAGATCTCCCACTTGCTTGCTTCCCCTTCTGGACTGTTTTTTTTTTTTTAAATAAAAATATGTTTATGAGAGGCTCTTGGTACTCTCTGAGCTTGGTTATTTTCTTGCAGACGTTTCATTACCCAATCTAGGTAATACCATCAGTGTAGTAGTAAGGAATGGGACAGTGGTGAAATCCAAATTTTTTTACTACCGGTTCTGTGGGCGTGGCTTGGTGGGTGTGGTGTGGCTTGGTGGGCGTGGCAGGGGAAGGATACTGCGAAATCCCCGTTCCCTCCCCACTCCTGGGGGAAGGATACTGCAAAATTCCCCTTCCCTCCCCACTCCAGGGGAAGGATACTGCAAAATCCTCATTCCCTCCCCACTCCTGGGGGAAGGATATTGCAAAATCTCCATTCCCACCCCACACTGGGGCCAGCCAGAGGTGATATTTGCCGGTTCTCTGAACTGCTCAAAATTTCCACTACTGGTTCTCCAGAACCTGTCAGAACCTGCTGGATTTTACCCCTGGGTTGGGAGTGGTCTTGAAAGACTGCTTACTGTTAGCTTGTTTGGCAGTTCCTTGATTGGAACGTTGTTTACTTTTTGATTGTTGGTCTGGTGTTAATCTTATATTCATTTGATTGACATTGACAGGGCAAGTTACCAGAATATAAATTGAGAGCAAACCGCATTCTTTACTAGTGAAAACAACTAAACTCAGAGAGTTCTAAAACCCTCTCAATTTCAACCATGAACTAAAAATATTCTCCTTTATTGATATCTGTTTATCTCTAGTTCCAGAATGCAGGTTTTGTATTTGAATGTTCCACCATTACAGTATTATCATTGCAGTTCACTGGAGCACTGCAATAGGCTAATACTCACCCCATGGACTGCCATTTTATATATCTAAAATGTGGGGGAAATAGGAGGGGGAAGCTGAGTTGGATATGTTTGCTGCGTTTTTTGTAAAAATAATAAAGATGGGATATATATGTAACTCAATGCAGCATACATATCCAACCCACCTTCCCCACAACAACAACCCTGTGAGGTAAGATAGACTGAGAGAGAGTGATTGGCCAAAGTCACCTTTTCATAGTTAAGGTGGGACTAGAACGCTCAGTCTCCCACTGATTGGTCCAAGTCACCCAGCTGGCTTTCATGGTTAAGGCAGAACTTGAACTCCCAGTCCCTTGTTTCCTAGCCTGGTGCCTTAAACCCACTAGTCCAAACTGACTCTCCTGCCATTGAGATTCGATGATTCACTAATGAAAAGGCAGGAAATTCCCTCATCTGGTGCCAATATTTTTACTGTATTGCTTTTGGGTGGAACCCATTATTTCTTTTAAGCTTCTTTTAAAAAGTTAGGGAGAACAAAAACCGGAAGGAAAGGCGAGGCACGAAGTACTCCCGAAAGAATCATCTCTATTCATGTCCGTGTTTTAAATTCTAGCTATACATATATAAGAACTACACTTTTCTGAGAGTTTAACTCTTGGGGATTAAGGATGGACATTCAGAGAAGTAATGAAATATAAGGTTTTATCCTAAAGCACTCTCATAGGTTATCCTTGCAATATTTTTGGAAAATGTATTTATCTCAGGTTTCTCCTTGTTTGTTTTTAAAATGTCTTGGGTGGGGGTGGGGGGGGTGTCTTCTGCTTCTCCAAAAGGAGAAATAGTGACAAGTATCTAGCAAGCACCATGAGTTGAAGGTGCTTGGAAATACATGTTTTCCTACACTGGTGTTTTTTCTGACATTTGAATCACAACTCATAAGATCATTAGAATTGTAGTCAAACATGAGAGGAGCGTGCTGATTGCTAGAGGGCATTTTTTTTCAATTTCCTTCCTTCCTATTTTCCTTCCCTCCTTCATTCCTTTCATCTATCCATCCATCTCAGTCAATCACTTGATTCTGTAACCTGAGCTCTCTTGCACAATACTGTACTTGAGCTAAGATGACCAAAATGGAAATCAGTGAAGCTTCGCACACTAAATTTGACCACACATCATAAAGCCAATTTTTCCAGCACACAGAGCTTTAACCAATATATCCCCCTGTGGTGCTTTTGAACAAAAATCCAAAGCATTGCATTCCTGAGAATTTTGCACCAAGTTACTTGAACCTTTTCACGCTTTATTCAAGTCTTTATCCTGCTGTTGTGTCAACACTGATAAAAGGGCTCCACCTCAAATGTTGTAACACTTCAAAACATGAGACACTTCCAACTGCGATCTTATTGGCATTCAAAGCTTTGGTTGGGAAATATGCATAGTTCTCTGAAATGAGAAGCTTCAGTTTTTGATTAGACGTATTTGAGGTACTGAAATGGCCCAAAACAAGGGAATTGGGAGCCCCGAGCAAACTTATTTGTTTTCTGTCCATAACTTGTTGAGGAGTCAGAAGAAATATTTTTTTTCAATTTATATTCTGATTTGCTACCAAGAACTAAAGGATGGTTTGGGAACTCTGGGAATTGAAGTCCACCCATCTTAAAAGTTGCCAAGTTTGAAAAAACAATGCTTTAGATAGAGATTGATCAGGCTAGGATTGGGATACCCATCTAAAATAATTGCAGACAAAACTTTTATGACATTTTAGAGAATAGAAATGAGCTGGAAGGGACCTTGGAGATTTTATAATCCAGCCTCTGTCCAAGCAGGAGAACCTATACCATTTCAGGTAACTGTCTGTCTAGTAGTATCTTCTTAAAAACCTCCAGTGATGGAATGGCCACAATTTCTGGAGGCAAGCTGTTCCACTGGTTAATTGTCCTCACTGTTAGGAAGTTATTCCTTAATCCCAGGTTGCTTCTCTGATTAGTTTCCACCCATTGCTTCTTGTCCCGCCCTCTGGTGCTTTGGAGAATAATTTGACCCTCTCTTCTTTGTGGCAGACCCTCAAATACTGGAACACTGCTATCAGGTCAATCCTAATCCTTCTTTTCTTTAGACTAGCCAAACCCAAATCTTTCATGTTTTAGTCTCCAGGCTAAAATTGATCATCCCAATTGGTCTTCTCTGAACTTTTTCCAAAGTCTCAACATCTTTTTTGTAGTATGGTGACCAAAATTGGTTGCAGTATTCCAGGCGTGGCCTTACTGGGGTTTTATAAAGCAGTACTACATGTGATCTTGATTCTATGCCTCTTTATACAAGAGGCATAGAATCTTTATACAACCCAGGATTTATACAACCCAGGATTGTATTAGCTTTTTTGTCGGCTGTTGCATGATTCTGGCTCAAGTGATCATCTACTGGGATTCAAAGGTCCCTCTCACAGTTACTATTTTTGAGCCAGGTCTCACCTAATCTGTATTTATACTTTTGATTTTTCCTGCCTAAATGTAAAACTTTGCTTTTCTCCGCATTAAAATTCTTTTTTTTTTTTTTGGATAGGACCTGCCCATAGATCTTTTTGGATCCTGAGATTGTCTTCAGGGGTGTTGGCTATTCCTGCCTGCCTAATTCTCTTCTGGGGACTGTAAACTGAGACCCAGATAATGTTTTCTTGGGTTTTTATATATATATAAAAACCCAAGAAATAGATAGCTTGAAATAGCTTGAAATAGATCTATACTAGTCTCCCTTTATTTCTTTATCAGCAAAATATAAATTTGGTATAAAATGGTTTGTTGTGAATGCGACTGCTTGAGGGTTCCTGGATTGGAGCTGAAAGGCGAAAGGGAGCAGAATGCCCCCTCCCACATGTTGGGGTAGACCAGGTGTCTCAATAGAAAAACACTTAATCTTTCCCCTGGTTCAAGCTGATGAAGGGAGAACTTGTGGCTCAGAAGGTTAATTCAACTGCCTAACATACAGGAAGCCCAAGTTTGAATCCGAGTAAGGGTAGCTGATGAAAGCTAAAAAGCTTGAAATAGATCTATACTAGTCTCCCCTTATTTCTTTATCAGCAAAATATAAATTTGGTGTGTGTGTGTGTGTGTATGTATGTATGTAGGTCTCATATCATCCTGTTTCTTCCACCTTTTTTTTTATTTTTCAAAGAAAGAACTAGAGCATCTGTGGAAAGTCTCAAAAACCAAACGTCTGGGAGATGATTTAAGCTTACCCATATAGTACAACAACACTGTTCTGCCATTTTACAAATAACAATTTTAATATAAAGTTTAATGAACAATTTCTTTTTTTCCCCCTAAGACATCACCGTGGGGGGTGGGGGGCGGGGAGTACACCACACCAAGGCACCACAAATAACTGACACAACGCTCAAAAGCGCTCCAAACAAGTTTTACATACTAATTCAAAGCTACACCCAAGGCTTGGTCCCAAATCTGACCTCTGGATCTTCAGAGGTGAATTTTTGTATTGTATCAGAAAAGTTCGTACGGTCTCCATGTACAGGTAGTTCTCGAGTTACAACCATTCATTTAGTGGCCATTTGAAGTTATAACAGCACTGAAAAAAATGAACAGTTTTCACACTTATGACCGTTGCAGCATCCCCATGGTTATATGATCGAAATTCAGGGGCTTAGCAACTGAAATATATTTATCCCAATTGCACTCTCCCAGGGTCATGTTTTCACCATTTTGTTAACTTTCTCAGCCGGCTTCTAACAAGTCAATGGAGAAAACCAGACTCACTTAACAACCGCATGATTCACAATAGCTGCAGTGATTCGCTTAACAACTGTGACGAAAGATTGTAAAGTAAGGTACACCTCAACTGCCTCGCTTAATGACAGAAATTTTGTGGTTGTAGTTAAGGACTACCTGTATCAACTCTCAAATCCACAACCTTGCAGTGAAAGGCAACTGGGCGTGAAGATGGAATAGTGTTAACAATTTGGCCTTGTAAATATTTTAGGGTGAAGACACTGGTTACTTTGGAAGTGAAAGTCTGACCAACTAATCCCAACTAAATCCAAGTTAATTGGACAGCAAGTAATTTTACTAGCTGTACTCTTATGACAGGAGTGTCAAACTCGATTTCATTGAGGGCCGCATCAGGGTTGTGTTTGAACTTGGCGGACTGGGGGGCGTGGCCAGGGTGGGCGTGGCCAGTTTGTCGTCACTCGTGTCAGGGGCGCCTGTGGCAGCCCGAGTGCTCTGCCGGTGAAAATGGGCACTGAACTCCGTTTTCAGCCGCGATGGCTTCCTGCAACCCTCTGCCAGCGAATACGGAGCTTGGGAGGGCCTCATGCAGCCCCCCGCAAGCTCCGTTTTCAGCTGTGATGGCCTCCTGCAACACTCTGCCAGCAAAAACAGAGCTTCGGTTGTGGCCGCTTCAGCACTGCCATGCTTCTGTGCCATCATGGTCAACCATGATCACGTGATCTTCGTGAGGATATCCCTGCCTCTCCTGTGCCCAATCAGCTGGCGGTAAGGGCTAATGGGGGAGTAGCTATTGGCTACTCTGGAATTGAGGCCAAAATCTGAAATACCTTAATGGCAGTGGTCAGTGAAGAAAGGACAAGGAAGCTACACGGATGGCTGCTGCTGAGAAAGGGCTGGCTGGAGATGCCTATGGGTGCACCCTCTTCCTCTCTGGAGGGAAGGGGGCCTTGGGGCAGGCCAGAATGGGAAGTTTTTCTCACAATCTATGGCTCCCATTGGTCCCACTCCTCCCAGCAAAGTGGTAGGCTGTTCTACAGGTCAACCAAGGAAGAGGAGAGACCCTGCTGAGGCTTATGAGGGGAGGGGAAATGGTGCCAGCCTATATTATATATGAAAAAGAAGGATGACCCAATCAGTCACAAATTGTTTAATACTGCATTATTTTTCAACGCAGGCTGGCAAATAATGTTGATTTGGAGGAAAGGGTCTTGGGAGACCTCCAGAGATCCTAAGACCACACTTCTTTAAGAAACATTGCTTTAGAGCAAGGGTCTCCAAACTTGGCAACTTTAAAACTTGTGGACTTTAGCTTCCAGAATTCTGGGAGCTGAAGTCCACAAGTCTTAAAGTTGGCCAACCCCTGCTTTACAGAAACACAAAAGCTTCTCCACCCAAAATTTTGGACTAGATATTTGGGGGCAAGGGCTTATAAGTAAAAGCCTTCTAAATTTTAATTTTAATTCTAAATCTAAATTTTAAGATAGGTAACTTAAATATTGGGACAGTCACATATTTAATATTGGGACAGTCACATCCAAAGGAACAAATCTTGCAAAAGCATTTCCAGGGTTTCCATCAATAACAAACCCAGGTGCCATCAAGTCCAAAGAGACTTACACTCAAGTAAGATTCTCCTTCACACATCGTGATGAAACATGCTTAACCATGATTCATTGGGGGGGATGGGGAAAATACACCCTAACATACAATTCGATGAGTTGGCTCAACATGCTAAGCCATGGTATATAAGCTGCAACACGTTCCCACAACCAGAGTCAAATAAACCACAGGATGGCTTAATTATATTAGGTGAGCCCAACTTCACACTGGAGGTGTAGGAAAATTCAGGCTGCTCCACAAAATACTGGCTCACAGTCTTGCACAGAGGAAACCCCTGTGCTGGTAAGATGGCAGCTTAAAAGAGATTCAGGTTTTGTTAACGGAAAACATTATCTACCGGACAATACCAAAACAGAAACATGTCTGCCCAATTTGATATGATAGCAACAGCAATAGCACATAGACTTATATACCGCTTCACAGTGCTTTCCAGCCCTCTCTAAGCAGTTTACAGTCAGCATCTCGCTCCCAACAATCTGGGTCTTCATTTTACCGACCTCGAAAGGATGGAAGGCTGAGTCAACCTTGAGCCGGCGAGAATCGAGCTGGCGACAGCCTGCAGTCAGCAGAAGTAGCCTGCAGTACTGCATTCTGACCACTGCGCCAACGCGGTTCTATAAATAAAAGATACAGGCACATATATACATAGACAAAATACATACACACACATTTAAAGTGGCAGGCCATGTTAGTCACCAGGCTGAATATGCAGAGTGTTCACAAAGACCTTATCAGGAGTATTATAGCTGGGCTTCAAATATCTAGATGACAGTAAACAGGAACCAAAACTGCCTGCCTGCTGCCACTTAAGGGTCACCCAGGTTTCTGCAGACAAGATACGGTAGCGCCAGCCTTATGGAGACACTGTTAAATGGCCACTGTCCGGAGGCACATTGATATGGCAATCAGGATGCTGGAAACAAGCATTGTCCAGCTATCTTGGGACAAAGAGAAGGCTCTTTAAAAGGCTCCTGGTACAGCAGACGCGGGGTAGAAACTGTGTAAGTTAGAGGGAGGATTGGTCCCTTCCTTTAGTAGACAGTACTATATGTATTGGTAGGACAGTCACATCTGACACAGAAAGCAGAAGACAGAGTTGTACAATCTCTGTCTTCAAAAACCTTGAGCGTAGGCACCATCAACATTGCATATCTCCACTTAAAAAGCAGAAGGCTGCCTCGCCTCAGGGCAATCATAATCACCATCAAAGGAGAAAAACCTACATTTAATGGACTTCCCACCCCTCCCTCATAATTTCAAGGCTTCTTCTGCATGACAATATGGCACGTTGAGGTGAGGCCCTTGACATTTATGTCTCTTTTCCATTGGAATCTGTGGGCCTTTCTGCCCCATCCTCACAGCATTACTGAAGGTAGCCGTTGCCAAAGTTCTCCAGAAGGTTACTTTGGGCAACCCACAAGTAATAACCAATAAACAGAAAAGCAAAAACCTGAAGCGTTTTAAGGCTGAAGCTTCCACTCTTGGTATTTCCAGTTTTCAGAAATGCAGGAAAATCCTCTATCCCAAGATTTTGAAGAGGTATAGCTGGTCAGAATACAGCATATGAGATTGGATGGCCCGCTGGCCTAATTCAATTTATTTCCACAAGTTTGTAATCCAGCTGTTTCACAGTGCAGGGCAAAACATGCTATGAAAAGGAATTTTTCCCATCTGTGCCTTCCAAATGTACATGAACTTCAGCCTCCATTATCCCTAGGAAGCCACAGGGCTATTTGTTTAATTATTAGATTTATCACGCCTTTATTTTATACAACTTAAAGTGATATCCATCAGCCTCCTGCCTATTTTCCCAACACCTGAGGATGTGGGCCTGGGCTGAAAAGAGAGCGACTGCCCTCAAGTCGCTCAGCCAGATTCCTATATTTTATGGAGGACTGAAGTTTAGAATACGGGTAATCCTTGACTTACGACAGTTTGCTTAGTGATCATTTAAAGTAACAACAGCACTGAAAAAAGCGACTCGTGACCGTTTTTCACACTTATGACCGTTGCCGACGGTCATAGGATCAAAATTTGGATGCGTGGGAACTGACTCGTATTTATGACAGCTGTTGCGTCCCCGGGTGACCTTTTTACATGCAAAATCAATGGGGAAGCCAGATTCACTTAATAACCATGTTACTAATTGAACAACTGCAGTGATTCATTGAACACCTGTGGCAAGAAAGGTCGTAAAAAGGGGAACAAAATTCACTTAGCAAATGTTTCGTTTAGCAACAGAACTCTGGGCATCAATCACAGTCGTAAATTGAAGATTACTCATATATCTAAGAGAGGACTGAAGGGAAGACTAGGGAAGCTGAAATCCGATACATCCGGAGGGCACCAATTTGAAAAGAGTTGCCTATGGAGGAAGGCTGGATTTGATGCTTATGTGCATCTTTCTTTTATTAAAAGACCTGGAGAACATGTTTTACATGAATTCAGTCCTTTCGAAGAGCTTTCAATATTCTAAACAGAAAATGTTATCCGTGTTTTATCGGCCATGAGGTAAGGAAACACAGTGTGGGGTCAAGCAAGAAACTGACTGGATGCCTGTTTCCAAGCAAAGAGATGATGCATCCTTTTAGTGTTTTTGACAGAGTCCTTTCCTGATTTGTGTGTGTGTGTGTATGTGTGTGTGTGTGTGGTCTTTCAACATGCCCACAGAAGGCAGCGTAGAACCAAGTCTACTTCAACTCTTATTGCAAAAGATCTCCAGTCTGAAACATCAGCCCAATTCACCTCTGCTGTAAAGCAAAACAACAGAAATGCGCAGGCACTGTGGTGACATTTCCAACCCAAGTCACTGAGAAGGCAAATCGCCTTGATCTTTCATATCCACTCAAGAGTTTTAAAAGAAAGAAAGAAGAAAGACCGAAGAGGAAGACGTTGACCAACAGGATCTCGGCTTCTCATGCGTCTTGCAGGTCCGGAATGTCAGAGAGGATCATGGGAGAGCCCAGTTGCAGTTCTTGTTGGAGAGACTCCATGTCAGCAGGGTTCATGCGATGGACTTCCAACCAATCAGCGAGAAGCGAGGCCGAGAGTGGAGCGGAGTCACCTTGACTAATAAAGTGAAATACAAGAAAGAGAGACCAGGAGATGGGATGACGACAAAGCAATGGACAAACAATACAGAAGTCTAAATAATCCGGGTCAGTGTTTCTCGGCAACTCTATGATGGCTGGGGAATTCTGGTAGCTGAAGTCCACACATTTTACAGTTGCCAAGGTTGAGAGAAACTATTCAAAATAAAATCCTAGAGCAGGAGTCCTCAAACTACGGCCCGCGGGCCGGATACATCCTGCCAACCCAATGTATCCGGCCCGCGGAGTGGTAGGATTCAGCCCCACCCCTTGCCCCTCTCCTCCCAGCCACTCCCCACATGGATGGCTTTTTCCGGCTGACGGGGACCCTGGGGAGGAGGTGCCTCGTCTACCATAAGGCTGTGCCGCCCACATTGCCCCTCCTCCAGCCGTTGCCATTATCTTCCACCGTCCGGCCACGCTTCCAAGTTCTGCTAATTTCAATGGTTCGACGCTCACTGCACTGCTGCTGCCGCAAAGGTAAGGCCAAAGGGCGTGGGGGGGGGCCGCTGGCAGAGGGGGTGATGCCGCCGGCCCAGCCACGTGCTCCCAGGCCAGAGGGTGGGTGAGAAGCTGCGGTTGGCTCCCCTCATCCCAGAAGCACCAACTTCACACTCTCCCCTCTCTGCTAATGGCCACGCCCTTCTTCACATTGGATCGCCCAGCAGCGAGGAGGGAGAGGCAGAAGGGGGCAGTCACTAGCAGAGAGGGGAAAGTATTGATGCTTCTTGGACAAGGGAAGCCAGAAAGTGTCTGGATCTCATCCAGCCTCTCTTCCTCTCACAGCCACATGTGTTTCTGCTGCCGTTCCAGAGGCCTGCTGCTTCGGGAGTGAGGGGGAATAAAGAGGCCAGTTGGCACCCGAAGGTTCACTCGTTTGCTTTGCTCTCCGATCTTCGCTCTTGCAATTTTCGCTGCCTTTTCTCTTCCCACCATGGCCCTTCCGATCTTTGAGACTGCAGCCAGGGCGGAGACAGGGAGGGAGCGGAGCATGAGGGAGACGGTGGCGTCAGAGCCCTCCCTGGCTCTTCCCCCAATTGCATTGTTTAATGGACTGCTAAATTGGCAAAATGGATTGCTAAACTGGCCACACCCACCCAGTCACATGACCACCAAGCCACGGCCACCCAATCAGTCCGGGGGCCCCACAACAGTCTGAGGGACCGTGAATTGGCCCCCTGTTTTAAAAGTTTGTGGACCCGTATCTCCAAATGAAATCCTTTTCCGTGGCATGAAGGCAGATCAAATTTAGTAGTAGCTGCTGCAGCATAGCTATTGTGGCCCGCCAGCAGCCTGCACGGACTGTTGCTGATCCCGAAGAGGAGGAGGCTGGTGTGTTGCTGCGCCAGCAGCCTGTGCAGCCGGTGCTCGAGTCAAACAATGAGGCTGAAGAAGATGTGGTGCCAGAGGCAGAGATCCAGTCAGGACCTTCAGAACCTCCAGAGGCTCCTTTAAGTGAAGAGGATGAAGAGGAGGAGCCTCTTCTCAATGCACGTGCACGCAGAGCTGCCAAAAGGCAGGAGTGGTTCCTCAGGAGGAGGTCTCCTCGAGAGTAAGGCTTGGGGCTAATTGGCCACTCCCTTAGCCTATTTAAGACCGTACGCAGCTTGCAACAAGCTGCAGAAAACAACTTTAGTTCGTTAATCATCCTGTTGGGATTTCTCTGCAACCTTGCTTCTGTGCTTTCTGCCAACTCCAGTAAGACTCTGACTATCTTATCTGTGGAATTCTGGCAGGCTGTTAAGAACACGTATTAACAGCCGGCATTTGCTAAAACTGCGTTATTTGAGTAAACTAAGTTTTGTTCAGAGTTTGTGTGTGCTGTGTTCTTTGGGATCCGTAGCTGGGGCAGAATAGCTTTTGATGGAGCCCAAACCGCTCCTCCTTGTCTTACATCTATCAAAAGAATGTTGTCCTGTTTTCAATGGTATCAGGGCAGGTAAAGCCAAAAGAAGAAACACAACCTCTTCGTCTATGGGGGCCATGTTACTTCCTGCTGCCCACCAAGAAGCAAACATTTGTCCCTGAATGCATGTACTCTTCCACCGATTCCATGGCACAAACTTCTCCACACCAAGCCCCCAACAAACAGAATACAAGAAACACCGCTCACCTCTCTCTGTTCTCCCCCACCATGTCAAAAGACTGGTTCAGGAATTCTTCCAGGTCAAATCCAACCCCATAACCAGCACCGCTGCCTTTGGGTGTTCCAGAGAAAACAGGAGGCAAAAGATCTTCCACCTGGAATGAAGAACCAAAGGAAATTAATGTAGGACTACCAACAATTTGATAGGGACGCGGTAGCTCAGTGGCTAAGACGCTGAGCTGGTCGATCGAAAGGTCGGCAGTTCAGTGGTTCGAATCCCTAGTGCTGCGTAATGGGGTGAGCTCCCATTACTTGTCCCAGCTTCTGCCAACCTAGCAGTTCGAAAGAGTGTAAAAAAATGCAAGTAGAAATATAGGGACCACCTTTGGTGGGAAGGTAACAGTGTTCCGTGCACCTCTGGCGTTTAGTCATCCGGTCACAGAGACATCTTCGGATAGTGCTGGCTCTTCAGCTTTAAAACGGAGATGAACACGCCCCCTAGAGTCAGGAATGACTAGGACATAAGTTCAAGGGGAACCTTTACCTTTACCAACAATTGGAAGACCAGGGACTCTCCGTACAATCTTATTCCTGCATGAATAGCTAGTTATTCAGCTGTCCCTTGCAACATGAGCAAACCCATCTCCTCAACCTGATACCCTAAAGAGAGATCCCCTCGGTCAGCGTCTTTTTTGGATATACTATTTGAAAATTATGGATGTTAAAGCACATCTGGAGCACAACAGGAAAAGGAAAACACTAGCAAACAAAAGGAAAGGAGAGGAAGGGAAGGGTAGGTTCAAAGAAGTCAGCTGCATTTAGCAACGATCAGAAGTCGGAGAAATAAACAAATTTAAACTTGCTAAATTCCTTTCAGTGGGAGTGGAAGAAAATTAATGTTCTCCAGATCTGATCCAGAATAAACAGTTTTATTCAAGGCGTTGTGTTGACCGACACACACAATAAAAAAAACTGTGCTCCTTTCTCAGGCTGCAAAAAGACTTGCTCATCTGTAGAACCTCCATAAGAAAAACTTTAATTAATTTAATTTAATTAATCATATTTCTATGCTGCCCAACTCCATAGGGACTCTGCTGCAGCCTGCACAAAACATTGTAGGAATTCAACTATTAAGCATCCTGCAGAAACGGCATTAAGTTTGCCGTGAGAGTTGCCAAGGGCTCCCAAATCTTGTGAATTATAGTAAGGGATACAGTAGGAAGGGCACAAACATTAATAGGCTGACTTACCCAAGCCTCCTAATATCAAAGAGACAAATGTGTGGTGTTAAACTAGAATTATATACGTTATTATAGAGAAATATGTATGTGAATTGTATAGATAGGTATATATATGTATAATGTCAAGTTTCTGAAAGATGCCCCCTAGGGAGTTTCCAATTTAAGGTGATGCCATTTGGACTGCAGGGAGCCCCAGCGGTTCATGCAATTAATAAATGAGGTTCTACATGAGCACCTCTATAAGGGGGTCCTCGTCTACCTAGATGACATTCTCATTTACACGGAAACCATAGACGAACACATACCCCTCGTCCGCCAAGTGCTGGAAAAACTGTTGGGGGCGAACCTATATGTCCAACTACCAAAATGCGAGTTCCACCAGTCACGACTAGACTACTTAGGCTGCCAAGTGTCAAACGAGGGGATAGAAATGGACCCAGCCAAAGTACAATCAGTTTTAAACTGGCAACTCCCTCGCACCCGCAGACAACTGCAAAGCTTCCTGGGGTTCGCAAACTTCTACAGACAATTCATCCCCTCTTTTGCAAGAATTGCCAAACCTCTGACGGACCTCCTAAAAACAGGGAGTCCAGCAACAAAACCCCACCCAGGACAACCTCTACAGTGGGACCTAACCTGCCAACAAGCATTCGAAACACTAAAAGAAATGTTTGCAAAAGAACCAGTCTTAAAGCATCCTGACCCCGAACAACCCTTCATAATCCTAGCAGATGCCAGCGATGTGGCAGTGGGGGCTGTGCTACTCCAAAAGAACAGCCAAGGGAATCTACAACCTTGTGCCTACACATCCCGCAAACTCACCAACACAGAAAGACGATGGGCGGCGTGGGAAAAGGAAGCGTTCGCAGTGAGATGGGCGCTGTTGACCTAGCGACACCTGCTAGAAGGAGGCCAGAGACCGTTCAAAGTTTGGACTGACCATAAGAAAGCTTTGCAAGTTGACATATAATTGTGTAGGAATAAGGTGTAAATGATTAATATACTATGTTTAAATAACGTATAAGGTGTAAGGAATATATTATTATATCATCATTAGTATATTATGTATTAACTTAAAGTGTTGGAAGATGCTTGGGACTAGTGATGTCATATTTATGTCCAATGTTTTTAATTTTGAATTACTAATACAAAACTTTAAATAAAAAAAAAAAGAGCCTCTCAAGGGCTTTTACCTGAGATTTTGACAGCTGCTGGGTTACCACGTTGATATCAGGGGAATCCGAAGGTAGTCCTGATGCCACCTGGGACTGAACTGACCCTCTAGTTTCTTCTGTGGACAGTCCATGGGGTGGAAGTTCAGACTTGCCTATCTCAGACTGGAACAGAGGCTGATCTGCCTCAGCTCTTGCCACAAAATTGACCACCGGTTCTGACAAAGATCCGGCAGGTGCCACTTCAGGCTGATCAACAGGCAGTTGTCCAGACACAGCCCAGTTCTCAGGTGGAGAAACGCTACGCCAAGCGTTGAGAGCCGTCACTCCATACGGGCCTTGGAAGATCTGGCTTGGGGCATATTTGACGTTTAAGAGGCACTCAGACTTGGCAGGGATAGCTTTGGGGCAAGCCGGTGTGGCCACCACAAAGGGGGCAGTCTGCGCTGGGAAAAAGCGAATAACGTTGGCATTGGAAGCCTGGACCGAGGCTAGCTCGGTCCCCACCGGGACAAGGGTGAGCTTGGGGGCAAGGCCTGGTGCCGTTTTGTCGGAGAAAGCAAGGAATTCAGAAGGTGCCGGCGTGTTACGAGAAGGGGCAGGAGTGACGCAGGTCGATGCGTGGGCCTGCGGGGGCAAAGGCTTGGCAGCAGGAACTGAAGGCAGGGCATGACTGGCTGTGTTTTTCTGGGGTGGGACCGTAGACCCATTTTGGATTGGCTTGTTCTGGGTGCGGTCCACCATCTTGGTCCACCTTTCCAGAAGGTTCCGGTCATTCTCAGTCAGCATGTCTTTGTGCTCCCGTTCCTTCTCCTTCTTCTGTTTCTCTCGCTCCTTGGCCCGTTCCTGGCGCCGCTTTCGTTTCTCCTCCCTCTCACGCTGGCGTTCCTTCGCCGTTACCGGTCGCCGGATATCAGGAGTTTCTGAGACAGAGGAAAGTATATCTGCAGGACAGAAGGAATCAACGGTACTCGTGAAGGAGGAATCCAAAAATGTGCCGCAAGCACATTATCAAGGCCACACTTTTTTTAAAAAAACACATGCACTGCAGATTAGAATCACTGCAGGTGCTTTTTTTCAAGAGGCAACTGGACTTTCTGGTTTTTCTTTGAAGGTATTTCGCTTCTCATCCAGAAAGCTTCTTCAGCTCTGACTGGATTATGGAGAATGGAAGGATTTACAATAGCTTCTTAGATGAGAAGTGAAACGGCTTCAAAGAAAAATCAGAAAGTCCAGTTGTCTCTTGAAAAAAGCACATTTGGGACAACCATGACCTGGATGACTGACAATCTCCATAGTCATCACTACAGGTAGTTCTCGACTTACAACCATTTGTTTAGTGACTGTACAAAGTTACAACAGCACTGAAAAAAGTGACTTACGAACATTTTTCATACTTACGACCGTTGCAGCATTCACATAATCAAAATTTAGATGGACTGGTTCATATTTATGACAGTGGCGGTGTCCCAAGGTCATGTGATCACTTTTGGTGACCTTCCAATAAGCAAAGTCGATGGGGAAGCCAGATTCACTTACCAACCGTGTTGCTAACTTAACAACTGCAGTGATTCACCTAACAATTGTGGCAAGAAAGTTTGTAAAATGGGGCAAAATTCACTTAACAACTGTCTCACTTAGCAACAGAAATCTGGGACTCAAATGTGGTTGTAAATCAAGGATTATTTGTATTTAAGCAGTAAATACTTTCACTCCGATTACCCCAAGGTTTCTAAGCATTTTCTTGGGTTCTAACTAGGTTTAAACAGATTATCATGATCTTACAGTATCCAGGGTACTGAACCCTGGAAAACTAACAATTGCTGTGAAGTCCTTTTCAAAGCAGGTTTCTAGAGTCTAAAAGAATGCAGGTAGTGCTTGTTAAGGATATTGTTGTGTTTACCACCAGCAGAGTAAGTGCACAGAGAAACAGTACTTCGCCGAAGAGATTGTAGAAAAAATTGTTTTAAAAGTTAAAAAAAAATTGGCCACCCCCACCCAGTCACATTACCCACCACCACCAAGCCACACCCACAGAACCAGTAGTAATAAATTTTAGATTTCACCCCTGCTTGAAACCATTCACTTAAAAACCATTTGAAGTTACAATGGCACTGAAAAAAGTGACTTGAGACCCGTTTTCACACTGACAATCACCGCAGCCTCCCCAGGATCACGTGATTAAAATTCAGGTGCAACTGGCACGGATTTATGATAGTTGCACTGCCCCAGGATCATATCGCCACCATTTGCGACTTTCCCAGCTGGCTTGGGGCTCAATTGTGGTCATAAATCAAGGACTACCTGTATATCAGAGAGGAAAGTTAAATAACGTAGAATTCTTCAACATTTCTGGTTTTACGGACTGGGGGGGGGGGGAGATGCTTCTGTGCAAATGACCGGAAAGCATGCACGCACACACAACTTCCTTTCCACAAGTGTGTCTGCCGCTCACTTTAGTGGAGTATGCATGCATGCTCGCCCGCTGCTCGAGCAAGTGAGGAGGCGTGTGCATGCGAACATGCTCGCCGTCCGTTTCCGTGGCCCAGTTGCAAACCCCTCACAGCCCACAGGTTGGGGACCCCTGAACTGGGTTACCTCCAACCTTGACACCTGTCATATCACTTCCCAGGACCAAACCCGAAGAAACTTTACCTTTGTTTTTATTGCGGAGTGCAGATTGCAAGATGAGGGCTTTGAGAGCAGCCTTGGTGTCATCTGAGATGGCGCCTTCCCGCTTTGGTGGGGCCACTGGGGCCTCCACCTCAGCCTTTACTTCTGGCGGCGTGACGGAGGAAGCCACCAGAGGAGAGGTGAAGTCAATGGTCTCTGTTGGGTAAGGCATGGGAGAGGCCATCGCATAATCATCATCGGCGCGTGGAGAACCAGCACTGGGCATGTCAATATCGTTGCAGCGCAGTAGCAATGCCTGGTTAGCGGCATCATCCACCCCGCCATCCACCATGGCTGGCCTAAGAGCAGGCTTGAAGCTGATCTGCCGCCGGATGCCTTCCCGGCGTTCGTGGAAGTCCTTGATTTCCGCCACAATGGTCTCCTTGATTTGTTCCTTCGTAAGCACCTGTTTGTCAAAGTCAAAATCGAAAGCCGGGACGCAATCCGGCTCGTCATCCGGATCGTGATACTTAGACAGGAACGGGTGATTCAAGGCCTCCACTACGGAGATGCGCTCGCGTGGGTCAAAGCGAAGCATCTTGGAGAGCAAAGACAAGGCCTTCCGGTCGGCGTTCTGGTAGAGGCTGTCCCATGGCACTGGCTGGCGCGACGGCAAACTCTGGATGTAGGCACGCACCCGGTCAGCACCAATGGAGTGGACCACTTTGGCGGGAGGAGTGCCCAGGACGGTGATAATCAGCTGCAGTTGATGGATATAGTTTTTCCCAGGGAAAAGCTGCTTCCGCCCGAGCATCTCTGCAAAAATGCACCCTACAGACCACATATCTATAGCCTGTGTGTATTCGTGCAGAGACAACATCAGTTCTGGGGCTCTGTACCAGCGAGTAGCCACGTACTCCGTCATGAAGTACTTGTATTCAACCGGCTTGGTGCAGAGGCCTCGGGCCATCCCAAAGTCACCGATCTTCAGCTCACAGTTCTCATTGATCAGTAGGTTGCTGGGCTTGAGGTCTCGGTGGATGACATTTGCCGAGTGGATGTACTTAAGGCCTCGGAGGAGCTGGTAGAGGAAGTAGCGCACATGCTCCAAGGTGAGAGGCTGTGACGAATGGATAATCTGGTGGAGGTCACTCTCCATTAAGTCTAGCACCACATAGCTGCCAATGGGGTGGGGGGGCGGAAAGAAAGGGCATAAGACAATGAAAGAGTGAATTTGGAGTATTAGTCACATACAATACTTGCCAAATAATCTTGGACCTCTCCTCTCTTCGTATGCAGGCACGCAACACCTTCCTTGTTGGGGGTTGTTGTAAAAATAACTCTGTGTGCTATTCAAGAGCCGAATGGTAGCACTGCACATATGTTGATGTGCATATCACATATTGATGTGATTACCTAGAAGAGGGGTCACCAACCTTTCAGACCGCAGGGACCACTAAATTCATAATTTAAAATCCCGCAGACCACTAATATGATCTGCCTAATGACCAGCTCGGTGGGCGTGGCTAGGTGGGCATGTGACTGGGTGGGCATGGCCAACTCGATGTCACTCATGTCAAGGGGTACTCTACTTGCCCCTCCCCTCCCAGCCATTCCTTGCCTGCCTGCCTGGGCTCCTTAGGGCCCCAACAGGAAGCAGTCGTGGTACAGCCACTACGAGAAAGCTGGCAAAACAGCTCAGTTCAAACTGGATCTGATCGAGAAGGAGGCTCGGCAGAAGAACCTCACTGAGGACTAGCACAGGCTTTCCAAGCAAAGGGAAGACCTGCGGAAGTGCAAGTACCGGCACCTGGAGACTCAGCGGGCTGAGATGGTCAGCCAGTTCCAGGCCATGATGCAGCCCCACTGGAACAAGGCCCTCCGGCTCCCTGCCACCAGCGGCACTTCCCTCCAGCCTTCGCCCAAAGCCCCACACCAGGAGGCTGAAGCAGACCCCAAGTCGGAATTTCTGCCCCCTTCCGACCTGCACAAAAAGACCCCGAAGAGGGAGACTCTCTGCAGCAACACAAATGTTCATTGCATATATCTGGCCCAGGGGCGGTAGTTGAAGGACCCCTGATTTAGTGCAATATAAGAAATGCAAATAATTTTTTGGTGCGGACCACCAAAATTTTCTCGCAGACCACCCGTGGTCCATGGACCACCAGTTGGTGACCGCTGACCTAGAAGATTGTCCACTTGGAAATGGAGAGTGAAAGAATCGTAACAGAGCAGGGAGGCAGGGGACATTATGGGTCCCCTCTCCTAAGGATGTCCATCCAGCAGGACCAAGATGAAGGGCCTTCTCTGTAGTTTCTCCCTCCCTGAGAAACATCGTCCACGTCCAAGATTGGTCTCCACTTATTCTTGTATTAAACTTTTATCCTTATCAACTGCCAAAGTCACTCTGAGTGAGCAGGGTGGCCATATATATTTTCTTAAATAAATGAATAAAAAGTGACCTTCGTACATTTGATTCTACTTCCTTGAACTGAGAAGTCATACATGCTATTTCCAAGTCAATAAAATATCCACAATAAGCCTGGAAAGTAAGGACAAGAGAGACCAACTCACCCAAGGAAAACCAACAAGCTATAATTATTTGAATCTGGATTTCTAAACTTCCTGACAATCACTAACATTATCTCACCTTATTCGAGAAACAGGACAGATGTTTCCACTGGAAACTGTCATGGTCCCAAAGGGTCAGGGAACATGATGCGGGGGGGGGGGGAATCACCTCCACCAAAAGCAGCAAATTCCCCAAGCATTCAGTATTTCAAGAAGCCTTCATGTCAATTAGCCAAAATTGCATTTGTGATCTGACATCAAGCAAGGTTATTATTTTTGCTTTAGGTTAATACTGGTGTTTTAATTGTTTTTAATATTTGATGTGAGACACCCAGTCATATACTTGAAGGTGGGCAGCTTTATAAAACAAACAATTGGGTTTTTTTAAATATTTAATATGAGAAACCCAAAATCATATTATTTATTTATTTATTATTATTTATTAATTAAATTTCTATACCGCCCTTCTCCAAATAGGACTCAGGGCGGTGCACAGCCTAAGTAAAAACAGAGCATACAAAATTTAAAAAACAGTATTAAAATAATTAAATATTTTGGCCGTAAATTAAAACAACCCAATTTAAAATCAATTTAAAATTTAGCTCAAGCCAGCCCAGCTAGTTGAAATAAACAGGTTTTCAGGGCCCGACGAAAAATCCGGAGGTCTGTTATTATACGTAACTCTGGGGGGAGGTTGTTCCAGAGGGTGGGCGCCGTCACAGAGAAGGCTCTCCCCCTGGGGGTCGCCAGCCGACATATGTCACAAAGCTTCTTTTTTCAAGAGGCAACTGGACTTTTTGGTTTTTCTTCGAAAACGTTTCACTTCTCATCCAAGAAGCTTCTTCAGCTCTTGGATGAGAAGCGAAAGGTCTTCAAAGAAAAACCAGACAGTCCAGTTGCCTCTTGAAAAAAGAAGCTTTGGGACAACCACGACCTGGATGATTGAAAACCTCCACAGACATTTACCAAAGTGATACATTTGAAGACGGAGGTGAAATCTACTTACCTTCCTTACCGGTTCAGAAGCGTACGCTCCACACGCACATGCACACTTTGCTCACCTGCATTATATGCATGCGCACACCTTCTGCGCATGTGCAAAACCTTCTGCGCATGCACAGAAGGTAAAAAAAACATTACTTCCTGGTTAAAACCAGGAAGTAATGACACCCGGGAGGCGATTGCTACCGGATCGCCGAACCACAGGAAAAAATCACTACCGGATTGGGTGATCTGGTCCAATCCAGGAGCATTTCACCCCTGCTTGAAGATGGGCAGCTACATAAAACAAACAATTAAGTAAGATGTCAACTAATCCTTCAAAAGTAGAGATGGGTAACTTGTGGCCTCAGGACTCTTTGTGTAACCTTCTGTTGTGGCTCGTACGCGGCCTGTGCAGCTGGTGACTGATTCGGACAGCGAGGAGGCTGGTGTGGTGCTGCGCCAGCAGCCTGTGCAGCTGGCACTCGAGTCGGACTATAGGAGACTGAAGAAGATGTGGTGCCAGAGGCGGGGATTCAGCCAGGGCCTTCAGAACCTCCAGAAGCTCCCTTAAGTGAAGAGGACAAAGAGGAGGAACCTCTTCTTGATGCACGGGCGCGCAGAGCTGCCAAAAGGCAGGAGTGGCTCCTTAGGAGGAGGTCTCCTTGAGAGTAAGGCTTGGGGCTAATTGGCCACTCCCTTAGCCTATTTAAGGAGGAACACCGACTGAAGCAATTTGTAGGGAACAACTTCGTTCACTCTCCTTCGTGCCTTGATCTTAGTTCTCTGCAAATTGCTTCTGGGCTTTCTGCCAACCATAGTAAGATTAAGATTATTTATTCTTTGAATTCTTGTAGGCTGTTAAGAAAATTAATTAACAGCCTTTGTTTGAAAAAAAAACTGATTTAATTTAGTAAACTAAGGTTTGTACAGACTTTGTGTGTGCTGCATTCTTTGGGGTCTGTAGCTGGGGCAGAACACCTTCTGAGCTCACATTGATTTAATCAGGTTTCTACAAGAAGAGGTGAACTGTTTTAATTTATTATCTCATAAAGACTACCGGAATTTCAGACAGGGCTAGAAGGCATGGCTAGGACCAGCTAGTATTTCTCAAGCCTAACCAAACTTTTAAGACAGATACTTACACAGACTTGAATTCAGCATAAGGCACAGAAGGTTTCAGGATATCCTTGATGGCAATGATGTTGTCGTGCTTGAAATGTTTCAAGATTTTAAGTTCCCGGAGGGTACGCTTGGCATTCATCACAACGTCAAAGGCATTCGGGATCTTCTTTATCGCCACCTGCTGGCCTGATAAGTGGAAAACAGGAAAGAGATGAGGTGTGTTATCTCTCACATTCTCCAAATCACAAATTTGTTTCTTGTTCACAGGTATGTCACTCTAAAAGTTCTTAGATGCATATTTGACAACCACTGGATGGGTTTTGCTTTGTTTTGTTAATTGGTTATATGCTGTTAAATCTAATGGCTTTTATCGGAGAGAGGATCTGAGGAGTGGTTTCTTAGTGCAACTTGTATTTATTTATTTATTTTCCTTTTAAAGTACTAACAAAAAGAAAAAAGAAAAAGGAGAAAAAATGCCAAAATAATTACAACAGACACATTCTCAAATAGGGGAGGGGGTGGGAATGCATTAAAAGTGTTTTAGAAACAAAAATGTCTTTAAAAAATTTAAAAATACAATAGAAAAAAATAAAATATAATATAATATTGATCTAACGTGAATATTATTAAAGTGCAGGAATGGAATGGAATGGAATGGAATGGAATGGAATGGAATGGAATGGAATGGAATGGAATAGAATAGAATAGAATAGAATAGAATAGAATAGAATAAATTAGAAATAGAAATAGAAATAGAAATAGAAATAGAAATAGAATGGAATGGAATGGAAGGAATGGAATGGAATAGAATAGAATAGAATAGAATAGAATAGAATAGAATAGAATAATAGAATAGAATAGAATAGAATAGAATAGAATAGAATAGAATAGTTAAGAGGGACCTTGGAGGTCTTCTAGTCCAACCCCCTGCTCAGGCAGGAAACCCTATACTACAGGTGTCAAACTCACAGCATCACATTGTTGTCACGTGATGTATCGCAACGGTTTTTCCCTTCACAGAGCTGGGGTGGGGGTGGCCTGCACATGACATATCTGGCCCGCAGGCCACCCGTTTGACACCCCTGCCCTATACCATTTCAGACAAGTGATTGTCTAATCTCTTCTTAAAAACTTCCAATGTTGGAGCATTCGCAACTTCTGGAGGCAAGTCGTTCCACTGATTAGTTGTTCTGACTGTTAGATACATTTGGTAAGGATCGCCTCTCCTTCCAACTTAAGAAAGCACGAACTCTTGAAACGTGGTTGTTCAAAAGGATTCTTTTATTAAGCAGAAGTGAAAGCCATCCAGCTAAAGCACAATCTGAATACCCTTAGGCAAGGCAAGTAGGATTAAAGCAATAGAGACCCCTCCCTTTAAGTCAGAATGCAGATTTTAGCCAATACACAAGTGTGAAGCTGTTTTCTGTACTATTTCCTCTGAGAACCCAAACAAACATGCATTTCCACCAGTATGCTTTAAAGTGAGGCAACCCACATGGCTACCATATAAATTCCTTCAGGTAAAGGGAATCTCAGGCCTCTTTGGCGCCAGGATATAAGTTGTAAAATATCTGTTGACACAGGTCATGCTAGTAAATCGAATCTCTCCCCCTTCCTCCAATTGAATGGCAGTATCACTTTTAGGGATCTGACACATCTTTATTTTTAATATATTTATGTCATCATAACAGCATCTTTGGGAATTCAGCCTATTCAATCAATGTATATTATTACATTGTACTGCATGAATCCCAAAAACAGGTAATTCACTTTCCAAACTAAGTTATTTCACAGATCCAACCAGTTAACTCACACCTTTCCTTAACCACTGTTTACAAATGAATCACACATATATGGGTTCGAATTCATACAGGTAGTCCTCAAGTTATGCCTGGTCCTTTAGCAATCATTCAAAATTACAATAGACAACCAAAAGCTATAGCACCTGGTTCCGGAGTTCCAACAGGTGCACGCCGCACACACATAGACACGCATTTCAGGCACTTGACAACTGGCTCACCTGCAGTCTATCCTAGTCACATGACCACAATTTATAGCCATGTGACTTATCACTCATAGGAATATACTGATTTACTTAATGACTGTTGCATCCACATAGCAGCAATGGCATTCACTTAACCACCACACACACACAAAAAAAACCCTCCATAAATTCAGATCCAATCATGTGGATGCCTTGACTTATGACCGTCATGACTTACAATGGAAATTCCGAGCTCTGTTACGGTCATAAGTCAAGGACTAGCTGTACAACAAGATGAACCAAAGTAAACAACTACATTATTCCTTTATTCAGAGAGTTTCTGAAGCTAGCCTAAATACTTTGGCATTGGCATTGGCATTTCTGTGGGCCCTTATGCCAATGGTCTGCTCTGCATCTCAGTGCAATATATAAAACTAAATGTCCCTATTTCCCAGACTCTGGCAAGCCTTCCCCGGCTGGCATCAATCAGTGCCTTTGGAATTATATTTCCTAAAATCCCAAGCCAGCATGAGGAAGAATTTTGAAACTGTAGTCAGGAAAGACTGGCTTCGATCCAGGCATCAAGTTTGAACGTGGCACAAACAAAAGCATTCGGAAGGATTTTGTCTTAACAGAAAATGCATGGCCCAGGCAGGAAATCCTTCCTTTAAAGCAGTGTCATTATCAATCTATATATATATAAGCGAAAACCACTCAAGCATTAATCACGAAATCACCAGAACTGTAAAGCCTACAAACTTGAAATTTGCCACGTATGTTCCTCTTGGCTTCAAGGTGCTCACTAAGAAAGGATTTTTCGAAATGACCATCAAAGCATTAATATTTTCTATATTATGATTAACACGCTCTGATGCTAAGGAGTTGTACTCCCCCTACCCAGTGGTGAAATGTAAAATTTGTTACTACCAGTTCTGTGGGCGTGGCTTAATGGGGGGAAATGTGACTGGGTGGGCGTGGTAAACTATTTTTTTTTAACTTTTAAAAACATTTTTTCTACAACCTTGAGGTTGCAGAAAAAAATGCTTTTAAAAGCCTCTGACGATCCAAGCTGAGCCATGTGATCATCAGAGGCTTTTTTTTTTTACTTTTAAAAACATTTTTTCGGCCAAAGAGGTTGTAGAAAAAATGCTTTTAAAAGTAAAAAAAAAAAAGCCTCTAATGATCGCGCGGCTCAGCTGGACATTTGGGGGAGCCAGGGATTTTTGCTACTGGTTCTCCGAACTACCTGCCGCCATCGCTACCGGATCAGACGATCCGGTCCAAACCGGGAGCATTTCATCCCTGCCCCTCCCCACCTGAAAAGAAATCTGTTCTAAATGCAAAACACAAGCAGGAGTTTCACTTTCAGTTTTACTTTCACAGCAGCAAGCAGCTTTGCTACAGAAGAGTTGAACTAAGCCACGCCCAGCCTCCTTCCTCTCTCCTTCTTGCTCACAAAGCAAATACTGTTTGAGTTTCCAAACACCCCTCAACTCTCTCACACACTGACAGGATGCTAACCAGATGTTACCAATGGATGCTGTGGGCTGGGACATTCTACTCCCCCTCCCACTCTGTTCCAACTGCCAGTTGCTTTATATTAACACACTCTGATGCTACGGAGTTACACATACTACACTAAGTTTCAGGCTGCAAGTGTCAATTTATCAAGCCCGAGCTCATAGTTTCGTAGCAAAGCACAGGCGTCCAGCTAGTATATTGATAAGATGCATACCCAGCAGCATAGACCTTAAAACATCAAGGGGAAGAGGGGGTAGCCTAGAATCAGGAGATTGTGAGTTATAGTTCCACCTTAGGTCTGAAAGTTGGTTGGGTGACTTTGGGCCAATCACCAGAACATTGTGAGTTCTAGTCCCGCCTTAGGCATGAAAACCTGCTGGATGGCTTTGGGACAATCACCAGGAGGCTATGAGTTCTAGCCCTACTTTAGGCATGAAAGACAACTAAGTAACTTTGGACCAGTCAGTCTCTCTCTCTCTTGTGGTGGGGAAAAAATGGGTGTGGGGGGGGGTTGTTGGTTAAGCGAATGCCACTGCCGGTTATGTGAATGCAACAGTCATTAAGTGAATGAATTCACTACAAAGGATTGTTGTGGTGGGGAAAACAGGAAGCAGGAGTATTAGGTATGATGACTGCCTTGAGTTGTTCCAATAAATATATATTTTTAAAAAGTAGGAGAAAAAACCAATAATAATGACTCGTTAATCTGTATCAGGGTGGATAAAAATCAATGATTTTTTTTAAAAAATCAAAAAAATCGGATTTTTTTTATTTAAATCGGATTTTTTTGATTTTTATTGAATTTATTTTAATAAAAAACTTTTGGGGTAAAAATCTATCGTAAGATAGTTTTCTATTTAAGTTACATAAATAATTTAGTTTATTCAGCATGAAATGGAGCTTAGTTATGTAGCACAAGGCTGTATATTCTGCAACACTGGGACTATCGGTGAGTCAACAGCGGGTCAAAGGAGTAGCAGAGATGACAGTTGCTCTTTAAAAATTATGATTTAAATCGAGTTGATTTAATTCAAATCCACCCTGATCTGTATAGTTTGTTACCTGTTTCAATATTAATACATAAAATATATTCTATGAGTAAATTATAGGTAGTCCTAGTTTAGTAGCCATAACTGGAATCAGAGGGAACGACAACTCATTACAGCCAACTCACCACGGCCAACTTACCACGGCCAACTCGACATGGGACAAGAATTAAATTAATATCGAAGTTATAGTGGAACAGAATCATTAAAGAAAGGATGCCAAAGGAGGGACAAAATAAAATGTGAATGATAAAAATTAAAATATTTTTAAAATTATTTTAAATATTGTTGAATTGTCCCACAGTGAGTTGTGAGTTGTCCTGGGGCAAGTTGACCATAACCAGTTGGCTGCGGAGAATTGTCACAACCCCGGAATTGACAATTCATCATTAAGCAAGGCAGTTAAGTGAAACCGTTTCTGCGTTTATGATATGATCTTACTTCAGTTTTCCTTTAGTTTTCCAAGCCTGCTAAGATCATAAGTGCGAAGCTTGGCTGCATAGTTACTTTTTCATCACAATCATAAATGTAAATGGTGGCTGTACGAGGCAGTGGCTAAATGAGGACTACCAATATGCATTAATATTTCAGGGTACTAAACCCAAACTTGGCGGAAAATACCTCACAGAGAACAGCAGGAAATATGTTGATACACACTTCTAGTCAAGGAGAATTCCTCTACGCCCCACCTCTATGCAGGAGAGGAATAAGTTCTTAACAGCCACCTAGCAGAGAGCAGTGTGAAGCTCTCCGACTTACACACCTGTGTCTTTGCGCCTTGCTGAGCTCACCACACCGTAAGCTCCGGTGCCAATTGTTTCAATGACTTCATACTCATCTCCCACTTCGAAGGTGACGTCAAATGACCGGGCCTTCAAAATGGCTAAGTTCTTCGCTGCCACCGTGGCCTGATGGGTGGACTCCTGCTTGGGTTGACTTTGAGATGCTTCCTCACCCTCATCTTCCACTGGTGGTTCAGCCATGGTCTGCCACATAAACACACACAAAGAGACAAATGTGAATTATGAAATCCTGCTGCCCAGGCCAAATGTTCCAACAGATTACTGTCCAATGCTTTCTATTCTCATCATTGCTACAGGAAATGTAGCAGATGAACACAAAAGGCAAGCCTTAAAACATTATGTGGCACCCAAACTACACCCATGGAAAACCAAGATAGCAATAGAATTTAGCAGATTATGAACAATGAATGGATTTAGGGCTAACTAGAGATACATATGCCTTACCAGAGAACCAGTTTAATTAAGGTCTATGGAGCTTCTCAATCATTCACATCATGGTTGTCCCACATCATCAGTTGCCTTTTTTTCAGGAGGCAACTGGACTTTCTTGTTTTTTTTTCTTTTGAAGACTTTCACTTCTCATCCAAGAAACTTCTTCAGTTCTGACTAGATGGTAGGGAATGGAAGGATTTATACTCCTTGCAAACAGCTGGTCAAGTGACCCTGAGGACATAAATAAACCTCCAAGTGGCGTCAAGGACTCTCTAAAAGGATGCAAATGACTAGCTCTCTGCAAGATGTATAAATCCTTCCATTCCCCACCATCCAGTCAGAGCTGAAGAAGCTTCTTGGATGAGAAATGAAAGTCTTCAGAAGAAAAACAGGAAAGTCCAGTTGCCAAAGCTGGTGAATGACCTTGGTCCAGTCACTCCCTCTCGGTCCTAGTCAGAAGGCAAGGGAAAATCACTTCCAAAGATCTTGCCAAAAAAATTGAAGGAACTAGTTCAAGTGTGGGTCAGAAGTCAAGACTGACTTGAAGGCACACAAAGAAAAAATTCTTATCTATTCTTTGGATTAAAAAGTCTTTGTTCTTGTTGTTTTAATTTGTTTGTGGTTTCAGAATCTATTACTAAACATTTTTATCCAGAAATGCTATTCTCCATCTCTGAGTCCTCAGTGATTGTAGATGGGCTTCAAGACATACCAGCTTTCAAATATGTGCCAACCTTGTTAGAATTTAAACACAAGCTGAAAGTGCTGGTATTCGGTACAGCATTTCAAATCTCGGACTAGTTTCCCCTGAAATACTCAATGACTATATTATTTTATAGGCTTTACAGTTGCAAAATTTGGAATGATGGGCAGAATGACAGGCAAAATATGAGTGTGCTATATCAATAGATGAAACATAAAATTGAATGTAGTCCATCAATTGTTTCTCCCCTGCCCCTCTGTAATTGACCTCAATTAGTTAGCTATGCAGATTGTAATGGATGAGCCACAACTTTTTTTAAAAAGCACAAAAGGAGAGATATAATTAGGAGAAGATGACAATCAGCAATCTTGCACAAAAGCGAGTGTCCAAATTATTTGTGACAAACTCAAGTTACTTGCAAGATAATTCAACCTACTGAGCATCTTGTAATAAAGTACTGCACTGTATAAAGTACTGTAGAAAGAAAGATGGATACAAAGCTTGAGGAGAGAAGGTGAAAGCAAAGTTCCTTTTTAATCCACCCTGAGCCCTAAAAACTCGCCTGAAAGACTTCGGATCAGCCTCATTCCCTCTCCCACCCCAACAGGACAAAGAATGAAGGGAGACCCCACCTATGCTGAGCTTGTCGATCGGAAAGTTCGGCGGTTCGAATCCCTAGTATAGGTCTCCTGCATGAGCAGGGGGTTGGACTAGATGTCCTCCAAGGTCCCTTCCAACTCTGTTACCGTTAAGGCAATCAGCGAGTAGTCTTCAGTTTACGTCCCCTCTGACTGGGAAAATAAAATAGGACAGAATGGCAGTTTAATCTGCCAGCCTGAAATTAAGAAGAATCTATTATGGGGAGGGAAGCATGGAGTTGTCCTCCTATCAATCAAAACATAGCTATCACAGAGATTTCAGAGAAGAGAAAAAATAGTTTCCCCCCCCCCTCCCAAATCAGTTCTCAGGACAGAGTGAGCTTTAAGAAGCAAGCTGGGTTGGATCTGGAGAAAAAAGGGAAAGTGACACTAACCGATTTTATAAAGCAAGAAAAAGGAAAAATGTGTCTTTGTAGGAAGGGAGTCAGTTTGGTTACGGTAGTTAAGGCACTTGCTCAAGACTGGGAAATCCCAAGTTCAAATCCACCCAGAGCACCTAAAAACTCTCCCGAGTGATTTCGGATCAGCCACATTCCCTGCCTCCCCCCACCCAAAAAAACAGGACAAAGAATGAAGGGAGACCCAACCCATGCTGACCTCTCGGACAATGACAGTAATTGGGGTGGGGCGGGGTCTTATGGGGAGGGGCTGGGGGGCACAGTGGCCAAGCTGATTGTGGCCAATGGGGCAAAGCAGGGATGGGGAGGAGAATAAGAAGGAGGGGAAGGGGCTGCCGACGGGGAGGGGGCAGATGATGAGCTGGAGAGGCTGCAATGCAAAGAGAAAATTCTATCCCTGCCCAACCTCTTTCCAGCTGGAACCGTCTCCCCCTAATGAGGATAGGAAGGAACGCGCGGGAGAAAGAGGCTCCCCACCTGCCAAGATGCGAGACCAGGCGCCGAAGGTCTCGGGAGGTGGACAAACAGGGGCGGTTCCCTCTCTGGTCCGCTACTCCCTGGTGGTGGTGGTAAAGATGATGGCTCGCCCGGCTGGTTTAAGAGAGTGCCCGGATGTTACGGCTCCGAGTGCTCCTCAGCCAATCAAAGCGCAGGGCGGGCGTGGCCACGAGGACGAAAGCGCTCCGAGATTGCTACCTTTTTCTTGAAACAAAATGAAACGCCCCGCCTCGCCCGTTTCGAAGAGCCAATCGGAGAGCGCGGAGGAAAAAAAAAAAGCGAGGGAACCAATGAGAGAGGGAATGAAATAATATTAACATTCGAGTGGAGCCATTCTGTTAGCCTTACGTGGAGGGCGGGAGCTTCACCTGTTGCCCTTCAGCCCGCTATTGTTGTGGGCTGCTGCGAAGGGAACGCCTGGCGAAACGAATCGGAGGCGCCATTCTCCGCCCCCGCTCTTTCGAAGTTGGAAAGAGAAATATACAGCCTCAGTTATTCAGCAGATGGAAGTCCAGAGATACATGCAGTGATTCATAAATGAGTTGCTTGCAGATTAAGTAGAGATTTTATAAAGAAACTCTTAAAAAAGCACATCGGAAAAAAGTCCTTATATTTTTGCTGGTTTTTTTTTTTTTGCTACTTAAATTGTTTTAGCAAAATTAAGCTGGTTTTTATTTAAATTATGCGTGTGCCTAACGTAATCTACATATAATCAACAGATGTCCATATAATTTATATATCCCTCACATACAATTTAGCTTAAGTCTCTCGTCCTCCTAGGACAAGAAACGCTATTTTTCGATCTTCTGATTGTAGAAAGCTGGAACCTACCCACCACCAGAAGAATGAAATATTTTGGGAAATATTAAAAAGGCATAATATTGTATTTTTCCAAAGGGAGAAATAGAGAACATGTTTTTTTTTTGAGGCACCCCCACTTTTCTTAATAGCCCACAGCAGATGTCAGCACTTTATAGAGAAAGAGCTTATTGAAAGAAGCCAAGTATCTAGATAGCACTATTCATAAGCAAAGCAAACAATCCAGGAAGAAATCCATTGAAGATAGGATATTTTGAAACACGGCAGGCAGCAAAGTCCAAACAAAGGTAGAATGGTAGGAATAGAAGCAGCCTCTTAAGACACAATAGGAATTGTCCAACACCCTTTCAGAAGACAAGCCCTTCCATTGCATAACACCAGAGCAATCCAAACTTCACCTGGGAGCTCAGATAAACAGTAACTCCTACATGACCCCATAAGAATCTAACAACAGCCAATAGAATACATGTTCTTGCACAGGAACAGGAAGCTCAAGTGCAAAGCCCAGAGAAGGTATAAAAACCCTCCACCCTCAACTTGGTCAGCTGACCAGAATCACAAACCCATGTGGTTCTGCTTCATCAATAAATCATCTTTCCAATCAGCCTCCATGTTTCCAGTGTCTTCTCCCGGCTTGGAACTGAACCAGATGGATTTTTCTTCCCACACGATGCATTACCTTCATCAATATTATAGGATACCAGAAATTAATGGACTTTGAATATATTAAAAAGGCACCCAATTGTTGAAGATTTGGCTTGAATATATAAGTTAATATCATGTAGCGTCAGTCTCCCCGTGTATCCAAAAGACACTTTTGAGCTATCCAAAGGACATAATGTCTGTCTGGCTTCAGACATTATCCTGCAGCCTCTTGGGATCTGGTTTAGTTGGCTGTAGGAACAAAACCACTGCAATTTGAAAGCTGGGTATGAGGTGTACTTGCAGCCCATTGTGCTTATTCAATAAATAATTATTCTAGCAAAGTACACCATGGCTCCCTGTAACAATTAGGCACAGCACCTCACTGTGCTGCTTCATAAAAGTGAGATGGGAAACGAATATATGAGGAAGAGGTGATAGAACCATGTGCCATCTTAAGGTAGTTAAGCTAGAATTAGCACTAATCAAAATCAAATCATCCCTCCACTAATCTATAGGGCAATTCCATGAACCTGCATCAGTGGTGATCCAATTCCATCTGAGCAGGATTACCGGTAAATCCTAATGAGCCCTATTTAGGGAAGATGAAATATTCTTTGGAGGATCCAAAATGCTGATAAATCCAATCATGCTACAAGAGAAAGGCTCCTAAAACAATGTGCATGAACCAGTTTGTCTTTTAAATTCTTTCCCTTCTAGAAAGTGTCCAAAATGGTTTAATGGCATTAAAAATTGGGGTTTCTGCAGAAATCAAAAGGCACAATGAAACCAAATTCACCACTCTTAGAAAATGTTAAGTGGGGAAAAAAGTTTGAGTTCACTGGAGCCTAATTCAATTTCAGGCAGTCCTCCACTTACAACTGTAATTTCCGTTTCTAAGCAAGACAGTTGTTGCATGAATGACCCAATTTTATGACTACCGTTAAGCAAATCACTGCAGTTGTTAAGTGAATCATGTAGCCATTAAGCAAACCCAAGATCTCCCACTGACCGGTCATAATCCACTTGTTTCAATGAGTTAACTTCAAATGGTTGCTAAGCAAATTGTTTGTAAATCGAGGACTATTTAGTACTTTATCCCTTTCAGGAAAACTTAAAATTTTTCTCCCACACCCTCATATTTCAAATTCTGAAAGTTGAAGTCCGCATGTCTTAAAAGTTGCCAAGGCTGGACACCCCTGTCCTATTAGACGAGAAAAGCTCAATGACTGTTTTGTAAATAGCTATTGTCATGTCCGGGATGCTTTGGTTAGGATTCCTTTCTTGAATAGAGGGTTGGACTGGATGACCTCAAGCTTTATAATTCCACAAAGAAATCACTGTGTGTTCAGATTGCAAGACAGGCACCATCTTATCCTCAATTTGTAAGAGACATACCTGAATATTCCTTACATCTTAGGGTCAAATATTTGATCCACTGCTACATGTTAATGGATTTTTGAAATGGAAACCCATTGTTCTTATCTGCTTATAATGCTAAATTATTATTTTATCTACCATATTCTTTGGCAGCCATCTACAGTTTAAAAACATATGATTAAGTGTCCAGTGACCTAAGTTTCACTGATTTCAATAGCTTTTTCTTAACATGGGAATAATTATAATTGGGAAGGAAGGATCGATGGATAAAAATGCCAAATCAAATCTCATTGATTGTGCAATCAACCATAATAATATCCCAAATATATCAAAGTTGAAAGATTATGGAATAAACCAGCTGAGGCAGTCCTATGGTTATCGGCACACAGGGTGCCATACCAAGATACCTTGGATAGAATTTAAAAAACTGATCATTGACAAAATTTCCATCTGTAAATTGCAAAATGCAACACTGCTTGGATGAGAATAGGGGAAGAATTCAATGCATGTGAAGGCAAACACCAGCTAAAGAACTGACAGCCATGATTTCACATTGTTGGCTATATAATAATAACACAAAACAATTGAATAAATCAGTTTTCAGTTTGTATTAGTTCCAGGTTTGATCATTCTTAGTTTTACAATGAAGTTTTGATGGGAAATCAATTAAACAGAAACCAAAAGATTGTGAAAAGAAAAACATTATAACTCCTCCAATAACTAAAATCATATTTATATCAGAAAATCTCCAACTGTTATCACTTGGATGCTAAGGAAAGGGGTTATTTTTTACTTATCGATATTGACAGGTGGAGATTTGGGGAAAATAAAATGTTAGCCCTGAGTTACAAAAGACAAGTGCTAAAAATAATAATTTTGCACATGCTTATAAAGAAGAAACCTTGCTGAACACAATGGAACTTGCTTCTGAGTAAACATACAGTTTTTCAAATTTAAGGTGAGAAATCCAGTTTTCAGTGAAGTAGAGACCTGAAAAAAAATAATAGAGAGGAAGGAAGGGGAATGGGGAAGGTAGATAAAATTCAAATGGAATATTAGAACATCATAATAGCAGCATCAGGCAGAGCAGGAGAAAGTAGGCTGAATAGAAGTGACTAGAACATAGATGGAAGAACAAACCCAGAAATCCAGAACTGTAAGAAGGGACATACACCCAAAAAGCACCTTTGAAGTTGTCATGATGGACCACTTCCCCACGGCTTCAATAAAACTGCATAGATGGTCCAGATAGTCAGATAAGGTAACACTGAATGGTTTTTTTTCCCCCCTTTTTTACCATTATCTGCTATTTGGCTTCCCGGGGGAAGGGGAGTTCTGTTCAAAACAAGAATGGCTGAGGTTTGATTTATTTGATTTTTATCCTGCCTTTATTATTTTATAAATAACTCAAAGTGGCAAACGTATTTAATACTCCTTCCTCCTCCCATTTTCCCCATAACAATCCTGTGAGTTGGGTTGGGTTAAGAGAGAATAACTGGCCCAGTCACCCAGTTGCCTTTCATGCCTAAAGCAGGGTTAGAACTCAGAGTCTCCTGCCGAGTGGCCCAAAGTCTCTAAACTGGCTTTCATGCCTAAGGCGGGACTAGAACTCACAGTCTCCTGCCGATTGGCCTAAAGTTACCCTGCCAGCTTTCGTGCCTAAGGCAGGATTAGAACCCAGTCTCCTATTTCTAGGCCTATACCTAGACCACTAGACCACACTGGCTCTTTGGTTTCCTTGACCTCCTTAGTACGATGATTCACATGGAGGTCACAAAGTTTTGAACACTTTCTTGAAGCACTTTGCCATCTGAGATAACTTCTCAGTTCATCTGTATATTTTTATCCACCCTTAACCAAACAAAGCCTGGTTACGATTTAATGTTCCCGTTGATGGATAAAGGAATGTTCCTGGATTTCTGGCATGCTTCAGCCTAGAATAGAACCAGGAAAAGCCAGTTTCACACCCAGCCCCAACCATGGAAATTTTGATCCAGTAATTTTTCGCTCCAGCCAATTTCATAGGGTGATTTTTGTGAGGATAAAATAAAGGAAGATTCTCATGCAGAGCATTTGAGTTCCTAGAGGCATATCAAAATCATAAAAAAAACAAAAACAAATTGCTATAGCCAAAAGGAAGCACTGATACTATGCTTTAGGTTAAAACATTAATCCTGTGATTTGGAGTGTCACTAACAACAGCTCCTTCAGAAGCAACCAGCCAATTTAGCAGTTTTTCAAACATATGGAGCCAAACCAGCTGAATTGTTAAGAGGTATGCAATGGAAGCAGTCCCATAATTTGAGACCATTAATTTAAAATAATAATTATGTGTTATGAAGAGGATTCACCATTATGGAAAAATAATTGGAATTAGAAAATCTGTATTAGTCTAAACTGAACAATTTAAGCCCTTGTTACGATTATTCTGTTGCAAACGCTTTTTCTACAAATAGATTGATTTACAGTTCTTGCTGTGTTCTACAGCTCTTGCTATGGCAACAGATATTATATGATTAAATTGGTAAATTAAAGAACCAGTGGCTGTTTAATCTAAAATGTTTTCGTAGACCATAAAATTCTATTATAAATTTAACAAGAATCAAAAACTACAAGAATTCAGAGGATGGAGAAAGAAATATGAACATATGACTTGAAAAGCTAAAAACTAGTCATCCAATCTCATGAGCAAAATATTTCCTCAGCTACAGAAAAAAAGACCTCTTACAAAACCAACATAGCGGACATCTCTCCTGAAATTTCAGCCCATCTGTTTTAATCCCAGACTTATTTCTTCTTTAAAACAGTGTTTCTCAATCTTGGCAGCTTGACTCAATCTTGGTGTGCTTAACTCCCAGAATTTTCTGGGCAGCAAGGAATTCTGGGAGTTGAATTCTAAACATCTTCAAGTTGCCAAGGATGAGATAAAATAAAAAGCCAAGTTGACTTTGTAGCAGTCTGAAATCGTATAGAGATTATCAAGTCATCTTGGGCCAAAATTAATTTTTCTCCACGATCACTCATCCATTTCTGGAAAAAAAAAATTAAAATAATAACACTGACATTGCTTCCTGTGATCAGATTGACTGTACCAGTATTAATTTTTTTTAAGACCCACAATGTGCATCAACTTTTAATTACAAATTCTGACTACTGTACACTTGGATCCAAGAGAGACACCCACCAAATCTCTTGAAACTGTCTGGAATAAGCCAACCATCATTTATTTAAGAGCAGAGGTGGCATAGTGGTTAGAGTGCAATACTGCAGGCTACTTCAGCTGACTGCTAGCTGCAGTTCAGCAGTTCAAATCTCACTGGCTCAAGGTTGACTCAGCCTTCCATCCTTTCCGAGGTGGGTAAAATGAGAACCCAGATTGTTGGGGGAAATATGCTGATTCTGTAAACCGCTTAGAAAGGGCTGTAAAAGCACTATGAAGCGGTATGTAAGTCTATTGCTATTTATCATCTCTACAATATGAGACTGGCAATGTAGACTAGAATATTAAGAACTTCGTCAAGGAGATAAATTGTAAATGCTGCCTAGACCTACCCCTTTCAGCAAACATTCAAAATTATTTGCTATGTAAGGTTTTATTCCAAGGAGTAGAAATCTATGGTGTAGAAGATGTATTTATTTATTAAATTTATATGCTGCCCATCTGACTAGAAGATGCCCGCATCTGAGTATTCTGATTTACAGATACCATCTGGTGGCATGGAAGTAGGAATCTTTGTTGGCGGAAGACTGTAAGTTGAAACTTCCAAATTGTCATCAAATGTACAATAAAACAAACCCGATCAATACAGAATGCAAAATCAGCCATCGGAAATTCAGAAGCTTGCCAATGACAGGAAAACCACCATTTGGCAAGAAAGGACAATTTTCACTTGATCCAAAGATCCTTCACGATTTTCAAGAAATCTATTTGCAGTGGGGTAGGTTTTTCTGAGAAGCACTAAAATATGCCAGAGAAAGAGATGTATTCTGAAAAAAACTCATTTTCTTTTTCTATCAATTTTTTTTTACACTCATATACCAGGGTTTTCATGGACTTCAATTCCCAGGATTAAATTCTGGGAGTTGAAATCCACACATCTTAAAGTTGCCAAGTTCAAAAAACATTGCTCTAAACTGATCATGAATCCCAATTCAAGTCATTTCCACTTCCACTCATCCATTACAGATGACAGAAATTTGAATTCACATCGCTCTTGAGTTTTTTGCCTGGAGAAGGAAGGAAGGAAGGAAGGAAGGAAGGAAGGAAGGAAGGAAGGAAGGAAGGAAGGAAGGAAGGAAGGAAGGAAGGGGAGGGAGGGGGAAAGGGAAAGGAAAGGGAAGGAAAAGGAAAGGAATAGAAAGGAGAGGAAAAGGAAAGGAGAAGAAAAAGGAAGGAAAAGGGGAAGGAAAGGGAGAGGAGAAGAGAGGAGGGGAGGGGAGGGGAGAGGAGAGGAGAGGAGAGGAGAGGAAAGGGGGAATGGAAAGGAAAAGGAAAGGAAAGGAAAGGAAAGGAAAGGAAAGGAAAGGAAAGGAAATTTGCTCTATTTTGAGGATAGAGAAATACTGTAAGGGTTTCTCATTTTGCACATCTGTCAAACAACACATTCTGTTTCAGTTTGGTTTCATCTCCACATCCCATCCATCAGAAGCAACCTTCCCCAATCTGGTTCTCTCTGGGGCTATGATTCCCATAGTTCCTAGCTGGCAACTTTCCTCTGGTTGGCAGACTTCAAAAACCACAATTGCATATAAGGGCCGCACAGCTCAATAGTCCTGTGCGCCAGGAGGGAAAGCATGAACATGGCCAATGCTATAAGTCATACTGACATGACCTGCAATTCCAGGGCATCAAGGCTTCTCCACCGTGTGGTTCTGGAGATGGTGCAGCAAAAGTGAACTGTTTCTGGAAATCTTTCTGGGCTCAGAATGCACAAAATATCTGCCTTTATCTGGCCGTATATGGTGCTGGGCCAACAGACCACCAGAGCGGGGAGTTTTACCCAAGTCAAGATTGAAATAGGACTCTGAGGTCTCCAAGGCATCAGCCAAGGTCTGCTTTCCATCAGCTCCATGGTCTTTGGGCCGCAGCAACATGCTCCTTTCAGAGATATGGTTCCCTCTCTGCAAAAGGATGGCTGAGAACCCTGTGAAGTTCTCCCCAAGTTCTGGGTTCCCCCTGTCTTTGCTACAATTCTGTTTTGGAGACGATGGGTTATGGGCTCCTTTGTCTTTCTCCACCCTGTGGTCCATCTGGTGCTGGATCAGAGCCCACCTTTCTGGGAAGCCCTGTCCACATTCAGGGCACTTCAGCCAACGTTCTTTCGTGTGGCCGATCTGGTGATGAGACAAGCCGGCCGCAGTGACAAAACTCTGCTCGCACTCATGACACTTGTAGGGTTTGGTGCTCGACTGCTGGATGAGGGCAGTCATTACTGTGGATACTGGAGAAGACTTGTCCAGGATGCTAGACCTTGGCGAGATCAGAGCACAGATAGAGGCTTCTTTGAAAGAAGAAACATCTAATGGACTCTTGGCTCTACAGCCTTCCTGTGGATGCAAGCAGGATTCATCTTCTTGTAAGGAAGGAGATGAATGGCTCTGTGGCAGCCCACCAGAGGGTCCCATGGGGATTCTCTGAGGTTTGTTGTTGGAAGTATTGTCATCCATGATGGTTCCTTGGTGGGCAGAAAAACCTGAGCAGCCACAGAACAGCTGATCTTCCAGTGGTTTTCCCTGATTGAAGCTAGAGAGAGCACTTTCTTTGGAAGTTTCTTGTCCTGTCAAGACTTCTTGAGGGTCAGTGAGAGCTGTATCAGAAGGCTCCTCGGTCCGATTCTTCTGATGTACAGCAATATCTAATTCAGGACTGGAAGCTTCTTTGGGTTGAAGACGCTCGTGCGCTTTGTCCCCCAACTGCCTCTCCTGGTGGAGCGTAAGGGCTGAGGTGTCCACCACAGGCTGACCACACTCCATACACTGATCCAGATTCCCACACTTCTGTTCCCTCTGGTGGCAAGTCAGGGCCAACAGATCTCCAAAATCCTGTTCACATTCAGAACATCGGTACAATTTCTCCTGCCTGAAGTTGACCTCACCATGCCCGTGTTCAGAGCAGACAAGAGATCTCCTGTGACTCTGCTGATGACTCCCTAGGATTGAGATATCCTTGCAGCTTTTTCCACATTCAAGACGGACCCAAGCTCCCTGTGCTTCCTCTGGCTCCATGAGGTCTCTCTCCGAGACCTTGGAATTGATGCATGGCGGGACCTTGGGGGGTTCTTGGACCAATGAACGCTTCAGGTTTTCCTTGCCCTTCCTACTTCTCTCATGCTGCCCATCTCTCTTGCGGTCAATCAATTTCACCCTACAGGCCCTATTGATTGGCAGCGAATGGGTTTCTTCATGCTCAACCAGAGCCACGCTATCCTTGCACATCTGTCCGCAAGTGCCACAAATCCAAGGTTCATGGTCCTCCTGATGGCAAGCCAAGGTTCCGGCATCATCAAAGCTCCTCCCACACTCTGTGCAGATGTAAGAAGTGTGGCTCTCTTCGTGCTGTGCTAACGTTTCGGCATCCTGGAAGCTCTGCCCACAAATATTACAAAGATGAACAGCACGGCAGCTCTGATGCTGCTCCACTTCTCCAGCATCTTTGCCATCCAGACGGCACGTGGCACACGTTACGCTGTTGTCCTCTGAAAGTTCTTGCATGTGGGCATCATCCTCAGGGCTACTGCCATACAGGTCCTCTACGGGGGAAACGCTACTTTCTGGTTCTTTGGCCTTTCTTTTCTCTTTGCACTTCCCATTCTCTTCCTGCTGGTGACGCTGCAGTTCCTCCTCCAGGGCAAAGCGCTGCCCACAACCATGGCAGACGTGGGGCCGTTCCTCCATGTGGATGCGCTGGTGGGTGATGAGGTTGGAGCTTTGGGAGAAACGCCGGCCGCATTCCTCGCAATGGTATGGCCGTTCACCCGTGTGTGTGCGGCGGTGCTGGGTGAGGTGCGAGCTTCGGACAAAGGCCTTCCCGCAGTCCAAACACGCGTACGGCTTCTCACCCGTGTGGATGCGCTGGTGGCGGATGAGGGTGGAGCTCATGCCAAAGCACTTGCCGCAATCAGCACACCGGTATGGTTTCTCGCCCCGGTGGATACGAGCATGCAAAGTAAGATTGGAGGCTAAGGAGAAACTCTGACCGCATTCCCCACAAGCGTATGGGCGGCTTTCACTGTGGCACCGCCGGTGCCGCTCCAGTGCGGAGCTGAGCCCAAAAGTCTTGCCACAGTCTGCACAGCGATAGGGCTCCACTCCCATGTGAAGCCGCTGGTGCTTGACCAGGGTGGCACCGTGGCCAAAGCGTTTGCCGCATTCCTGGCACTGATAGGGCTTTTCCCCAGAGTGAGTGCGCTGGTGCTGGATGAGCTCCGAGCTCTGGATAAAGGTCTTGCCGCAGTCGTTACAACGGAAGGGTTTCTCTCCAGCGTGGATCTTACGATGTTTGACCAGGTTGGCACTCTGTGTGAATCCTTTCCCGCACTCTTCACACTTGAAGGGGCGTTCACCGGTGTGCGTGATCTGGTGTTGAATGAGATCAGAAGAGCGGTAGAAGCTTTTGGGGCACTCGGGACAACGGTAGGGCTTCTCGCCGGTGTGGCTACGTTGGTGCTTGATGAGGTTGGTGCTCTGTGAGAAGGCCTTGCCACATTCCCGGCAGACATACGGCTTCTCCCCAGTGTGGGTGCGCTGATGCTGGGCCAGGTTGGAGCTCCAGGAAAAGGCCTTGCCACAATCCTGGCAGACGTAAGGCTTTTCACCAGTGTGTGTCCGCCGGTGCTGAACGAGGTGAGAGCTCTGAGTAAAGGACTTTCCGCAGTCCGTGCAGGTGTTGGGACGCTCGCCTGTGTGGATACGCCGGTGGCGCACTAGCTTGGACCATTGGCTGAATGCCTTTCCACATTCGCTGCAGGGGTAAGTACGCTCTCCCTTCCCTCGGGCCACAGGGGCTACATCGACTGCAGGCACGTTGTCCTGTTCCATGTGGCTGCTGGGCTCAATGCTCAGGACAATCTCCCCTTCCTCTTCGTTCAGGGGCAATGCTATAATCCACGGCCTGGGGAAATGTAAAGACAAGACCAGATTAAAAATCAGAAAAAGAGCAGTCTCAACAAATTTAAGTTTTCCACATCCACCTGCATCACATCATCCAGAAGACAAAGCTGACTCTGTTCTCCCACTAAATTGATATCAGGCTGAGGACTTTCTAGGGCATAAGATTCTGCTTTCTAGGGCATAACATTCAGGCTACCAGCTCAGCAATATCTGTAAAAAGCCATAATGATAACAGGACAACGATTGGTGCCATCATGTCATTTCACCAAGGACATAGATTTTCAATTGTGTCATGATAAAACTAGTACATAAGGTGTGTCCTTTCCAAGATGACATCATGACTTATGTCATAATTTTCTGAAGTAATCCAGATTCTCAACTTTTGGGTATTGGTCCTTCTAGACCAGGGATCTCAAACCTTGGCAATTTTAAGACTTTTGGACTTCAACTCCCAGAATTCCTCAGCCAGCTTTGCTGGGAGTTGAAGTCTACAAGTCTTAAAAGTTGCCAACGTTGGAGACCCCTGTTCTAGACAGTGACTGGCTCAGGAATTCTGGGAGTTGAAGTCCACATGTCATAAAAGTCCAGAAATCATAAAAGGGCCATAGTTCTAAGACCAATAGAATGATTATTCTGAATCAGTGTTTCACAACGTTGGCAACTTAAAAAGATGTGAACTTCAACTCCCAGAATTTCCCAGGCAGTTCTGGGAGTTGAACCCCACATTATCTTCATGTCGCCCAATTTGAGAAATTGGGGTGAAATGCTCCCGGTTCGGACCGGATCTGGTAGCAATGATGGCGGGTAGTTCGGAGAACTGGTAGCAAAAATCCCTGGCACCCCCCACGCCTATCTTGAGCCACGCGATCATCAGAGGTTTTTGTTGTTGTTTTTTTACTTTTAAAAGCATTTTTTCTTCGGCCCAAAAATTGCTTTTAAAAATAAAAACAAAAGCCTCTGATGATCGCGCAGCTCAGCTGGGATCGTCAGAGCCTTTTAAAAGCATTTTTTCTACAACCTCTTCGGCCAAAGAGGTTGTAGAAAAAATGCTTTTAGAAGTTAAAAAAAAAAAGTTGGCCATGCCTACGCAATCACATTACCCACCACCACCAAGCCACGCCCACAGAACTGGTAGTAACAAATGTTACATTTCACCACTGATCTGAATGCTTATAAGGCAGGAGAGGACAAAGGTAGAGCTAACTGGTATTCAAACTCTTCCTTCAGCACCCGTATGATTCCCTGTCACCTCTCCTGCATTTTTCAAAAGACCTTTTAATTTTTAGAAAATAAAATATGAAACTAGTATGCTGCCAGGTAAATCACCAGGCTTGACCATCAGATTCATTTACAGAAATGCTCCATAATAGGATAGAAAATATTCAGGATTACTCCACCTTTTAGTAAATGGGAACTTTATGTTTTAAAGTGACAACCAAGGCGGCCATTTTATGAACAGGTAAAACATCCACAGCAACCGTTGTCTTTCAGTAGACACCAGTTAAAATTCCAAATGTGCTCTGACTCCCCAAAGTTGCCTCTGTATTGTGTTATTGTGTTAGAGCAGGGGTGTCCACCTTTGACGATATTAAGACTTGTGGACTTCAACTCCCAGAGTTCCTCAGCCAACATGGCTGGCTGGCTGGCTGGCTGGGGAATTCTAGGAGTTGAAATCCACAAGTTTTAAAGTTGCCATGGTGTCAGAATGACCTCAGACATTTGAAACCCAATTGTGTTTTGATCCATTGTTCTTGAAGGACCAGGCTTTCAAGGCCACCTAAAACACTCAGTACTTGCATCTCATTCTGATTGGCTGGAGCTGCTCTCTCATCTCAGATTTAGCTCTTACTCATCTTTCAGTGCAACTTCTTCCAGCTTCATTCCAAGATATCTCTCTCTCACACACAAACACACAAATCCCACCACACCAAGTCTCTTTCTTTCTCATCTGCATAGGGGACTCTTCTGCTTCCAAACTTCCAGGATCAGTCCAGTCTACCTTCTGGGATCCTGTGCAAGAAGAATTTCTAAAGGAATTGGAAACACAAAAGCAAAATGGTTAACTTGAAGCTTAACCAGAAGACTGACCAATACTCTTTAACAGTTGGTCAGGGTTGCACTGTGCCCTGATCAGCAAGAATATCCCAAAGGTGCTTTTTCAGGAGGCAACTGGACTTTCTGGTTTTTCTTTGAAGACATTTCACTTCTCATCCAAGAAGCTTCTGACTGGATGGTGGGGAGTCAGAGCTGAAGAAGCTTCATGGATGAGAAGCAAAACGTCTTTAAAGAAAAATCAGAAAGTCCAGTTGCCTCTTGAAAAAGCATCTTTGGGACAACCATGACCTGGATGACTGAGAATCTCCATAGACATCAGCAAGAATAGAAACTAAAAGTTCCCTATTGGTTTCCTCTCTACCATACAGCTGCAAGACAATATGGGTGGGTGCAGGAAGGGGGGGGGCGCTTGGTTTTATTATTTATTTAATGCATTTCCGTAATACTTCTCTTGAAAACTGTAATTTCAAAGCAGCTTCCAAAATAAAAAATAAAATATGCTGTACCAATACAATACAAAAACCTCTCAATTAAAAAGGTGCAAATGAGAGCCATTCATCTAACATTCATCAATGAGATAAGGTCTTCATAGAACGATAGAAATTCTTTATTGGCCAAGTGTGATTGGACACACAAGGAATTTGTCTCCAGTGCATAAGCTCTCAGTGTACATACAGATTCTCAGTGTACATACAGGTAATCCTCGACCTACGACCACAGTTGAGCCCAAAATTTCTGTTTGTTAAATGAGACATTTGTTAAATGGCAAAAATGAGTTTTGCCCCACATTTTACGACCTTTCTGCAGTTGATAAGTCACTAATCCGGTTGTTACGTGAACCTGACTATCCCATTGACTTTGCTTGTCAGAAGGTCTCAAAAATGATCACATAACACAGGGACACAACGAAAGTCAAAAATATGAACCAGTTGCCAAGCGTCTAAATGTTGATCCCATGATTGTGGAAATGCTGCAAAGATGGTAACTCTGAAAAACGGTCATAAATCACTTTTTTTGGTGCCGCTGTAACTTTGAATGGTCGCTATATGAACTGTTGTAAATTGAGGACTGTTTATGTAAACAGCAAGTAATAGGTCATGGATAAACAACAATAGATAAATCATAAGAAACCAATAGGAGGAGACAATAGGAAAGATGAGAGGATGAGAAATGAGACAGTGATGGGGGAATTAAGTGTTCAACAGTGATGGAACAGTGTAGGGGGAACTATCTCTGTATCAGGGGTGAAATGCTCCCGGTTTGGACCAGATCACCCGATCCGTAGCGATGGCTGTGGGTGGTTCGGAGAACCAGTAGCAAAAATCCCTGCTTCCCCCATGCCCAGCTGAGCCGCGCAATCATTAATTTTTTTTTATTATTTTTAAAAGTATTTTTTCTACAACCTCTTTGGCCAAAGAGGTTGTAGGAAAATTGCTTTTAAAAGCCTCTGGCGATCCCAGCTGAGTTGCCTGATTGTCAGAGGCTTTTAAAAGCATTTTTTTACAACCTCTTAGACCAAATCCCAGCTGAGTTGCTCTGACGATCAGGCAACTCACTGGGATCGTCAGAAGCTTTTAAAAGCATTTTTTACAACCTCTTCAGCCAAAGAGGTTGTAGAAAAAATGCTTTTAAAAGTTTTTTTTAAAAAGTTGGCCACGCCCACTCAGTCACATTAAACCCACACACACACCAAGCCATGCCCACAAAACTGGTAGTAACAAATTTTACATTTCACCTCTGCTCTGTATCTAGTGGTTTTGGCATGCAATGCCCTATAGCAGCATCCTGAAGGGAGAAATTGAAATAGACTATGTCCAGGATGCTAGGGGTCTGTAGCAGGGGTGAAATCCAGCAGGTTCTGACAGGTTCTAGAGAACCGGTAGCAAAAATTTTGAGCATTCAGAGAACTGGTAGAGGAAATTTTGAATACTTTGGAGAACCAGTAAATACCACCTCTGGCTGGCCCCCGAGTGGGGTGGGAATGGAGATTTTGCAGTATCCTTCCCCTGCCATGCCCACCAAGCCACGCCCACAGAACCTGTAGTAAAAAAAATTGGATTTCACCACTGGTCTGTAGATATTTCCTCAGCCCTGTTTTTGGTTCGTGCAAATCCTCAATGGGGGATCATTCATCAATGGTCTCTTCCTATTAATTCCCCTTCAGAGGCTTCTTGGTGGAGGAATCCACACAGAGAGATGTCCATGGAGATTCTCAGTCATTCAGGTTATGGTGCTCCCAAAGGTGCTTTTTCAAGAGGCAGCTGGACTTTGTGTTTTTTTTTTTCTTTGAAGACGTTTTGCTTCTCATCCAAGAAGCTTCTTCAGCTCTGAAGAATTCTTCAGAGCTGAAGAAGTTTCTCAGATGAGAAGCGAAATATCTTCAAAGAAAAACCAGAAAATCCAATTGCCTCTTGAAAAAGCACCTTTGGGACATACAGAGAGAGTTTACATGAAGTTCGGAAATATTGTCAATTATCTACCTCTGTATGGAGCATCTCTTGGCATCACAAGAACAAAACACTTCCAGACAGGAACTCACCAAAGGTGGATCGAGACACAGAGGGTGACAGATAGGAAGAAAATTAGAAAGAGTGACACTTTACAAAAAAAACCTGACAGGTTTGGGAAGGCAAAGTGGGAGTAACAATACACCTTGCTCTTTGTGGAATTGCAAAACTCCTGCAACATGCAGATGAAAATGCAATGGTTAGAAGTAAGCAGTACATTTACAGGTTGTTCTTGACTTACAATGATTTGTTTAGTGACCATTTGAAGTTACAACGGCACTGAAAAGTGACTTATGACCATTTTACACACCCTTACAGAATCCCTATGGTCACAACACTTAGCTACCTGCATTTTCTTAATCTAATTCTCTTCTCTTCTTTCCCTTTGTTGTGGCTCGCAAGCTGCCAGCAGAGCTGGCGGCAGACTAATACGATGAGGAGGTTGGGGAGGAACTTGGGCCAGTTCTGGAGTCTGGGAAAGGCTCTGATGGATGCTCTGGCATCCAGAGCAGAGATAGAGCCAGGGCCGTCTGACATTTCCCAGCCACCGGAGAGGCAGCTGCCTTTGTAGGCTGATATGAGTGAGGAGGAAGAACACCTGGGGCCTGTTCCAGATGCACGTATGCGCAGAGCAGTTAGAAGAGGTGAGCAATGGAGGACAAGGAATCGACTCGGGAGGCAAAGCACACTTGGACGCTGAATGGCCCCTCCCTGGCTAGGGAATATATAGAAGGAAAGGGGAGTGGTTGTCGTAGGAGACAACAGTTCGTATTTCTGAAGATTTTGCTCATTGTGTTTCATGCCACAAAGACTGCTTGCCAGAATTTAATTTGCAGCCTTTTGGCTGGGAGCTCACGGCCTTGCAATTATCTCAAGAAACTGATAAGGTCTGTTATTGCAATTAATTACTTGAAGGCAGTGGTGAAATCTGAACTGGTTTAGTACCAGTTTGCTGGCTGCACATGTGCAATGCGCACCACGCACCAAATGCAAGGTGCACGCACAGTGCACGCCAAAAGGAGGCATGCGGTAAGTAGAACAGCGCACGAGAGAGGGTGATCAGCTGTGGCGCGCAATCTTTTTTTTTTTTTTTTTTAAAGCATTGCTTTTAAAAGTAAAAAAAAAAAGCCTCTGATGATCGCGCTGCTCAGCTGTGATCGTCAGAGGCTTTTTTTTTACCTTTTAAAAGCATTTTTTCTACAACCTCTAAGAGGTTGTAGAAAAAATGCTTTTAAAAGGCACTGACAGGCCAGCTGAGGCTCAGGCCAGCTGAGTTGCCTGATCGTCAGAGGCTTTTTTTTTCTTTTAAAAGCATTTGCTTTTAAAATGGGTGGGATCGTCAGAGCCTTTTAAAAGCATTTTTTTTACAACCTCTTCAGCCGAAGAGGTTGTAGAAAAAATGCTTTTAAAAGTAAAAAAAAAAAAGCCTCTGATGATTGCACAGCTCAGCTGGGCATGGGCAGAGGTGGGCAGGGATTTTTTGCTACCGGTTCTCCGAACCCCCGCTGCCATCGCTACCGGGTCGGGCGATCCGGTCCAAATCGGGAACATTTCACCCCTGCTTGAAGGACTATTGCCTGGACTTTTCAGTGGGTGAATGCAATTAATTCACAAGAGGTAAATAAAGAGGGTTTTTCGTGACAAGAAGTCTGTTTCTTGCTTCTGCTAAGGCTGGGTCAGAGCACTCTTTACCCCAAATTCTCCCCTTTCTACACACTATCTTCCAAGTTAATTGCAAGGTTTAGCAGTCCAATACTCTTCCTCCAGCCCCATTTTCACACTGCTGACTCAGAATTAAAAAAAAAATATATCTCCCCAAGGCCAATTTATGAATCAACAGATGGCTAAAATGCAATTCTCTCCAGGCTGAACCTGGATCTTTCTTTCATAAAAGGAACTTACTAAGAAAAGGTAGTCCTTGACTTACAACTGTTCTTTTAGTGACCATTCCAAGTTACAAAAGTACTGAAAAAAGTGACTCAGGACCATTTTTCACACTTACAACCGCTGCAGCATCCTGACGGTCACATGGTCAAAATTCAGATATTTGGCTCGTATTTATGAAGGTCACAGTGTCCCAGGATGATGCAATCACTTTTTGCAACTTTATGGCAAGCAACGTCAACGGGGAAGCCAGGTTCACTTAACAGCCATGTTATTAACTTAACAACTGCAGTGATTCACTTAAGAACTGTGGCAAGAAAGGTTATAAAATGGGACAATCTAGCAGGTTCTGACAGGTTCTGGAGAACCGGTGGCAGAAATTATGAGCAGTTCGGAGAACCGGTAGCGGAAATTTTGAGTAGTTCGGAAAACCGGCAAATAACACCACTGGCTGGCCCCAGAGTGGGGTGGAAATGGAGATTTTGAAATATCCTTCCCCCAGGAGTGGGGAGGGAATGGGGATTTTGCAGAATCCTTCCCTTGGAGTGGAATGGGAATGAAGATTTTGCAGTATCCTTCCCCAGCCACTCCCACCAAACCACACCACGCCCACAGAACTGGTAGTAAAAAAATTTGGATTTCACTACTGGGCGAAACTCACTTAACAACTGTCTCGCTTGGCCACAGAGATTTTGGCTTCAATTGCGGTTGTAAATCGAGGACTACCTGTATCTTGTAGCCTGCATACTATAAACGTGTTGGAGTAATGCTAATGAGACCAATTTCGTTGTATATATGATGTATAATGACAATAAAGGCTATACTATGAGACTCCTCCCTTACCAGGGGTGGTATTCATTTATTTTCCCTACTAGTTCGCAAATGTGAATGCACGCTCATGCGCCCGCCTTCCGCACATGTGCTTTGCTGGCGCACGCGCCTTCTACACGTGCCCAGCAGGAGTGGGGTGGGTTCTACTTACCTTTACTACTGGTTTACAATGTGCAAATCACCCACTATATCATCGTGGCATGTGGGCGGGGCCTCCCACCGGTTTTACTACCGGTTCTATAGAACCGGACCTAACCAAGAGCAACCCACCACTGGTGCCCAGCCTCAAAAACGTGCCTAAATATGATGGCATAAAGCCAGGGCAGGGGGGTGGACCCACCCCACCCCACCCCACCCCACTCCACCAGCAATTTCCGTTACCGGTTCAGACAAACCGGTCTGAACCGGCTGAATACCACCTCTGTCCCTTACCCATAGAAGCCTCTGGGCAACTTTGGACCAGTTATTCTCTAACAACCCAGCTTTCTCTACAGAACTGATTTGCATAAAAGAGAAGAGGAAGTAGCTCTATGCACACTGCCTTGACTTCCTTTACAAAGGGCGGGATATAAATCGTACCAATAAATAGAGAACCTTTTGAAAGACAAATAGAAATCATCCCATTGGTAAAATTTTATTTTTATTTTTATTTTGTAGACTGGATGATCAGTAGGTCTTCATATCTACGGAGATTCTCAGTCCTCCGCGTGACGGTTATTCCAACGGTGCTTTTTCAAAAGGCAACTGGACTTTTCTTTGTTTTTCCTTCAGTTCAGTTCAGAATCGAAGAAGCTTTTTGGATGAGAAGCGAAATGTCTTTGAGGAAAAACAAAGGAAGTCCAGTTGATTTTTGAAAAAGCACTTTTGGGACAGTAGCTCTTAAATTTCCTACATCACAATCTTGGAACTACCAGATCTGGATTGCAAAAAAAAAAAAAAAAAATCCAGACTATCACCAACTGACATAGAAAACCATGAGATATAGAAAACTATGCCTCTGCTGCCCCCCAGTGGTCAGCTGGATTTTTGCAGGAGAGATATGGTCATCCCAGAAGTGGGGAAGGAATGTGGATTTTGTAGTATCCTTTCCCCAGGAGGGGAGAGGGAATGGAGATTTTGCAGTATCCTTCCCCTGCTACGCCCACCAAGCCACGCCCACCAAGCCACACCACACCCACCAAGCCATACCCGCAGAACCAATAATAAAAAAATTTGGATTTCACCACTGGGTCATCCTAAACTCTTCTAAACATTTTTGACAAAAGCCAACATATCCTACTTCTGTGCCTCTTGGCTTCCCTTTGTTGCAAGGTAGGTACTTAAATATAATAAAGTACTAGAGGTAGATACATGCACAAATCCACAGGAACCCTAGAAAACATCATGTATCATTTTTCCAGGGCAGGTGGGCGGCCAAATGCTAGTGACGTGGGAAGTTTTATCTCCCTGCCATGGTGGAAATCAGCACAGCAGTTTATTTCCCATCACAAGAAATATTTAGAAAATAATTAAAAGGATGTCATTGCAATTAGCGTGACACTGGTTACAAATCCTTGTTTTTTTAAAAAAAAAACTCCCCGGGGGTATTTTTTTTTTCCATTTTCAAATACTAGTTTTCCACCATGAAGATGTTCAGAGTACCTCAAAGCATAAAAATAATACAGGTAGTCCTCAACTTACAACAGTTCATTTAGTGACTGTTCAAAGTTACGACAGCACTGACCTATGATCGTTTTTCACATTTGATCGTTACACAATCCCCATGGTCATGTGATCAAAATTCAGACAATTGGCAACTGACTCATATTTATGACAGCTGCAGTGTCCCAGGGTCATAGGATCACTTTTTGCAACCTTCTTACAAAGGCAGTCTTGTAAGCTAGATTTACTTTACAAACCATGTTACTAACTTAACAACTGCAGTGATTCACTTAACAACTGTGGCAAGAATGGTCCTAAAGTGGAGCTGAACTGTCTCGCTTAGCAGGAGAAATTTCGGTCTCAACTGTGGTTGTAAGTCGAGGACTACCTGTAATATACAAGACCAATAAAGTCTAGTATTAAATATGACAAAATTGGAAACAGGCATTTATTTTTAGGATATGTGTATTTAGCAGAAATAAAAGTTAAGTATTCTTTGTATTAAATTCAACTTCTGGAGATTTCATAGACAGAATCATGTAGGTATCATGGCCAGCAATTTGGAAGTGGCTTCTCAACTACCTATTTACCAGACATTTTTTTAATTCTCCAGTTTAGTCGTCTTCTTTTTTTTCCTAGTGGTCTCCCATCCAGCCCTGCTTAGCTTTTCAAGATGAGCCAAGATACACACCATTTTCCATCTATTCAGTCTAAACCAGGAATGTTTGCATATCCATTCCATCTTTTTTTAGGTTTTTTTTATCCCATTGTTATTATTTTTATAAGTAACTCAAGGCAGCGAACATACTTCATATAGGTAGTCCTCGACTTGCGACCACAATTGAGTTCCCAAATTTCTGTTGCTAAACAAGAGTTGGGTTTTGCTCCATTTTACGACCTTTTGTGCCACAATTGTTAAGTGAATCACTGCACTTACTAAGTTAGCAATACGGTTGTTAAGTGAATCTGGCTTCCCCATTAACTTTGCTTGTAAGAAGGTTGCAAACGGCGATATGACCCCGGGACCCTGCAAGCATCATAAATATGAGCTAGTTCCAAGCATTCGAATTTCAATCACATGACCGGGGGGACGCTGCAACGGTCATAAGTGTGAGAAACAGTCATGTTAGTTTTTTCAGTGCTGTTGCAACTTGGAACAGTCACTAAACAAATGGTTGTAAGTTGAAAACTACCTATACTCCTTCCTCTGCCTATTTTCTTCACAAAAAATCACCCTGTGAGGTGAATTGAGTTGAGAGGGAATGACCAGCCCAATGTCACCCAGCTGGTTTTTCACGCCTGAGGCAGGATTAGAACTCAGTGTCTCCTAGTTTCTAGCCTGCTGCCTTAACCACTAGATCAATCTGGCCTTAAATAATAAATAAATCTTCCTTAAATAATCCAATTGCCTCAGCTTAAGCAACTCAAAATAGCAAAAGAAGTCCTCTGCAAAATACATTCACAAAGTCAAGTCAGTCAACTTTACAAAGGATATACAGCTAACAAGATTGTCCTCTTTCCTGCTTCTGTTTAGGTTATTCTTAAAAGGGAACTGCTGCAGCCGAGATCTTCCTCTCTAGAAGAGCCAAATCCAGATAACAAAGGCATACCTAATTTTTAAGACTGGAAATAACAGCTGATAATAAATTCAGTTAATACCCTCCTTAAGAGTTACGGAAATGGTTCTCAATAGTGCCATGAATGAATGGGAATTAGAAGCAGATTGGAACAATTTCTCAACTTTAAGATCTGCAGACCCAAGTCCCAGAATTCCCCACCATGTATGCAGCAGTTTGACTGGCTGCTGCTAGGGAATTCTGGGAATTGAAGTCCACATATCTTAAAATGACCAAGTTTGAGAAACGCTGGTCTGAAGGGGCAACAAGGACAGTTACAGAAAAGTTTAATTAAATCCTTAAAATGGATTAAAAATAACAGAATGCCTATAATCAAGTAGCCATCTTTAGTGGATAAAGTGGAATCTTTTTATGATGAAGGATGCAAATGATCTAACACCGCCTCTGTGGGACTTAAAATACAAAGGGCTCTTAGGCTCCAGCCCTACTTTGCAAGCAGAGGAAACAAAAATGAATCAAGCTGTCTCAGAGAAGAACAGCAATCATAAAAAGATTAGGAGAGATAAAGGCAAACAGACCAAGAGTCAGTCCTTCCCTGAATTTTGGATTACTGGACCCACGAACCTAGCCCCGGTATCCAAAATATTTTGCAATTTGAAAGGCTCAGCAACTGGACTTTCTGGAAGAAAAACAGGGTTCCTTCAGCCTCTCCAAACAATTGAGTAAGACAGTGAGGTAAATGTAAAAAAATAATAATACTGGACTTGCACTAATTGCAAGAACTTCACTGATTATCCAGCAAAGAAGGCAGTGCTACAGAAGCTACTGTCCTAAATTTTAAGTGTCTAAGGTTTGGGGGGGGGGTTGCAATTTTTAAATTTTTATTTTCAAATAAATGTATAAATTTTAGCAGCAAAGAAAAACCACAAGAGAGAAAGAAAGAATGGAAAAAAGAAAGGAAAGGAAGCAAGAATTTTAGGGAGGCCGCCAAGCAAATGCTTACAAATGCTTATAATCCCAAAGAGTTTATAGAACTGTGGTGTGCAATCCTCCTTTCAGTTAAAATTAAAGCAACATATTTCACAAACTAAAAATGTTGGTGGTCCGCAGAAAAATTATTTGCATTTTTTATATTGCACTAAATACTATTTATTTATTTATTTTTAAAATCGTATTAGTTGTCCGCAGGATTTAAAATTAGGAATTTAGTGGTCCCTGAGGTCCGAAAGGTTGGTGACCCTTGCTCTAAAACTTAATAAAACTTCAGAATCTATACAGGAGAGAAACAAAATAGTTTTAGACACATACTATCAATTACTATCAAATACAAAATTCTCTAAGCAATAGTGAGAAACCTTGCAAAAAAGAAAGTGCCAAAAAAGGTTGGTCTTTTAAATCTCTCCCCACCCCCCAACCCCATCCCCCACGACTGGTCCCTTTTCACAGGAACAAACATCTCACACTTAGGCAACCTGGCCGGTTCCAGCAACTTCAGAAGCTGCCCCCAAATTTTCTTCTCTCCGCTTGTTGGGTCATGTCGCCCCATCCTTTAACTATGCCTTGGCACTGACTGAAGTCAAGGACAAAAACACAGGTTATAAATCCCTTCGGCAAGGCACGCAACCGGGGAAGGGAAGGATCCTTAATCCGCACTAAGAGAACCGCTTCTAATCTCCTTCCTGCCAACTTTTCTTACAGCGTCGCAACCGAGGGAACCACCAACCTATTGTTTCCTTCGCTTCCTTTGCCACTTAACCAAGGGGAGCTCCGCCTCGACGAGACAGCCTTCTGGGCCAAACCCCCGTTGCAAATAAATAAATAATAATAATGCACCCATTTCGCAGCTCTTTTGCAAAAGACTCAAACCTGACCCTTGCAGCTGCTCTGGCCCGGGATTGCACCGCTTTTGCAGAGATGCATCCCGGGGATATTCCCCGCATTCTTGCAAACTAGCCCTTCTCCTCTTTTCTTCCTTTCTCCCCCTTCTCTCCCCGACTGGCCCTCCCCAAAAGCACCGCTCGATGCAGGCACCGATCTCCGCTCACCAGCAAGCAGGCTCAGGGTGACTGGGAGCGAGCGGAGGAAGTGCTTTGGGCAGCTCAGCTCCCCTCTTCCGCCGCTGCAGACTGCGAGGGGGAAGGAGCCCTTCTCTATGGTGTTTAACCATTTCCCCTTAAAGAGGCAGCGGACGGGGCCGCAAGGACGCGCCCCTCCAAGCGCCACCGGATCGGGGTTGCACGCCAGGCGCTGGGGCGGCTGTGCGCGACCCACCGCTCAGGCTGCCGCGATGCACGGATGGCGAATCATAAGGGATGGTGCATAACGAATAATGGTGTATATATATATATTTATATATATCATAATGGATGGAAACTGGTCAAGGGGAGATTCAACCTAGAAATAAAGGAGAAATTTTATGGCTGTGAGAATAACCCACCCAAGAGAACAGCTTGCCTTGTGGGAGCTTCTATCACTGGAAGCTTTCAAGAAGAGACTGGACTGCCATCTGTCAGAAATGGTGTTTGGTCTCCTGCTTGGTTTGGGGGGTTGGACTAGATGACCTACAAGGTCCCTTCCAACTCTGTTAAGGGAGTGAAAGCGTTCGCGAATCGGTTGCAAGCATCATGGGAAGAGGCGCGGCGATGACAACTAGGAGAAACAGATCCGGGAGTCCCAGGCTTTATGGATGGAGGTTTTGAGAAGATCTTCGCTCCACGCAAATTCAGTGCCGAAGCTTTTTGTCGTTCCTACCCACATCCAAATGGGAAGGTTTGCAACACTCTGCCTGTCTCTATTTGATGCTGCCACAGGTGGCACGCTATCACCGACCTTGGCTGCTCTCAACACAAGTTAAGCAAGGTCAGAGCAAGTTAGTATCTGGATGGAACATCATCAGGAGATCCTGGGACCGTACCATATAAGCTGTTCTCCAAAGCACCTGAGGGCAGGATAAGAAGCAATGGATGGAAACTAATCAAGGAGAGAAGCAACCTAGAACTAAGGAGAAATTTCCTGACAGTTAGAACAATTAATCAGTGGAACAACTTGCCTCTAGAAGTTCTGAATGCTCGAACACTGGAAGTTTTTAAGAAGATGTTGGACAACCATTTGTCTAAAATGGTTTCCTGCCAGAGCAGGGGTTGGACTAGAAGACCTCCAAGGTCCCTTTATTCTATTCTTCTATCCTATCCTATCCTACCCTATTCCATTCTTCTACTTTAGAGTGGTGGAATTCTGGAAGTCCATACATCTTAAAGTTGCCTAACTTTATGCTAGACCACATAAATCAATCTCCTAATCAAGTTTGATTTCTCCTGACTCTCTGTATACCTACTTGTAGTTTTCTACAAGTAGGTATACAGAGAGTCAGGAGGAATCAAGCTTGAGTAGAAGGAGATTGATTTATGTGGTCTAGCATAAATAGTTTTCTATAAATGTCATTTGCTCTAAGTTTCTTTAGAATATTTACTTTTTATTCAGTATGGACCTGAAATTTCCAGCTGCTGTCCCTACAAAGCACAAACCAGGTCTTATTTATAAAAACATTTGAAGGAACAGAATCAACAGCTGCAAAAAGAGGAGGAAAAGGTGAAGAGACAGTGGGTGAAGAATAAAATAACAGCAAATAAACAAGTTTACAATAATCATAAAATTGGAAGTTTGGTGTTGTCATTGTTTTGTGGAATCGTATTTATCATGTTGACATGTGCGATTGTTATTTAGCAGAAGTATAAAGGATCTTGGGCCCATATTTTTACAGGCATATGGTATATAAATTGACTAATAAATATGACTTCTGGATATCATCGCTGCTCTGCTCTGTGACTATAAGGCTACAACATGTGTAGGCCTTTATCATTGGTTACAGAGCCATATTTTTAGACTGGATTTGGCATTTTTGTCCATCAGTTGAGTCCTTCTCAATGCCCTAAAATAGGCAGATGTTTCTTAATCATACTAATGGAGCCATTGCAGGATCTAAGCTGTTCCAAGTAAAAATACCTTTTGCAATTGACTGTTCTTGTTATTTTACCGTTGCCTAACTACCAAAAACAATTTATAGACCAGACTTTTTGAACCAGATCAATGGCACCAGTCTGGGAAAAGATATTCCTGTTCGATTTCTGGCTGTTATCACGTATGTCAGAACTGGAGAAGCAGAGATGCTTTCCTGGAGACAGGATCTGTTGAATCTGCCTTGTTTGACTGGGTTCATGCACCAAGCTGAGCCATAATTTAACTGTGGTTTGTTGGAAGAAACAATCACATCAAACGAAATCATATTTTTAAACCTAAGGATTAGGATTGACATTTTTCCATTTTGAGTGTTAAAAACTGCTGTACTTTGAATATGTATCCCCAGGTTGTATATATATATATATGAAGAAACTAATTTGTAATTACGCAATCACACCTATAAGCACACTCTCCAAGAGCATTTAATTATATTTTTACTTGATAAGCAGTTTGCTTTACACCAATGCCAAGGATTTCCAAGCCCCAATGTTTTGCAAAAATACGTGTTTGATTCCGCCCCTAACATTTTCCTAACTGCAGTGATTCGCTTAACAAATGTGGCAAGAAAAGTCATAAAATAGAGCAAACTCACAAGTTTCTCACTTAACAACATAATTTTTGGGCTCAATTGTGGTCGAAAGTTGAGGACTTCCTGTATCGCCCTGCGCATTATCACTAGATGGGACCTCTGCTTGACATTCTTCCAACAGCCATTGCAAATAGGAGTTGGTGAAGAGGGCTATGATGTCACACTGCTTTAGTGGATTTTCTGATGTAGCACCAAGCGCCCTCCTGATAAACAATGCCCACCATCCAAGTGCTGAAACAGATGCTCACCTGCACAGGTCTGAGGTTACAAACTATGTGAACCAACCCCAAAGATTTTGAAATGGTTTCTCTCCAGGGTGGAGCTATCATGAAAGAGCACTGGTATAGCCATTAAGTAGAACTGAATCCAAAGGTTTTGCTAGAGCTACGGTGGTGTAGTGGTTAGAGTTCAGTATTGCAAGCTACTTCTGCTGACTGCTGGCTGCCTGCAATTTGACAGTTCAAATCTCACCAGGCCAAGGTTGACTCAGCCTTCCATCCTTCCAAGGTGGGTAAAATGAGGACCCAAATTGTTGGGAGCAATATGCTCACTCGATAAACCACTTAGAGGGCTGTAAAGCACTGTAACGCAGTATATAAGTCTAAGTGCTATTGTTTTGCTATTATAAGCTTTCTGGTTAGAGGCTGTGATAGCATATAGTGTCGTAAATTGTGTCACATAATTTATCCTTTTATGTTATAGGTCAGCCTTAGTCCTCCTGCTTCTTCGAAAAAAAGTCACATTAGTGAACAAAACATTTTTTTTTATTATTATTTTTCTTGTACAGAATTAACTACCCAGAAACATCATTTTTCAAAAAATACAAAACGTGCATTCTTCTCCATTTGGCTAAAACTGGAGAGAATTTACAGTAGATAAAGCCCAGTCTAAGAGTAATTCCAATTAATGACCTCTGGCTCCATTAACAAAGGAAGCAAGCTGGACAGAAACAGTATGCAATACAGAAATATTACTGTAGGTTGCTCCTGCAGTAACTTTTTATAGTTCTCAAAAACTCTTCATTTGCATAAAGACCAAGCAGTTGGTTGGGGAAAGGTAGCACTGCATAGACAAATGACCCCTTTTCATCCATTTTCCTGTATACAGAAAAAAACCTTTGCAATTTCCCCTTGAGAGAACAGTAACAGCATGGCCATATAATCTGTGCAAACAGGAAAGAAAAGGGCCTCCCTCAACGTGCATTCTGCCTTAGGACCCCTGATGCAGGAAGTATTTTGTATGTGGCACTTATCCCTGTTCACATCAGTTATTCCAGCTGTCTCCAAGCTGTTCGGCTCGGCGGACCAGCGGAGGTGGCGGCAACGTGGAAACGGGCTGGTTTCACACGTATGTGTGCACCACTTTCACAAATGCAGCTTCGTGTACGCACACACAGACTCGCCCACCACTTCTGCAGCCCGGTTCCAAAAGAGCTGCAGCCCAGCACTGGGTCACAGACTGAGGGTTAGGGATGCCTGACTTATTCAATCTGCAAAAACCTACACAATCAGTAGTGGGCAACAAGGAGATATAGAAAACTCTTGCTGCCACCTAGTGGTCATATGGATATTACAGTCCAGTTTTGAAATGTTGACCACACATCCGTGTAAAGCTTAGTCTATATTTATTCGATATTGGCTATCTGAAAAGTCCCAGGCATTATGAATATTCTGACTGAATGCATCCAGGTTCTTTTCTCCATTTGATAGGACTGTCAACCAAGCTCTAGAGGTGACCTATGACAACTTTCAATTTCCCCCAATTCTGATAGAAGGAACATAACAGTCACCTGGGTAAAGCAGGTTGTCTAATCAGGAGTGTCCCACTGTTCTCTAAATGTGAAGCAAAGCATGAACCAAAAACAAAATCAGAACAAGATCTGGTACCACTGCCTGTTCCTTGAATATCTGAGGAGGAACCTGAATAAATCTTTGGACTAGAAAACTATATACAATATATAATATATAAGTTATTACAAGTGGGGGGCATCTAGATTTTTTAGTTAGCCATCTCCTTTTTCCATTTTGCCTCTACTGAAGTAATGCTTTCTCAAATCCAAAGATAAATATTTCCACAGTAGCAATTTTTAAATTTGTCATTAACCCCACATCTCAGTCAAAGTCACAAATCAAAACCAGCTTGGGTCAACCTAGACCAGGGGTCGGCAACCCATGGCTCCGGAGCCGCATGTGGCTTTTATCCCTCTGCTGTGGCTCCTTCCCTTCATCCCTCTGCTGCAGAGAGAAGCAGCTGGGTCTGATTTTCCAGCGCCTCATCTCTTGCAAGGTCTTGCAGGCACTTCCTCTGGCCCTTGTTGGTGCTGGGCGCGCCTCGGTTGCTTGGGGAGACGTATGACCTGCTCTCCGCCCTGAGATACTGGCCTGACGCGGACGCAGCCGCTGCCGCTGCCGCTGCCATCTTCATGGTGTGTCTACTTCTCTCACAGCACATTATACAACACAGTGAAATTTAGCATGCTTCACAATGGAGGAGACGGGCTCCCCTCCTCCTCCTGGAGCCCATTATGACACGGAGCCACAATGCAACCCTGCCCCACTCACCACTGGCAACAGCAGCGGCATCGACCACGGCTCAGGGAGGGTCAGTAACTCGGGGCGGAGAGCAGGTCTTGCATCTCCCTAAGCAATTGAGGTGTGTCCAGCACTAACAAAGGTCAGAAGTAGTCGCCCACTGTTTCCTGCTGCAATCTGTCAGGCAGCAAGACCCAGCTAGAGATGAGGTGCCGGAAAATCAGAATCAGAGAGAGAGAGAGAGAGAGACAAGAGATGCAGAGAGAGACAAAGAGAGACAAAGAGAGACACAGAGAAAGAGAGAGAGAGAGAGAAGAGAGAGAGAGAGAGGAAGAGAGAGAGGGAGAGAGGGAGAGAGAGAGAGAGAGAAAGGTGAACACACCAAGACCAGGTGTGGCAAAAGGTGGCTGGGCGTGGCAAATGATTTAACAACCAGTTCTCTGCCCTAATGACCAGTTGAGTAGGCTTGGCTGGAGGGAGTCATGTCACTGGGTGGGTGAGTGACATCAAGTTAGCCATGCCCACCCAGTCACACCGATTGTTAAATTACTGACTCCCAGTGTTTTCTTTTCTGTGGGAAATGGGTCCAAATGGCTCTTTGAGTGTTTAAGCTTGCAGAACCCTGATCTAGACCATCCATTTCAAGCCCATTGTAACCAAGACTTCCTGCAGTCTAATTTGCCCACAATTTTTTTCACTAGTCAAGACAGGTTACAACAGTGTTTCTCAAACTTGTTGGCTTTAAAAGGCTGGCTGGGGATTTCTGGGAGTTCAAGTCCACACATCTTAAAGCCACCAAGATTGAGAAAACAATGAATTACAAGATCATGGTCACAGATTTATTCAGAGGAGAGGACAAAGGTATTCTGTACCAAAGCAAATGCCAAAATTTGGCACTAATCTTGGACTTATTAGTGCTAGAATAGTCTCTGCAGCTTTATTCACATTTGTTTACACCAGAACGGATATTTGTCCATAGGAATGACTCAGTGGTCCTCTATGTTCTTGACAGTCATTGTTCAAATACTGCCTAAAACTTTGCGGACAATCCAGACCTGCGTAGGATTGGTCAAAAACACAAGCAAACTGATCTTGGATGGCTATGTTGGACAAACTAAAAGAGCGTCAGCATTCCCAAGATGCTTCAGGATGCTCCTCACTATGGATTGCCTGGCCTTGAGAAAAGCTGGAATTCCTACTGAGCATCTGCAGAGGATTATTCAGAAGAGTCTCATTAGTGGGTTGGAGATTTAGATTAGAACATTCACCCAATTGATCTGGTCCATCCTGGACGACTCAAGAGTCATCATCTCCACCATCAAATCTCTCACTCCATCTGCAATCATGGCTATACGATGTCAGGTACAGGTGACAAGCCATCAGTCGGTCAGTTCCTATCGCAACCCACAGATCAAAACTCAGATGATTTGGGGGGGAAAGCAGACTTTACCCTTGCAGAAAATCATTAGGAAGAAAAGAAAAATTCTGCCATCATTACTGTCCCCTACCCAAAGCTCCCCCCACCTCTTTATTTTCAGGGTTCCCCGTAGAGAGAACCCCAGCTCTGCTGCTATGAACAATGCCCAATCTGACCACCCATCATTGGGTTTGGTCTCCAGGGCAGAGGGCCACCTCCTGCTTCCTTTGTGGCTGCCATTGATACTGATGTATCCGAGAATGCTGTATAAGGTTACAGCGGCGAGTGAATTGCCTCCCACAATGAGGACACTGAAAGAGGGGTTTTGCTGCGGTTGCTTGCTGATTCGGGTTCTGGTTCTGGCGCAGGTTGTAGTTAAAGTAGAAGCCCCTGAAATGGTGGTGGAAAAGTCCCGTGGCAGAATGGATCTCTTGGTGGTGCGCCAGTGCATGGTGATCCCTAAACCGCTTCCCACACTTGGAGCACTGACACTCTCCACGTTGACAATGTTGGTGCTGGGCCAGTTGGAATGACTTGGCAAAGCTCCTGGGACAACTCATGACTTGGTAGGGCTTGTTTCTGGAGTGGTGCCACTGGTGTCGAGCCATGTCCGATTTGCTAAAGAATGCTTTGCCACAGTCTGGGCATGCAAAGCCTGGCATGATTTGCGGCCAAAGGGATCTTGTCTTCTGCTTTCTGGGAGAGAGACCCTTGACAGTGGCATCACAAATCTTGAGAAGTCTTGGAGACGTTGGCCCGGCGGGCAGGACAACTTCCATATCCTTTTGTCTCCAAGTTTCCAGCTTCTCCTTTTCATTTGAAAACTCTCCTTTAAAGGGGAAGGGGGGGAACAAGTAGGAATTATATTCAGCCTGGAGCACTGTCCTTTTCCATTGGTTGATACTCTGAAATTCCAGTCAACACAAAACTAGATCCTGCTAGACCTCTACCTTAGCATTCATGTAGTCTTCAACTTAGGACCAGTTGCTTAGCGACCATTCAAACTTACGTCAGACCTACCAAGGGACTACTTACTACTCTTATTTTAAATTCCGAAGGTCACCCCTCCTTGCAGTTACATGATTGAACAAGCTGCTTGGCAACCAGGCTGCATTTAAAACTGTTTGCAGGTTCTTGAGGTCATGAGACCTTTGTAAAGGTTCTGACTTCCTCAAAAAACCATATCAGCACACTTTGAAGGAAAGCCAACTCTTTTTCCTCCAAGGTTACAGTTTAGTTAAAACCAGTAATGACCCCTTCCCCATACACTGGCCAATTAGGTTAATTGGCAGGCTTCTCATATATTCCTCTCCTCCTTCCTCCACAGCCCAGGAGATGGCCTTGGTTTCCACAAGAAAGCTTTATGTTGTGTCTAGTAATACATTCCGAACTGTTCTAGCAAACCATTAATTTAAAAAAACTAGGCTCCACAATCTATCAATGACTAGTGCCATCTGAGAGCTTAACCAGGAGGAAAAAGCAGACTTTCTCCAATTAACAAATAGTGTGCTTAATTGGATAAATGGCCTAGATATTACCGTACTTTTTGGAGTATAAGACACACTTTTTCCCCCCTAAAAGAGGGTGGAAATGTTGATGCGTCTTATATACCGAATACAGCCATTTTAGTCTCTCAAAACCCCGCTCCGCGCGTCCCATTTTTGCCAAAAATAGGCCCGCAAAAATGCAAAAACGGGGCCTGCAGAGGATTTGGGAGGCTGCAGAGTGCTCCTGGGGGCTGAGGAGGGCAAAAAATGGGACGCGTGGAGGGTTCCTCTCAAACACACTACAGGCCCCGTTTTTGCAAAAATCAGGCCCGTTTTCAGCCTACCAAACCCCCCATGCATCACGTTTTTGCCCTCCCCCTTTTTTTTTCTTGTTTACCTCTTCGAAATCTTGGTGCGTCTTATACTGCAGTGCGTCTTATAGTTCAAAAAATACCGTAATATATAGAAAACTTATTCTTATGAATCAATATATTTTAAAATCTAATCTATAACTAAAGGAGCACGTTGGCACTCGTGGTTAGGATGGTGGGTTGGAGATTAGCAAGTCCGTGTTTGAGACTTGTGTGATGCCCTGAGATAGGATGAGCTCCCGTCCTTTGCTCCAGCTCCTGATAGGAACATGAAAGGAGCCCCCGACTGTGCGTCTCACAGGCAGCAGTAATGATCCTTTCAACTAATCCTTTCAACTGGAGGCACCTCAGTGACACGAGTGGGATGTGATCTATAACGTATGTTTAACTTCTTGAATTCTTCAAATCTTACCAAACTGATTACATATTTCCATCATACGTGTACCATAGCATTATGTATGCCTTCCATATACTGTATTTTTCGAACTATAAGACGCACTGGAGTATAAGACGCACCAAGCCGATTAAGTGGTTCCGCCCCAGACGTCTAATGGACCCTGAAGGGTTCCAGAAGGAGCTTGGGGAGATACCTGACTCCCTTGTTCACAGTCCGGCTGAGTCCCTGGTGGCTGCCTGGAATAGGGCGGCCTCTGGGGCACTGGACTGGATTGCGCCTTTGCGACCTCTCCATGGCAGTGGATCCAGGAAAGCTCCCTGGTTTACCGAGGAGCTCCGGGAGATAAAGCACCAGAAGAGACGTCAAGAGCGACACTGGAGGACCAGTAACTCAGAATCTGACCGAACACTCTTAAAAGCCTTTATTAGGACTTATTTAGTGGCGATATGGGCGGCAAAATGTTCGCATTTTTCCGCACTTATTGCATCTGCTGATTCGCGCCCAGCCACCCTATTTAGGGTGACTTGTTCTCTCCTTAATGTAGGGGGAGTGGAGGAGCCCTTGCAGGGTAGAGCTGAGGAGTTTGTGCAGTCTCTGTTGGATAAAGTCTCTCAGATTCGGATGGACCTGGTCTCTGATTGGGCAATTCCGACCGAGATGACAGGGGCAGGTCTTAGTCCTATTGTGTGGGATGAATTTGACCTGTGAGTCCTGAGGAAGTGGACAAGGCTGTAGGAGCGATGAGTTCCTCCACTTGTTTGTTGGACCCGTGCCCCTCCTGGCTGGTTTCGGCCAGCAGGGAGGTGACATGAGGCTGGCTCCAGGCTTTAGTTAACGCGTCCTTGAGGGAGGGGTCCTTCCCGCAACCATTAAAGGAAGCGGTTGTAAGGCCCCTCCTCAAGAAGCCTTCCCTGGATCCAGCAGAATTAAAGAACTTTCGTCCAGTCTCCAACCTACCCTTTGTGGGAAAGGTTGTAGAGAAAGTGGTGGCACTTCAGCTCCTACAGTCATTGGATGAAACAGATTATCTAGACCCTTTTCAGTCTGGCTTCAGGCCTGGCTACAGCACGGAAACTGTTTTGGTCATGCTGATGGATGATCTCTGGCGAGCCCGAGATGGGGAGTCATTCCTCTATCTTGGTGCTACTTGACCTCTCAGCAGCTTTCGATACCATTGACCATGGTATCCTTCTAGGACGACTAAGGGAGTTGGGAGTGGGAGGCACCATGTTACGGTGGTTCTCCTCCTATCTCTCTGGTCAGTCACAGTCAGTGTTGGCAGGAGGACAGAGGTCGACCCCTAGACCCCTCGTTTGCGAGGTGCCTCAGGGCTTGGTCCTCTCTCCCCTCCTATTTAACATCTACATGAAACCGCTGGGTGAGATCATCCGACAATACGGGGTGGGGTATCAGCAATATGCTGATAATACCCAGCTGTATATCTCCACCTCGCGTTAGTTCAGTGAAGCAGTGGAGGCTTCACTGCTGGAGGCTGTGAGGGTCTGGATGGGAGTCAACAGGCTCAGACTTAACCCAGACAAGACCGAGTGGCTGTGGGTAGTTCCTCCTAAAGACTATGTCGACTGTCCATCCTTGGTTGGGGGGGGGGGGGAGAAATTGTCCCCTCAGAACGAGCTCGCAATTTGGGTGTCCTCCTAGACTCACAACTAAGATTAGAGCAACATCTGGCAGCTATAGCTAGGGGGATCTTTGCACAGGTTCGCCTGATGCATCAATTGCGACCCTACTTGGATCAGGAGGCTCTCCTCCCAGTCACTCATGCCCTTGTCACCTCACGGCTAGATTATTGTAACACACTCTACATGGGGCTACCCTTGAAGAGTGTTCAGAGACTACAGTTGGTCCAGAATGCAGCTGCGCGAGCTGTCGTGGGTGCACCTAGATACACCCACATTACACCAATTCTCCGTGAGCTGCACTGGCTTCCTATTGGTCTCCGGGCACAATTCAAGGTGTTGATTATTACCTTTAAAGCCCTACATGGCTCAGGGCCAGGCTATCTTTGAGACCGCTTTCTACCACATAGCTCCCAGCGACCAGCAAGATCCCACAGAGTTGGTCTCCTCCGGGTCCCGTCAGCTAAACAATGCCGGCTGGCGGGCCCGCGGGGGAGGGCTTCTCTGTGGCTACCCCAGCTCTCTGGAACCAATTACCTCCTGAAATCCGGACTACCCACACCCTATTGGCCTTCCGGAAAGCAGCGAAGACCTGGCTTTTCTGGCAAGCCTGGGGCCGTTGATCTTGCTGTTGCAATCTTGCGAGATCCGGCCATGAATGGTGTGTATGGGCTTTTAATGTTTTTAAAATGTTTTTAAAATGTTTTTTAATAATTTATGTTCTTTGTTGTATTAGTTTTTGCTGTAAGCCGCCCAGAGTCCCTTGGGAGTTGGGCGGCATGGAAATTAAATTAAATTTAATTTAATTTAAAAATTAGATTAGATTAGATTAGATTAGATTAGATTAGATTAAATGTAAAAGGTCTCATGCCCTCATGTAGCTGCTACACATTCCAGTGGGAGTAGGCTTTCCAGGTGTTGAGAAACTCACCTGCTGTTATATATGTTGTTTCACAAGAGAGCCCCATGCCCATTCCTGGCTTTTGGGCACAGAAGTAAATCAAGTCAAGTCAGAAGCAACCTTTTCCTCACCTGTGACTTCTGGAGATGCACCTTCTGAAAGGTTCTGAATTTTATCCATGCACAGTTCATGGTTCTCGTTTCTCCCCATTTTGAAGATAAAATCTGGATTGCTGGTGGGAAATCCTACCAATAAAAAAGGAAAAGGGGGAGTGGGGGTGGAGAAAAAAATTTTTTTAAGAAGCAAAACGTCTTAAAAGCGATAATCCATGAGAACAATTTACATAAAACTCAAACCTGCCTGGCACGTCAAGTTAGAATGTTTCGACAGCACAAGTTAAACCCAACTTCCGGTTTTCAATGGCAACACCAGCTGTAGGCTCAAATTTATGGTGAAGGAACCAATCAGCAGCTTCTTCCTTAGAACGGGGCACTACCAGGCCTTGGACTGTTCGGAACCGGGCCATGGGAAGTGGCAGGCGAGTGTGCGGCACCCCCACACATGCTTGCCACTTGCACGAGCAGTGGGCTGGCATGTGGATTCGTGCTCCATTCGCACGAGTGAATGCCCACCATTTGTGCAAATGGAGCAGCCCGCACATGAGTGCTATCCCCTTCCCCCCCCTCCCCCAAAAGGTTGGGGAATTCTGCTTTAGAAGGTATCTGGCTATGGTTTGCGGCTCAGTGATCTTACTTATTACTGTGATGGTAAAAGATAGGCTATCATATACCCTATTTCCCAGAAAACAGGAAAATAAGCCCTAGGATGATTTTTCAGGATGCTTGTAATATAAGCCCTATCCCAAAAATAAGCCCCAGTTAAGATCGTCAGCAGACAGAGGCATTTAGTACTGTATTCCCACCCAAAATAAGACCTAAACAGAAAATAAGCCATAATGCGTTTTGGAGCAAAAATTTACCCGGTCTTATTTTGGGGAAAAAACAGTATTCACCAATCAAATCTCAGAGATTGTATAGCTGCACTATGCTAACCTAGTAGGAAAGGATAAATAAGTTTCATGGGAGGCTTTATTAAAAGCCTTCCAAACCCAGCCTGGTTAAACCTAATTTACACAGTCTCTCTCTCGTCTTGTCTTCATAATATAGCAGGCCAAAGGTATATACATAAGCTCTGGTTCTGCTTTTGCTCAGGACTGGTCACAAATGGCCAACGCTTTGCAGAATGTTATCTGCATGCTTAATTTGTCGTTAAGCTATTTTATTTAAGTGAACCAGGTTTAGTCCACAAGCATTATATAAGACATAAGTCTCTTTCCGACAGTCCTTCAAAGTAGTCCAGATCAGATAAACAATACTAATACTGTTCTAAGCTTATTGTAAGGTTATAGTAACAGAATCTTGCAAGCGCCTCTTCCTTCCTTAACTTTGCATTCCAGAGAATGTGGAAGGGTCAATTCTAAGAGACTTTCTCCACTTCCATGCCTGCTTTCAGATTTCTCTGGCTGGAGAATTCTGGGAGTTGAAGTCCACACATCTTCAGGTGGTCATAGTTAAGAAACACCAGTGTAGGCTTCAGCCCTTCCTCCTGTCCCTCAGGTTTATTCTCCCATCCCGTTACACTTTCCCAGTCCTGTCCAACTCTCACCCAATGCTCGGACATTCTCATAATTCTCCATCATCACTTTTGTGAATATCTTCCTCTGAGATTCATCTAGAAGTCTCCATTCTTCCTCTGAGAAATACAGGGACACCTCTTCAAAAGTCACCAGAGCCTGAAACCATTCAAATGTTTAATAATTGAGACCCCATCCTGTACAGATAGTCCTCAACTTACAACCAATTGGAGACCGTTCGAAGTTGCAACGGCACTGGGAAAAAAAATGACTTAGGAAAATGACTTTTCACACTTATGACCTTTGCAGCATCCCCAGGGTCACATGATCAAAATTTGGCTACTTGGCAACTGGCTCGTATTTTTATGACAGTTGTAGTGTCCCAGGATCATGTGATCACTTTTTGAAACTTTCTGATAAACTTCAGTCAATGGGAAAACCATTCGCTTATCAACCAGGTTCCTAATTTAACAATTGCACTTAATAATTGTGGCTAGAAAGTCATAAAATAGGGGGAAACTCACTTAACATCTGTGTTGTTTAGCAGTGCAAATTTTGGTCGTAAGTCAAAGACTACCTGTGCTTCCAAGGGAAATTGCTGAGAACATCTCAGGGGCTGCCACAAAGAAGAGGGAATCAAGCTATTCTTCAAAGCACTTGAGGGCAGGACAAGAAGCAATGGATGGAATGACTGAGAATCTCCACAGACATTTAGCAATGGATGGAAACTAATCAAGGAGAGAAGCAATTTAGGAGAAATTTCCTGGCAGTGAGAACAATTATTGGAACAACTTGCCACAAGAAGTTGTAAATGCTCCAACACTGGAGGTTTTTAAGAAGAGATTGGATAACCATTTACCTGAAATGGTATGGGATTTCCTGCCTAAGCAGGGGTTGGACTAGAAGACCTCCAAGGTCCCTTCCAACTCGGTTATACTATTCTATTCTAACATAGAAACAATCAGTTGTTGCAGCTTGTCCTTGATTTACAACAATTGGGACCCAGGTTTTCCATTGCTAAGCAAGTGGGTTGTTAAGAGAGTCGCACTCAATTTTATGATTTTTTTTCAGCCATGGTCGTTAAACAATTCACAGCAGTTGTTAAATGAATCACGTGGTCATTAAGTGAATCTGGCTTCCTCCATTGATTTTGCTTGTCAGAAGCCAGCTGGGACAAGGTCACAAATGGTGGTTACATAAGCCCAAGATGTTTTCATGTATTATGTCAACCATCATAAATACATGCCAGCTCCCCAGCGTCCAAACTTCAAACATGTTACTGTTTGGATCATACAACGGTCATAAACATAAGGATTGATCTAAGCCCCTTTTTTCAGTGCTGTTGAAACTTTGAGCAGTCACTAAACAAATTTAGTCACAGACATGTTATATGATTCTTTGAGAAGGCAGAAACTACTACATTCTAAATGCCAAAGATATGTTTTAAATCTTGCATTCAAATTAAGGAATAGCATATATATATTATTCATACTAAAACAGAATCACTAAATCATGCACATTTCCTCAAAACATTTAAATGACAAAAAAATAGGAATATTGATAGAAGTCCAAAGAATACATATTAATCCATTATAGTCCTGCAGCATGAGAAAGGGAGAAAAAACCTTTAATTTTAAAGCAATGTCATTTGTTTATGAATATATAAAACCATCTCAGTGAAGGCTACTGCAAGCATCAATGCACCCATTTGTTATATCAACTTATTGGTATTTACTGTTTTTACAAATAGCTCAAGGCAATGAATTTATCCAACATGCCTTCCTCCTCCTATTTTCCACACAACATCAACCTTGCCAGGTGAGTGGCTACTCATCCTTATTTCAAGAATGAATTGTTAGAAATAGGATGGTTTGCCACAAAATGGTTTTTGTCTCCTGCTTAGGCAAGGGGGTTGAGCTAGATGACCTACAAGGACCCCTTTCAAATCTGTTAATCTGTTAAAAAGATGAATGCGTTCTCAAAGGGACATCATTGGGGAACACTGAAGAATTCCAAGGAGTCAGGTGACTCAAATGATCCCAATAGCAATCCAAGCCATCCTATATAAATGTCTGCTTCTCCAGAATTCCTCAGTCTGAAAAATTGAAGACCTGATCTTCGGTCTTTGGGAATTCTCTTTCCTCATGGACAGATTGTTTTTCAACCTCAAATAGTGATTCTAACACCATTACTATTGAGCGCTGAGTGGTTCAATATTAAAACACTATGCCTCACAGCCAATAGCCTTTAAGAACCCTCACCTTTTTCCCATATCTTTCAAGCAAAGAAAGTCCTGTCAGAAAGTTTTCCACCAATTCGACAGCCTGCCCACAACTTTCCGGATGCTGCTGCCATACCCAATTCTGTATTTCTTTGGGCAAGGTAGCCAAAAATTGTTCCAGGACCAGCAGTTCTAGAATCTGTTCCTTACTACGTCTCTCTGGTTTCAACCAATGGTGGCAAAGATCCAGTAGTTGACTGTAAGCTTTTCGAGGTCCCTCACATTCTGGGTAACGGTACCAGCGGAAACTCTGGCGGGCACGCTCCATGGCAATGCCTCCTTCTTTCAAGATGCCTGTGTCTTCTTTTTCTTCCTCATCTCCCTTGTCTCCAGCTATGAGATTATTATAAACTGCCTCTTCAGGTTCTCCTACTCTGTCAGGTTCTGTTAAATGGATCATCCCTTCTTCAGAATTTCTTGGTTTGTTTTGGGAAATCATATTGGCCTGGTGATTGCCCCGTAAGGTGTCCTTGGATCCTTTTGCTTTCTGAATATAGTCCTCACAGATCTTAGCCATCTCCATCTTGGTGACTTCAGTCTGAGTGGCCTTTTCAACTTTGGAGACGCCTCTGTCTTTAACAGGTTTTGTGAAGGTTTTAGTCTTCCCTCCATCTATGACCACAAATGGGGCCTTGTCTTGTAATTCAGGCACAGTGCAAATCTTGATATCATCTCTGCGCTCAATCCTAGATTCTGGTGAGGACTTTCCTTGGACTTCAATTTCTTCTTCAATAGTAATCACACAATCCATTCCAGCCATTCCTTCAGTGTTGGCCTCCTTCTCTTTAAAGGAGTCAGGAGAATTGTCAGAGGAAACCACACAAATCTGAATGTCGTCCAGCGTTGTCTTAGGAGGTGTTGCATCTGTCTGTTTGTGCTGTGGAGTTGGTAGGAGGACCTGCTGCCAGACTTCCCAGTATTGGGGCTTCACAGCTGTTCTATTTAGATCTATGTGGTCTTTCCAGGATGGTGAGCAATTTAGAAATTCCTTAATCGTCCCAACAGGAGGTGAACGCTTCTCCATTTCCACTTTAATTTAGACTTCTAGTTTTGGAAATGCGGAGAAAAAAAGCAACCAGCTTAGAATCTACTAAGAAGTCAGATTCCTCGAGAAGCAGTCGTTGTCAACTCTTACTGATTTTTTGGAATTTAGTTTATGTTCTCCCCATCAATAGACATCCTTCAGAAAAGAGATAAAGAGGATTCTTCCAGCCAGCTGAAGGGGGAGAAAAAAATAAAATATGTCTGGTCAAAAAACATTGGCAATTGTGAAAAAAAATACAGGCAGTCCTCAACTTACAACAGCAACTGGGCCGGAATTTCTGTTGCTAAACAATGCAGTCATAGAGCAAGACAGGGAAGAGTTTTAAATCCCAGGGAAGGAGCAAGACAATGTGACAGAATGCATGAGAGGCATAGTGCAGATTGGGGAGGGGTGAGAGGGTTCGAGTGGAGTGGACAAAAGATGCAATCCAGATCTGGGAGGGGGTGCATGAGAGGCATGACAAAGGATAGGAAGAGTGTGAGGGATGTACAAGAGGTGCAGGAAAGGTTTGGAAGGATGCATGAGAAATGCGATGTGTCGGGAAAGGTGCGAGGAAATGTGCAAGAGGGTGTGACGCTGGTCAGGATGGTTGTGCGTCGGCCACACAGGGTTGCACAGATCAGAAAGGTGCATGAAAGGAGTGGCATGGCTCAGGAGGAATACACAAGGGGCATGGAAGAAGCATGATGCGAGTCAGCAAGGATGCATGAAAATGCAAGGGAGTCCATGAGAGGAGCGTGAACGAGACTGCATGGAGGTGCACAAGAGGCACGAAGCAGGTTGAAAAGGTGCCATGAAAATCTGGGGGTGGGGTGAAAAACACAACTCAGCAGTCCCCAAACCTCTGGTTCCGTGGAGAGGTTTTTCCACGCACCAGTGGGGGCAAGGTTCCATGTGCTGCCTGCATCCCACAGATGGGTCTTCACTTGTTTGCCCACACCATTTTCTAGTAATCTGCGGACCGGTGGTAGCTCATGGACCAGGTGCTGGGTACCCCTGCACTAGCTGTAAAGAGCTGTGGTGGCAAAATGGTTAGAATGTAGTACTGCAAGCTAACTCTGCTCCCATTGCCAGGAGTTCAATTCATTTGATCCTGGCCAGTTCAAGATTGACTCAGCCTTCCATTTTTCCAAGGTTGGTAAAATGAGGACTCAGATGGTTGGGGGGAAATATGCTGACTCTATAAAACAGCTTAGAGAATGCTGTAAAGCACTGTGAAGCAGTATATAAATCTAAGCACTATTGCTATCACGAGCAAGGATCTGGGAGTGCCAGTGTAAATACAAAGGGGCTGAAGGAGGGTGTGCAGGTGGGGAAACCTATCCCAGCCAACTTGCAACCTCCCCTGACAGCTTCCCTATTAATTTTCTACAGAAGGTTACAACTGGTGAGCATGCAATCACAGATAACTGTTACTACTTGTAAGCATGAACCAGTTGTCCAGTTCCTAGAACAAAGTCATGGAATCAGAGTTGCTGGGACAGCCAGAACTCCAAAGACCAGCCATAACCATCATTTGTTCAGCACTGTAGTGTAACTTCAAATAGTTTACTGAATGAATGGTCTTGGGTCAAGGACTACCTGTAGCGCAAGGGTCCCCCACCCCCGGTCCATGGACTGTCATCAGGCCATGCAAACAAGTGAAATCCCGTCCACAGGATGCAAGCAGCATGCGAAACCACGGCCCCTCTGGTCCACGGAAAAAAACTCTCTCCATGGAACTGCTCCCTGGTGCCCAATAGGTTGGGGGCCACTCAGGGGTGAAATCTACTTACCTTCCTTACCGATTCAGAAGTGCATGTACTGTGTGTGCATGCTCGCTTCGCTTGCACGTGTGCATTACAGGTGCACACAGACTTTCTGCACATGTGCAGAAGGTAAAAAAACACATTACTTCCTGGTTACAACCAGGAAGTAATGACACCCAGCTGGGTGGGCGGAGCTATGCTCCACCATCGCTACCGAATCGCCGAACCACCAGCCAAGATCGCTGCCGGATCGGGAGATCCAGTCCAATCCGGGAGCACTTCAACCCTGGGGCCACTGCTGTAGAGCATTTTCAGGAAAGAAGCCACAAGACATCCAACAGCACAGAACCAGATACTACAGGGACCTGGAGCATCCTAATTGTCACTAGTATTCTGCTCAGAGATGCTGATGGGGTATGGTAAAAATATCAAGATGCTGGCCATGACCCTACAGTTAAAACCCTGCCCTAGGTTTCATGCGTTACTCTTGTAACACATTAAAGAAAGCGGGGCTTCAACAGCACAGTTGCGACTACCATTTTGCCTCTTTTGGCTTCTTGCAGAGGCTTCTGCTTTAAAACTAAATTTACTGTCCACCTTGAGACAACTTTTCTTTTTTCCCAACAGAAAAGCCAGGATGTTCAAGCCACTTGTGAGCAAAGGTCTGTGCTTGGTGAGATGGGATGTGCAATTGAAGGATATGTGGGGTATTATATACATACATACATACATACATACATACATACATACATACATACATACATATATAATCTCCCTTAAGTCTCACAACAGACAGCAAAATGCTGGTTTGATGTCTGATAAAGCCTAGAAACTAGTGAATGAGATTTCACTGAACTATGGCTGTATAAAGATCTTGATTTACGTAGGAAAAACCTGGCTGAGAGAAAAATACACATAAAGACCTACGAAAAGAGAATAAAATAAATGTATGTATGTATGTATGTATGTATGTATGTATGTATGTATGTACAGTGTGTGTGTGTGTGTGTGTGTGTGTGTGTGTGTGTGTGTGTGTATAGCAATACAGGTAGTCATCGACTTACAGCCACAATTGAGCCTAAATGTCCTGCTGCTAAGAGAGACAGTGGTTAAGTGAGTTGGGCCCTAATTTTACCATCTTTTTTGTGCCACAGTTGTTAAGCTGCAATTGTTAAATGAATCATGCCGTTGTTAAGTCAACCTGGCTTTCCCTGTTGATTGTCAGAAACCAGCTGAGGAGGTTATAAATAGAGATCATGTGACCTCGGGACAGTGCAACTGTCATAAATATGTGCCAGTTGCTGAGGGCCCAAATTTTGATCACGTGATCATGGGGATGTTACAACGGCCATAAGTGTGAAAAAGTGGTCATAAGTCACTTTTTTCAGGAGTGGTTGTAACTGCAAACAGTCATTAAACGATTGATTGTAGCGATAAAGAGGAATATTTCTAGCTCAGGGTTGAAATGAGAGGTCCTTGGTGCTGTCTGAGCTTGCTATTAGCCCCGGAGGCCATCTTTTACTTTCGATCTTCAAGGCTGCCAAACTTAGTGCTGTGAGAAACTGGGAGGGGGGATTGCATGGAGGGGTTGAGATATATAGCCATAACAACATTCCTTTCTCTGAAAGTCAAGGACGATTCAGCCTGCATCTGGAGTGGGCTGACGTGGAGGCATCTCCAGTTGGGACGGTGGAGATGCCTCCATATTTTTATTTTTATTTTATTTTATTATTCGAATTTCTATACCGCCCTTCTCCTTTCGGACTCAGGGCGGTGAACAGCCAAAATAAAAACATTTATACATAAATACGATTAAAAATAGATTTAAAATAATTAAATTTGGCCCATAGTTTAAAATTTATCAATTTAAAATCCATATCAAAATTTAAAACCAACCATAAAATCATAAAATCAAGAGAGACCGGCTAACTGAAAGAGATGAGTTTTTAGGGCCCGACGAAAGGTCCGGAGGTCGGAGATCACTCGTATCTCTGGGGGTAGATTGTTCCAAAGGGTAGGTGCCACCACAGAGAAGGCTCTCCTCCTGGGGGTCGCCAGCCGGCATTGTCTAGCCGACGGCACCCTGAGGAGGCCCTCTCTGTGGGAGCGAACTGGCTGGTGGGAGGCTATTGGTGGCAAAAGGCGGTCCCGTAAGTACCCCACCCCTAAGCCATGGAGCGCTTTAAAGGTGATCACCAACACCCGGAAGTCCACCGGAAGCCAATGCAGCTCGCGCAGGAGAGGAGTCACATGGGAGCGCCCAGTCGCTCCCATAATCCCCCGCGCGGCCGCATTCTGCACCAGTTGGAGCCTCCGGGTGTACCCCAAGGGGAGCCCCATGTAGAGAGCGTTACAATAGTCCAGACGAGAAGTGACGAGTGCTTGAGTGACTGTGCGTAGGGAGTCCCGATCCAGAAAGGGGCGCAACTGGCGTATCAGGCGAACCTGATAAAAAGCCCCCCTGGCCACGGCCGTCATATGCCCTTCTAAGGACAGCCGTGCATCCAGGAGGACGCCCAAGTTGCGGGCCCTTTCCGTGGGGGCCAATGATTCACCCCCAATAACCAGCGATGGCGTCAGCTGGCTATACTGGGACGCCAGCAGCCACAGCCACTCGGTCTTGGAAGGGTTGAGTCGAAGCCTGTTTCTCCCCATCCAGACCCGCACGGCCTCCAGGCACTGGGACATCACTTCCAAGGCATCGTTGGGATGGTCTGGGGTAGAGATGTACAGCTGAGTATCATCAGCGTACTGATGGAACTCCACCCCAAAACCACGGATGATCTCACCCAGCGGCTTCACATAAATGTTGAACAGGAGGGGCGAGAGGACCGACCCTTGTGGCACCCACAAACAAGGCGCCTCGGGGTCGACCGCTGCCCCCCTGTCAACACGGATTGCGACCAGTCGGAGAGATAGGAGGAGAACCACCGCAAAACGGTGCCCCCCACTCCCAGTCCCTCCAGCCGGCGCAACATGATACCATGGTCGATGGACACATGAGTGCAGGGGAAGGGACTTTGGCTTCTTTCGGGTTTTCCCAGATGTGCCAATATGACATCTCTAATAAAAATGTTCCTCAAAACTTTGAGGAACTTCTAGCCTCAGAGTCCTCTTTCGTTGTGGGTGTTACTTGAAACCCTGACACTTGCCTGTTTTCTTGCAGATGTTACATTACCCAACATGGTACCCTTGGTGGCGCAGCTGACTAAGTGCTGTTAAAGTAGCACCAGCTGCCTGCAATTACTGCAAGTTCAAATCTCACCAGGCTCAAGGTTGACTTAGCCTTCCATCCTTTCGAGGTAGATAAAATGAGGACTCAGATTGTGAGGGGCAATAAGATGACTTTGTATTAAAAAAAAAAAAAGAACACCGCTTTGGGGGGGGGGGCAAAAGCCCTACTAAGCAGATATATACAAAAGTATGAAGGCTATTGTTTAACACATTGTAAGCCGCCCTGAGTCTCCAGAGAAGGGCTGCATATAAACCAAACCAATAAATAAATAAATAAAACATCATCAGTGCTAGTGAAGAGTAGTGTTTGCTGTGAGTTTATATTCTGGTAACTTGCCTTTCTATGTGGGTGGGTGGGGGTGATCTTGGAGATTCTTTGATTGGACTATTTATTGATGGCTCTTTGGCAGTTCGTTGATCAAGAAACTGCCAAAGAGCCATCAGTAAACACCCCAATCTAAGAGATTCTGCAAGAAAACAAGCAAGCTCAGAGAACACCAAGAACATATACACACACCAATTGGTTGTAGGTTAAAGTCTTCCTGTAGCAACTACCTATATCTGCCCCTCTCTGGAATGTACTACCTCTTCCATGAGAAGCTCCAGTGGTACTACCCCCCCCCCAATTCTCTGTCCCCTGCACATTCCATCACACTTGATTTTTCAGTGGGTGTGGGCTCCAAAGTAAGAAGATGTGGCCTCAGATTTTAGGCTTCATTATCAGCATTTTAAAAGGTGATTTTACCACTTCTAATATCCTACTCTGGCCCTCTTTTTTATCTTTTAAGAAAGCATGATTTATTTATTTATTGGTTTGATATGCCGCCCTTCTCCGGAGACTCAGGACGGCTTACAATGCGTTAAGCAATAGCCTTCATACTTTTGTATATACCTGCTTAGTAGGGCTTTCGGGGGCCCCTAACCAGTGTTCTTTTTACACAAAGTAAGCTTATTGCCCCCACAATCCGAGTCCTCATTTTACCTACCTCGAAAGGATGGAAGGCTGAGTCAACCTTGAGCCTGGTGAGATTTGAACTTGCAGTAATTGCAGGCAGCTGGCAGCACTTTAACAGCACTTTAACCGCTGCATCACCAAGGCTCTTATGATTCCCCCTTTCTTAGCCAGGGCCATTTCTGATGTGTGAGACCTGGCTTTTTCAGCAACTACAGATAGAGAGCTATTGTCCTGAATAATAAAAGATTTAGCTCCACTTCATAATAACAGAATAAGAGAGTTGGAAGGGACCTTGTAGGTCATCTAGTCCAACCCCTCACACACCCAAGCAGGAGACCCTACACCATTCCTGACAGATGGCAGTCCAGCCTCTTCTTGAAAGCTTCCACTGGTGAAGCTCCCACAACTTCTGAATACACTTGCAATGTGCAAAAAAGGCGCAAACCTAACTGGGAAAGAGTATCATCGTAAACCATACATTGGTCACTTGTGGAATGTTATGTAAAAATCCTTTTTTTTCTATTGTTCAAACTTCACAAGCGATCAATGTATTTTAACTGATCTTTTATTTACAAAATGATCAAAGAACCGTGGTAGTGCAATGGTTAAGAGTGCAGTACTGCAGGCTACTTCTGCTGACTGCCAGCTGACAGCAATTTGGCAGTTTAAATCTCACCAGGCTCAAGGTTGACTCAAGATTTAACAGAGTTGGAAGAGACCTTTGCAGGTTATCTAGTCCAACCCCCTGCCCAGCCTTCCATCCTTCCGAGGTCAGTAAAATGAGGACCCAGATTGTTGTCAGGGGCAATATGCTGACTCTGTAAACCGCTGTAAAAAGCACTGTGAGGTATATAAGTCTAAGTGCTATTGCTATTTACGGACTATCACACGTACTAAACACATGTAATAAAAGTTAAAAAGCCTTGAATCAGCCTCTTTTTAACAGCCTTCTGATCTCGAAACCAAGAGACCCATCTCCACTCAAAAAAAATGCAATGTTTCCTTAAAGGCAATAGATCACTGACAGGTGTGAATCTGGCATTGGAGCCAATCAACATTTAAAAGCCTTGGGAATTTAGCACCTCTGCCTGGTCAGGAAGATCTTTCCTGATGAGGGAGATAACAGACAAAATATTTTCTAAGTTCCTAAGACCATAAAAGTATATCACACCTGTATTTCCTGTTTCTCGGTGACCATAAAACTTATATATCACACTCTTGTGATGTCATGTCTTACACAAAGAGTTCTAAATGATACAAAAACCCCACTGAATGCCAGTCTGGGGTCAGCTGCCCCCAAAAGCAAACCTTGTGTTGTTTTTGGAATAATAAATCTTTTTTCAAAAAGCAGCCAGCCTCCGCATCTTGATTGCTTCCGAGGTCGGAAGGAATCCAGGGAAGTTCTCCCAACAGATCCATCATTTGTTTCTGTACCCTACAAAAAGATTTGGGGGTGTACCCCACCCCCAATTAATCAATACTTTTCGTGTCAGCTGCCACTTTATGTGGTTCGTTGCTAGGTGGTGACAAACTGCCATGAATTGTGCGGAGAGGGAATTGTTTGGGAAAATGAAAATTCTGCCTCATGGTCACCCAGCTGGAAGTGGGGAGCTGCATCTTGCCTGAATCTGATTGCTTACACTGGGATGGACAAAGAGAGAGAGAGTTAAGGGAGGGAAAAGTAGAACTTAGGAATTTTGGTGTATGGTTCTCAGTTCTGGCTTTGCAATATAGGTAGTCCTGGACTTAACAACAGTTTATTTAGTGACCATTCAAAATTACAGTGTCATTGAAAAAAGTGGCATATGACCATTTTTCATAATGTGATTTACATTCAGATGCTTGACAACTGCCTCATATTTATGACGGTTGCAGCGGCCTGGGGCCATGTGATCACCTTTTGCGACCTTCTGACAAGCAAAGTCAAGGGGGAAGCCAGATTTACTTAACAACAGCGTTATTCGTTTAACAACTGCAGTGGTTCACTTAACAAACGGGGCAAAAAAAGTCATAAAATGGGGCAAAACTTATTTAACAAATTTCTCACTTAACAACATAAAATTTGGGCTCAATTGTGGTCTTAAGTCGAGGATACTGTACCGCAATACACTCGACCTCTAATAAACTATACCTTTCTCAACAAACTGGGAAAAAAATCCCCAAATAAACGGAGCCAAGGATCGTGTAAGACCGTGTAATCTTTGCGTAGGAATACTCAGATCTAGCTTTACTTTTGCTGCACCCACTTAACTTTAGTCAAATGGAGCCTAATGGAGTCAAGAATCTTTCTTTCCTAAATATCTACGTCTGAGATTAAGTTAGACTGAGTATTCCCATGTAAAAGTTACACATTTTCCTCTTTCCCTGGCCTTCCACCAATTATCAGCGTCCAACAGTATTCCTTTTCAAAGTTTTGGGAACAGCTTTGATGTTCGGCGCTTATTGATGTAGTTTCTCATTCTATTCCCAAGCTGTGTCCTTGGCTTATTCCAGTTTTACACCTCTGGTCACCTTGTCTCCTCCAATACACACACACACACACACACACACCCATTTGTCTACTCATTCCCATTCCTGACCTTTGCTTCCCCCAAATTCCTCCCCCCTCCCTTTTTATGGCAGGATGCCAGCTAAGTGAAAGAAGCTGTAGATGGCAGACCTGACAGATCCTTTCTATTTAGAGGTTTAAGTTGTGGCAGGTCCGACATTTTTCTTTGCCAGAGGGTTGCTTAGTGACTCGTACTACCAGGTGGGCAAAGAAGTAAATATATATATATATATATCTATATAGATAGATAGATAGATAGATAGATAGATAGATAGATAGATAGATCGATCTCAAATTCAGGAATCGAGTTCTTATCAGCTCCACAGGGGGTGGTCTAATTTGAAGGCAACAAAGGAACCAGACCCCTCCCCCCCAAAAAATGGGTCAACTCCAGAGAAAAACTAAATTTAGTAGCAGAGGAGAAAATGCACATGACATCGGAAATCCCGACCTTAGCAACTGCTTTCACGGGAAAAGGAGGAGTCTAAGTTAAGATTCACACAGAGAAACGCATACATACACAAACACAAATACACATATACCCTTAGCGTAACCTCAATCAATCAGAATAGACCTGGAAGGGACCTTGGAGGTCTTCTAGTCCAACCCCCTGCTCCAGCAGGAGATCCTATACCGTTTCAGACAAGCGGGGCTGTCCAGTCCCTTCTTAAAAAAAAAAAAAACCTTCAGTGATGAAGGATCTCAATGGTCAGTTTCCCCGTATTGCCTGCTTGCACCCGCTGCGACAATAAAGGGGGAGACGGGACGGTAGGAAGAGGCTGGATTCCCGATCCAACCTGAGTGGGGAAAAGGGCGCAACGTCGTGAGCTACACAAGACAGGCGGGGAACGAAATTGAGCAGGCGCCGCCGTTTCTTCTCCATTGGAGGAAAGGCGAGCCGGCGGGAAAGACGTCCCGGTTCCTCCGTTTTTTCCCCCCCTCCCGGATACCGGCACGGCTGGACGGGTTGCAAGCTTGGTATCCCGCGCGGGCAACGACCCGGCCACGCGCGATGAAAGGGAACCCTTGGCAGGGATGCCTCTTTTCGCTCCCGGGAATTAATTCTCTTTTTTTTTTTTTTTGCACCAGGAGGCTCGCGCTGGCGGCGGATTGCCTGCCGCGCGAGCCCCTGCGTTCCCTCCCGCGCTCTCTCGTGGGGCTGGGTGGGAATGAGTTGCGCCAAGAGGAAAACCGGAGTTACTCACCTCCCCTCCGCCTTGGAAGACGGGAGACAGCTTGGGAGCCGGTGGGTCATGCCAAAGCTCTCTCTCCTTTGCCTGCGTCGGGAAGAGTAAAGTGGGGGGAGCCTGCAGAAAGGGAACTCCCCACCCCCGTCCCAGGAAATGCGCAATGGCCCCCTTCGGATAAGACGCCGCCTGCCCTCCCCTTCCGTCTTGCTTGCACGTGGGAACGGGAGGGAGGGGAGGGGAAGGTTAACTATTCCTGCGCTGTTTTGCTTTGCGAAATCGGGAGACGAATCCGCCAAGGGTCATTTTTTTTTTTTTTCTGCAAACACCCCCACCAGCCCATCGCTTCGCAGTTTTTGAGCGCTTCCTAAATTGCCGCTCCAAGCGTGCAGTTTCTGGGATCCGCAATTCCAACCGAGAGGATTCATTTTTTAGTCGGTTGCAAAAGTAATTCCTCAGAAATCAGGGACGGGCTCGCATACACACGCACACACACAGACAGACACACACACATACAAATCAAGTTTCTCTCACACTCTCTCTCTCTTCTCTCTCTCTCTCTAGTGCAAGGCAAGCCGCCATCGGTAGATGGCATCCTCAGCCTTTCCTGATAGAAAGCTACGTTGTTTAATGTCTATGGAGATTCTCAGTCTCACAGTGTTTCCCAAACTTGGGAACTTCAAGATGTATGGGCTTCAACTCCCAAAATCCCACAGCCAGCCATGCTGGATGGAGAATTCTGGGAGTTGAAGTCCACACTTCTTAAAGGTCCCAAGTTTGGGAAACACAGAAGATTGAGGTTGGTTGTCCCAAACCGGGTGATGGTTGTCCCAAAGGTGCTTTTTCAGTAAGCAAGTGGACTTTCTTGTTTTGTTTTGTTTTTTTTGTTTTTGTTTTTGAGGACGTTTCGCTCCTCATCCAAGAAGCTTCTTCAGCTCTGACTGGATGGTGAGGAATGGAAGGATTTATATTCCTTGCAAACAGCTGGACATTTGCATTCTTTTTAGAGAGTTGTTGTTGAGGCCACTTGGAGGGCTGCCTGTGTCCTAGGGGTCACCTGAGTGGTGCAGGTGAGTGCGGAGCCTTCTTGGAACGGCTGAAAGCACCCGTGTTGTGGAGCTGTGCTTTCTGCAGGATGTTTTCTGCCCTGTGGCCCATTGTTTAAGGAAGGCTTTGCCATGACATTGTACTGATGAAGGAGAATATTAGTAGCTCAGGGTTGACACGAGGGGTCCTTGGTGCTCTCTGAGCTTGCTTGTTTTCTTGCAGAGGTTTCATTACCCAACTAGGTAAGGTAACATCAGTGCTGACATCAGTGATGAATTTACCTAGTTGGGTAATGAAATGTCTGCAAGAAAACAAACAAGTTCAGAGACCTCCAAGAACCCTATATTACACCATAATCTAGTTCAGTGATGACTAACCTTTTTGCTGTCGCGTGCCAAAAGTGGGGGGTCGTGCGTGCATGTACCCACATCCATAATTCAATGTGCCTCACCCCCTGTGCGTGCACATGCCACCACCACCACCCCGGGCTCCCCCCATTTTTGGCACGTGATGGCACTGTGGGCCCGGTAAGCCTGTTTTTTGCCCTCCCTAGGCTCCAGAGGCTTTCTAGGAGCCTGGAGAGGGCGAAAACAGCCTTCCCCACCTCCCCAGAGGCCCTCCGGAGGCCGAAAATGGCCTGTTTCCCGACTTCTGGTGGGACCAGAAGGCCCGTTTTTTGCTCTCCCCAGGCTCCAGAGGCTTTCTAGGAGCCTGGGGAGGGCGGAAACGGCCTTCCCCATCCCCCTGGAGACTGTCCGGAGGCCAGAAACAGCCCATTTTCTGACTTCCGGTGGGCCCGAAAGGCCTGAAAATCAGCTGGCCAGCACACACATGCACACATGCTAGGGCAATGCTCGCATGCCCACAGATATGGCTCCGCATGCCACCTGTGGCACGTGTGCCATAGGTTTGGAATCACAGGTCTAGTTAGTTGAATAGAGTATTTCCGTGATGGCGAACCTATGGCATGCGTGCCCAAGATGGCATGCAGAGCCATCTTTCCGGGCACACAAGCTGTCGCCCAACTCACCTGCAGCTACATGTGCACCCCAGCTGGTGTTCAGGCCTCAGATGCGCATGAGTGCAATTCAGGGGACCCAGCTGGTCTTCAGAGCTTTCCTGTGCATGCACAGATGGTGCGATTGTGCACGCAGCGCATGGAGGAAGCCACATGAAAGCCGTGTGCATGTAGATAGTGCGATTGCACACGCAGCGCACGGGGATGCACGTGAAAGCCATGTGCGTGTACAGATGGTACGATTGTACACAGCACACGGAGGAGCCGCACGTTAGCGCAGATAGCATGCAAGCGCGCACCTGTTCAGTACTCTGTGAGTAAAAGATTTGCCACCACTGGACTATTTGAATGCTGTTTTCATAACGCTTTAGAGCTACAGTATATCCAGCCTGTTCACATGCTAAAAGCTGGGTGGGTGTGGGTGGGTGAGTTAAGGAGTAAAGAAGGCTGAAGCAGTTGCAAATATTTCACTACACCCATTTCTCTTCTTTGAAACCAGGTTGTCTAGTGGGGAAGAAAACTGGCTGAACTCATGGGGGCATTTGGTGTCTAGAAAAAATGCTTAGCTACAATTTTTGTACCTCTGGTCTAAGTGAACAGCATGGAACATCTTCTATAGCTTTAGAACGCTTGTTGTGCATTCAGGAATGAAGAGCATGTTTAATCAGCTGAAATTTTGGATAAAACTGCTCTCTGCTAAATCAAGGTCTTTAGGTCTTATTTGGTCTTCATGTCCAACTAGCCCTGAATTGCCTAAAGTAACTCTATTTTTACGACCTGATTTCTTTTGGTGAATTGAGCTGTGGTTATGGATTAACCTAGTTTTATGAATTCACATGAACCCAATGTGAACAATATGACAGAGTGAAAATGTTGTCTTCTTCCAGGAACTTTTTCACTTCTTCAGTCTGAAATTTCTTGCTATCTTCCATCCGACTTCTAACCAGACATTATTTTATATTAGCTTTTCAGAATCAGCCAATGTCATTTAGATGGTTGCCTTGAGGGGCCCGTGACATGGACTTGTAACTTGTTAACTAACATACTTTGTATTTTAATTGGACTTATTTTTCTCTCTTTTAAAATGGAGATAAGGGTTGATCATTACAGATTGGAATGTAGGAAAACTTTTTATCCTGGTGCTGTATGAATTGATTGATAGTGTATCAACCCACAAGGCATCCCTGACCTGCTCTCAAATTGCCATAGACAAGGGAGATGGGAAAGCAAACCTTGCAGCTGCATCAAGGAGCTGCTATCTCAGTCAAAACAAGGCACATTCCAACTAATGACGCATATTAGGGGGAAGGAGAAACGGGGTCAGTGTCAGGCCTGGGAGCCATCTTTTTCGTTGGATCTTCAGGCCTGCCACGTTTACTGCTGTGGGAAACTGGGAGAGGGGATTGTATGGAGCCAGGGTGAGATATATAGTCATAATAACATTCCTTTCTCAGAAAGTCAAGGACATCTTGCCCTGCATCTGGGCGCCTGGAATTGGGAGGCATCCCCAGTTGGGACAGTGCTTAGATTGGACCATGTGATGGACATGTGGTTGATGGGCAGGAACTTGAACTTTCCTTTGGGTGGGGAAAACCTGGAATCTTTCAGGTTTGGGTTTCTCCAAACTCAAGAGCTTCCTAGTTTTATTTCGTTGGGGGTGTTACTTGGAACCCTGACAGCAAGAACCAAAGCGCAAATTAACTGAGATCACATTTGGCTCCATCTGGTCCAGCGTGAAGCTCCTAATAAATAACTGGATTTCTTTTGAAGCTTGGCTTCAGGCTCATGATTTAATTAGGGCATCTGTCAGAACCCTGACAGCAACCTTGCAGCTGCATTAAGGAGCTAGTATCTCAGTCAAAACAAGGCACATTCCCACTGATATGCAGCCGAGGTTGTCTTGACAGAAACATTACCTCAGTTTTCATCTAGCTACAAGTGGGGGGGGGGTAGAACATTTGAACGCCATGGTAGAGTAGTATCTGAGGTGTTACATGAACTATCAGCAGTCCAATTGGGCTCTTGCCTTTCGCCGACGTCGCGTACAATAATGCTGTCCACAGTAGCACGGGGCTAACTCCATTCAAAATAGTGGACTTCGTCCCAATGCCAGAATACCTATTGGGAGATCCTACTTTATCAGAGTATAATAAATTGCTTTTAAATGATCTTCCAACTTGGTTACTTATTGGAAAAGGTAAATTGAGGCAGAACCTAGGATCAGATTTGGCCATCACCCTCTCAGCTATCCCTAAAGGTCCAAAAATGGAGTTTTATGACTGAGCTCACCCAGGGCCTGTGAAATGTGGCCTACCTATTCCAGAATTTGAGAAATGAGAGGTCATTTAAAAACTAGCCTTGACAAAATATGTTCCATGCATGCAAAAAATGTTGGTTTTAAGAAACACCCACTTTTTCTTTTAGGACAAAAAAACCACTACAGATTTCTGAATGAGGAATAAGAGTTTATAAGCTATGAAAATTACAATGTAAAATTAGACACTTATAAAACCATAGATATAAAAATGCTAGCATGTTATTGCTAAATCAAATAATACTACACTTTCACTAGCTACTACTGCCTTAACCTTTTATGAATGAATGTCTTCATTCGTGATGTGTGAATGATTTCACACATGAAAAACCTCCACTGAGAACTTAGATGCATTTTAGAAATTGTGCAACTATACCTTATGGGTCAAATTGAATGGATACAATGACATCTCTTCCTTCAGGCAAATCCACATTTGGTGAATGACTTCCTAATGCCACATACATTTGCCAAATAATGCACACAAGTGTTTCTTGTCTATGTGGATTGTCGATGTGGACTGTCACAATTTCTGGATCGTAGTGTTTCAACACACTTGGAGAAAATATACCGGTGTACACTTGAAATTTGGCCAATCTTAAGAAGTGGAAGACCGAAGGACAAAAATGCATTCACATCATGAATTCTGTCTCTTTAGTAAGCAGTCTACAGTTCTTATTCCTTTCTAAAATGTTAGAAAGCATTATTATTTTTATTCTCTAGTTGTAACTGCACCACTAATATCTGTGAGGACTGTATGACATCACACATGTCATGGTGCTTTACATGCAGCCCTCGACTTTATGCAGGTAGTCCTTGACTTATGTCCACAACTGAACCCAAAATTCCTGTTGCTAAGCAAGACAGTTGTTAAGTAAATTTTGCCCCATTTTATGACATTTCTTGCCACAGCTGTTGAGTGAATCACTGCAGTTGTTAAATTAGCAGCACAATTGTTAAGTGAACCTGGCTGCCCCATTGACTTTGCTTATCAGAAGATAGCAAAAAGTGATCTTGACACATGACTCCAGGAAACAGCATTGTCAGTAAATAAAGTCAGTTGTCAAGCATCTGAATGTTGATCATGTGACCATGGAGATGTTGCAACAGTTGTAAGTGAAAAACAGTCACCGTTTGGTGCCATTGTGATTTTGAATGGTCACTAAATGAATAGTTGTATGTCAAGGCCTACCTATACTACAGTGTGAAACTTCTGTCATAAATCAAGGACTACCTGGATGCAAATAATTTGAATGATGCAGTTGGTGCAAATGACATAATTACAGCATGACACTATAAACGTAGCTCCTAAACATGCTACACATTCGTTTGGCTGGAATTATCCCTTAGGAGATACCATAAGCAAGCTTCATTTTGCCTGTTATTATCCAACAAACTATAGCTTTGCACATTTCCCCTGGGATCCTTCAACCCCTGAGCAAAGGCCAGATGTTGGTCTGCCTTGTTTGCCTTTCTCTACCAATTAGTCTTTGCAGTGGGCAAAAATGGGGCATCTTTGAGGTGGCAACTGAATCAAAGCAGGAAACCTTCCTGTTATAAGTGGGTTAGTGAGTTTTTTTTTTTTTTTTACATTATACAAGACTCCTGACTTTTCTAATTACCCCAACCCCAAGTTTTCAGCAACAGAAATAACTATAGGGGAAAAATTCTCCTCAGAATATAAAGCCTGGTGTCTCAGGTGCACAGAATCCAGAAGCATTTGTAGAGAGGTTAGACAATCAAGATGGTCACGCTGAACCCACGTGATGGCAGCCCTGCACATTTTTTACATGCCTCTATAGAAAGAGTCTTTAGAGCAGGGTGAGCAACTATCGTTCCTTTATGACCTGTAGACTTCAACTCTCAGAATTCCTGCATGCCTGGCTCGGGAATTCTGGGAGTTGAAGTCCACGGGTCATAAAAGGACCATAGTTGCCCATTCCTGCTTTAAAGCAAAGCTTAACCATTTCAATTGGGAGGCTTAATTCCAGGCCTTATTTGATCCTTCACATCAAAGTTCAATCTGTTTTCTCTGCTGGCAAAACAGCATTGGGTTTGTCATCCGCAAACCGAGAACATAGAATACATAGAACATAGAATTGGAAGGGATCTTGGAGGTCTTCTAGTTCAACCCCCTGCTCAAACAGGAGAACTTATACCAGTAATGGCGAACCTTTTTAGAAACGAGGGCCAAAACCGGAATGTGCATGCGCCAGAAAACCGGAAACCCAAAGACCACTGGCCTGTGCTCATATGCAGGCCAGCCACCTGATCTTTGGATTTCCGGCATGCGTGAAGACCAGCTGGCCACATGCGTGTGCATGCCGGAAATCAGAAGAGCAGCTGGCGATGGCGTGCGTGCCCACAGAGAGGGCTCTGCATGCCACCTCATACACATGCCATAGGTTTGCCATCATGGCCCTCTACCATTCCAGACAAATGGCTATCCGTAACAGAGACATATCTTGCATGCCTTTTCCAGTTTTTTTTTTTAAACCCTCTGGTACCCTAAACTTTAGCATTATTAAATTGTGCAACTTGCTCTTTTCCCCAAATTTGTTGCAAAATTTGGCTTCGAAATGGATATAAAATTGTAGCCTTGCTTTTAAATTACAGGCTGCTCTTTCATGCTGAAAAACTAGGCTAGAAGATAGAATTTTAGAAAGATTTTGACCTTCCTAATGTGTGCTTTAAAACAGACCTTTATTTTTACTGTCTCGTATTCCCAATATATAAATCACACTTCTACATAAGTAAGGTAAACAGCTTTTCTTATTTCTGCAAGTCTACATGATTTCTTTTGGTCATAGGCCTCCCTTCCCACAGCCATATTTCATTCCCATGCATGCATAAAACATGAATGCTTCATGTAAACAGTGTTGTCACAAGGGGGCAGAAGGAAGTACTATAGCAATCACATGTTGCAGGCAGGTGGTTTGGACCCATATTTAGCTAACATTATGTCATGTTCTCCCACATAGATCCATCTATCAGAAGAAATGGGAAGGACAGGCCTGAAGCTTCAAATTAAACCTCAGAGGGTGGGGTAGGCTGCAAAGCTGGTTCCTTCGTACGGGTCCGCTTCAAGGAGGGACCTTCTAACAAGAAAGACTCCTCCATTTCAGAGGTTCGTTTTTTCACATCTGTGGTGGGTTCCAAACAAGATGCTTTGTCCGTGGCCTGGAAGACAAGCAAAGAAAGCTCTTAACCTGTGTCTCTCAAGCTTGGCAACTCTGCGCTGACTTCAACTACAACTACACTAATTATGACCTCAATTGAGCCCAAACTTTCTGTTGTTAAGCGAAACATTTGTTAAGTGAGTTTTGCTCCATTTTACGACCTTCCTTGCCCCAGTTGTAGATGAAATCACTGCCGTTGTTATGTTAAGTGAATCTGGTTTTCCCATTGACTTTGCTTGTCAGAAGTTTGCAAAAGGTGATTCCAGGACACTGCAACCGTCATAAATATGAGTCTGTTGTCAAGCATCTGAATTTTGATCAGGTGATTATAAGGATGTTGCAATGGCCGTAAGTGTGAAAACCGGTCATAAGTCACTTTTTCCAGTGCTGTTGTAACTTCAAATAGTCACCAAATGAATTGTTGTAAATCGAGGATTACCTGTACCAGAATTTCCCAGCCAGTCATCAAGTTTCCCAGAGTTTAGTACCCTAATCTTAACACTCAACTCCAATGGTGGGCTGAATCTGTGAGTGTGCGCTTTGCACGCGTGCACTGGCTTCACGCACGTGCGCCTAATGTGCTTGCATGCAGCGTGCAATTTGAAACTCAGCTGCTTACCTTCTAAGTCAGCCCCGGTAAGTAGAACAGCAGAGGCGCAGAAATCAGCTGTGCTACATGAATCAGCTGAGCCAGAGAGAAGGAAATATAGGACAGGAGAGGGCGGGAGAGGCTGAGCGGGCCCAGCCACTGGCTGTAACTACCGATTCGCCCGAACCAGTCCAAACCAGCTGAATCCCACCCCTGCTCAACTCACTATCAAGGTTTCAAGTAATGAACCCAAACAATCCAGCAACTCTTGAGACTTTCGGCTTTCTCAAAGAACTGCTTTACTATGGCCTTTCGGCATTTTTGAAATGCCAAATCAGCTCTGGCTATTTCCCACTCTTTTAGTATAGTTAAAGAATAGACAGCTCCCTTCCTCCTTGTCACAAGTCACATTGTCCAATTAGGTGTCCTGGCGTCTCCTTGGTAACCTCTTCCAGTCTCTGGTCAGCACCCGTTGGGACGGCCTTGGTTCCCACAAGATAGTAAGTTGTTGATGTCTGGTCTAACATTCCAAAGCTCGCTCCATCCACCACCCCACCCCAAAGTGCATCAAGCTGAAAAACAGAGAAAATGGCTCCGAAAGGCCCAATCCATTTCAAAGTTGACAGTCACCTTCTATCTCAGATTTTCCAGCCTAAACATGTCTCTTAGATAAAGGGGAAAACCAAAACATTGTACTTAAAATCTGATTCCACATTTGTGCATCTCAAATATTCAGAAATTCTGCTTTGTAAATTCTGCGTGAAAGGATTCTCTCTTTTTTTTTTTTACAGGAAAATGAGATAAATCCTGAACCTGCAATTCTGGGCCATGGGAGTACAGATAGTCCTCAACTTATAACCATTTGTTTAGTGACTATTCACTAAGAGCCATGGTGACGGAGTGGTTAGAAAGGAGTACTGCAAGGCTAACTCACTCCAGGAGTTTGATCCTGATCAGCTCAAGGTTGACTCAGCCTTCTATCCTTCCGAGGTCAGTGAAATGAGAATTCAGATTGTTGAGGACAATATGCTGACTCTGTAAACTGCTTAGAGAGAGCTGGAAAGCAGTATATAAGTCTAAGCACTATTGCTATTGCTATTTAAAGTTACAACAGGGCTGAAAAAAGTGACGTATGACTGTTTTTCATACTTGCACCTTCCCCATGGACACGTGATCAGAATTCAAATGCTTGGCAAACAGCATGCATTTATGACAGTTCCAGTGTCCCAGGGTCATATGATCCTCTTTTGTGACCTTCAGATAAGCGAAGCCAATGGGGAAGCCCAGTTCACTTCACAACCATCTTGCTGTCTTAACAACTATAGTGATTCGCTTAACAACCGTGGCAAGAAAGATCATAAAATGGGGCAAAAGTCACTTGCTTAAGCAAAGTTGGGCTCAATTCAGGGGTGAAATCCAGCAGGTTCTGACAGATTCTAGAGAACCGGTAGCGGAAATTTTGAGCAGTTTGGAGAACCGGCAAATACCATCCCTGGCTGGTCCCAGAGTGGGGTGGGAATGGAGATTTGTAGTAAACTTCCCCTGAAGTGGGGAGGGAATGGAGATTTTGCAGTATCCTTCCCCTGGAGTGGGGTGGGAATGGAGATTTTGCAGTAACCTTCTCCTGCCATGCCCACCAAGCCACACCCACCAAGCCACACCACACCACACCACACCTACCAAGCCACACCCACAGAACCGGTAGCAAAAAAAATTGGATTTCACCAGTGGCTCAATTATGTCATAAACTGAGGGCTATCCATAAGCATGTAAGCATGTTTTATTAAATTCAAGAGGGCATTAAAAAGTTTTAAAGCTCCAAAGTGATAGATCTCATTGACCATTTTTAAATATATATTTTTTCTTTTTTAAAAAATAGTTTTTAATTGTTAAAATTTTAGGATACAAAATAAAGTAAGAAAATCGTTAAGACAAAACAAAGAGCACTGTATTTGGAAGACACCTGATCAGGGATGGAGATTGCTTAATTGTGAGTAGAAATTTCTGATAGCATTTTGTTCATAATAATTTCCTCATTTTCACACATAAAAAAAAGGATGGGGCTTTGTTTGCATGGTGATGGCCACCTTGAATTTTTTGACTTCCTGCCCCCTCCCCCAGAATTCTCAGCTTTTTTCCACAATCAGCACAGTTACCTGGAAATCAGACGTCTTGTGATCTGGTTCTTCTTTGCTAAGTTTGGGAGGGTCATCGGTTCCCTCAAGAAGGAGCACCCCAGAATCTGTACGCAGAAAAGGAATCAATCAAAAACAGGCAAATCCCGGCAGATTTTCTGAAAAAATGTTGCCTTTCTTTCTCCTGTCCTTACGAACATCCATCCTCAAAATTTACTTTTTGTAGATTTGGGGGAAGAGATTTATGCTAAGGTTCAAAACTGAAAATTTAGCTAATCAATAGAAAAGTTGGATAGGATAACACAGCGAGAAAGAGAAGCTTAAATATAGCTGTGGTACAATATAGAATTTTATTAGAGCATAATTGCAGTTCTCGCTAAGTGTTAAAAATTGCAAGAACTTCTGGAGGAAAGGAAAATGAGTTACAAGTTGTCAACTTATGACTAGAGATGGTATTCAGCCGGTTTGGACTGGTTCGTCCGAACTGGTAGCGGAAATCGCAGGTGGGCCTGTCCACCCACCCACCCCAGCTCTGTATAGGCACGTTTTTGAGGCTCGGCGCATACGCGGAAGGCACACACATGAGCAAAGCGCATATGCGGAAGGCCAGGCGCATGCATGGAAGGCAGGCACGTACGCAAACCAGGCGCGCGTGTGCAGGAAGCAAGCGTACACGCCAGTGGTGGGTTTCAAAATTTTTTACTACTGGTTCTGTGGGCGTGGCTTTACTTGGTGGGCGCAGCTTGGTGGGCATGGCAGGGGAAGGATACTATAAAATCTCCATTCCCACCCCACTCCAGGGGAAGGATACTGTAAAATCTCTATTCCCTCCCTAATCCAGGGGAAGGTTACTGCAAAATCCCCATTTCCTCCCAATCAGCTGGGAGGCAGAAAATAGATGGGGGAGGGGCCAGTCAGCATTTTTACTACCGGTTCTCTGAACTACTCAAAATTTCCGCTACCGGTTCTCCAGAACTGGTCAGAACCTGCTGAAACCCACCTCTGGTGCACGCGCACGGCGAACTGGTAGTACATAATACCAGTAGTACACCGCTGCTTACAGCCATTCACATACTGGCTATTCCAAGTTACAATGGCACTGAAAAAAGTGACTTAAGGCTACTCCTCACACTTTTCAGAGCAATGTTTCTCAACCTCGGCCACTTGAAGATGTGCGGACTTCAACTCCCAGAATTCCCCAGCGAGCATTGCTGGCTGGGGAATTCTGGGAGTTGAAGTCCGCATATCTTCAAGTGGTTGAGGTTGAGAAACACTGCTTTAGAGGGTCTGTGTGGTCACATGATCCAAACTCAGGTGCTTAGCAACCAGCATGTATTTACAAGGGTTGCAGGTCATGTGATCATCATTTGTGACCTTCCCAACTGGCCTCTGACAAGCAAAGTCAATAAAGAAAGCTAGATTCGCTTAACGACCACAGCAAACATGGTTGTAAAATTGGGCGTGCCTCACTGAACAATTTTGATGGGAGTTCCAGGCTCAATTACAGTCAAATGTCAATGAATACCAGCACACAGAAAAGCCCCAATTTCCCAAAGCATCATATTAGGAAGTTTTCTGGGCCTTCTGCATATAGAATTCCAGAGACAGGCAAACAAGGGCACAAATTTTAGAAGCAAATAATCCTTTTTACCTAAAGCTAAAGACAGCAATGGAAAATTAGTCAGACCAGAGATTTAAAAAATGGAGAAATGGATATGAAAAGATCAGAATTTGCTGAAATAGCAAAGATAACTACTGGGTTAGAGGGAAAAAAACAACGAAGACTCTTTTTTAAAGACTGGAAACCATCTAGCAATTTTCTGTGAAAGGAGAAAACAAAATGATTTGATGATTTATGACTTCGAAGATGGAAAAAATGTGGATTTTAAGTGCCGGGACTGAAGGAATTTGTATAGCATCCAAGAAGGAAGAAGAGAGGTGATAAGATTGTAAAGATCTATTGAAAAGAAGGTCGGAGGTTATTCCATTTCATACCTTTTCTTTTTTCTTTTTCCTTTTAATTATCCACTTTTAAAAATGGCTTCTTTCTCTTTCTTTAGATTTTTTTTTGCTTTAGGTACAATTCTCAATACAAATAAAATTATTTTTAAAAAGGGACCAGGGATCCAATAAACAAGGGACAAGAATAAAACATGGTTGAACACAGAGTTCGAACCACAGCAAGGAAAACAGCTGAGGTGAGGGTTGAAAAGTTGTTTTTGAGAGGGAGGACACTAAGTAAGCCAAACTGAGCCATCACTACCCCCAGATTCCTGGGTTTGGAGTCTATTCCCCTGCTAGCCTCATTTGGAAAAGCAGGGACATCAGCCTGGTGACCAAACGTAGTGTGTTCCCTGTAGCTACCTATGGTTGTGAAAGTTCGGCCTTAAAAAAGCAAGACGGGAAGAAAATCAACTTTCCGTATTTTTGGGAGTATAAGACTCATGTTAGTTTTTGGGATGGAAAACAAGAAAAAAAAATTCTGCCTCTGCCTACCAGCATCCAATGGTATTCACCTGGCTAGCTTCCTTGCAGCAAATAGCAAACAGCCTGGTCAGCTTCAGCACATTACCGCAGCTTGATTCAGCACGAGCAGCTGATTGGCAGGTGGATTGGCCTCCTGGAATACCGCCAATCAGCTGTTCCAGGCTGCGAGGATTGCCAGAACCCATCTCTGCCTCCGCAGGAGGCCTCCACATGTCACATTTTTGGCCTCCACAAGTTGCGTTTTTGCGCATGCCCCATCTTCACCATCGCCACCACCACCAATCCCCGCCACCTGGAATTAGCCAAAAATGCAACGCACTGAGGCCAAAAACGGGGCGTGCGGAGACAGAAAATGCGACGCAAGGAGGCTGAAAATGGCTGAAGGGTGGGGGCCAGAGAGTGGGCAGGGCTTTGGTAACGTTCGGTGAATAAGATGCACCGCAATTTTCACCCACTTTTGGGGGGAGGAAATATGTCTTTTGGAGACATATTTGAGCACAAATATTTGAGCTATGGTGCTGGAGAAGACTCCTGGATATTCCTTGGACAGCAAAAGTGACTAATAAGGAAATATTGGAGTGTATAACACACCAGGCATGTCAATAGAAGGCCAAATCATGAAACTGATCTCACTTACTTTGCCCACGTCATAAAGGGGAATTCCCTAGAGAAAGCAATTTTATTTGGAAGAGTTAAGGGTAAAAGGAAACCAGGCCATCAAGGAAGATGGTGGCTGGATTACCATCAAAGCTAATACCAGAACGAGCATAGAAAACTCAAAGAACTGGTGCAAGATTGGAAGACATGGAGAGACCTGGCCCACAGAATTGTCAAGAGTTGAACATGATTGAAAAGATAATAACCTCATCTATCCTCCAGACCTCAGCCTTATGGATCTTTAAAGCATGATTCTAACAGTAACAGAGCTGGAAGGGACCTTGGAGGTCATCTAGTCCAACCTCCTGCTCACGCAGGAGACCTGTACTAGGGATTTGAACTGCCGACCTGCCAACCTTTCTGATTGACCAGCTTAGTGTCTTAGCCACTGAGCCACCTAGTCAGGCCCTAGTCTGCTTGGGGCGGGATGACTGCTATCAGTGCGTGCAGGCAGGGAGTCCTGGGGGCTTGCTGGATCAGCCAGGATGGATCACTAGCTTCAATCTTGGTCAAATTATCCGGACTACAGGTAGTCCTCGATTTACAACAGTTCATTGAGTGACTGTTCAAAGTTACAACAGCACTGAAAAAAGTTACTTATGACCGTTTTTCATAGTTAACAACCATTGCAGTGTCCTCATAACCATGTGATCAACATTTGGATTCTTGGCAACTGGTTCATATTTATGACCTTTGCTGCGTACCGAGGTCATGTGATCCCCTTTTGTGACCTTCTGAACAAGCAAGGTCAATGGGGAAGTCAGTTTCACTTAACAACCAGATTACTCACTTATCAACAGCAGCGATTCACTTAACAATTGAGGCAAGAAAAGTCACAAAATGGGGCAAAAGTCATTTAATAAATGTCTCACTTAACAACAGAAATGTTGGCCTCAATTGTGGTCGTAAATCGAGGACTACCGGTGTTGTCCCTAGATGCTCCCAGCTCTATATTTGCCTTGCAAATATAGAGTCCACACAAGAAACACACCCAGAAGTCTAGCTCTAACTTTATTGTATGGTTACTGTCATGGTTCCGACTAACGAATCCAAGCCAATCAGAACTCTGAGACTAGAGACTTCCCCAAAGAACTTCTCTATTAGATATATCATATCGGCATGATCAAATGCAAAACCAACTCAAAGTATTTCCTGCTGTTTCAGTGAGAGAAATGGTATGAATGATTGGAGGAGAGAGATAAAAGGAAGGGAAAAATTAAATAATGGTCGAAATAGGAGCTGAAGTATAATTGCTAATATGAGGAAACAAAAACTGTGGAAATAGAAGTGGGTACATGGGTATTGTTATGTATATATCTAAATAAATAAATATTAGACGTATATGTATAAAAGATATAGTAGAAATAAGGGAGGAAAAAGTATATAAGTATGAAATTTTTGACTGATGCGAAACTGTTGAAACAGAAAAAGTGTTAAAGCTTTCTTTTTGTTTTAAAGAAACATTTAATAAAAAAAAAAAGAAATAACTCCTTTCCCAACAGTCTCAGGTCACGTTGACCTTGGTTCTCATGAGAAAGATCTGTGTTGTGTCTAGCAAAGCATTCCATCCTCCTTCCCCCCCGCCCCACACTGTGGCAACTGAGGAATAGAAAAATGGCTTCTGCCAGGTTTGATTTGAAGCTGACAGTTACATTAACAGAATCTTGAAAGTCTGAGTCAAAAAGTCAAAAAGAGGGCTTTGAAAATATTTACAGACTCCTCGCATCCTGGACATAAACTGTTTCAACTCCTACCCTCAAAATGACGCTATAGAGCACTGCCCAACAGAACAACTAGACAGAAGAACAGTTTTTTCCCGAATGCCATTACGCTGCTAAACAAATAATTCCCTCAACACTGTCATACTATTTACTAAATCTGCACTACTATTCATCTACTCATCGTTCCCACCACCCATCTCCTTCCATTTATGACTATATGACTGTAACTTTGTTGCTTGTATCCTTGCGATTTATATTGATTATTTCCTAGTATGATTTGATTGCTTATTTGTACCCTATGACTATCATTAAGTGTTGTACCTTATGATTCTTGATAAATGTATCTTTTCTTTTATGTACACTGAGAGCATATGCACCAAGACAAATTCCTTTGTGTCTAATCGCACTTGGCCAATAAAAAAATCTATTCTATTCTATTCTATTCTATTCTATTCTATTCTATTCTATAGCTCTCCCCCCTTGCCTTTACAATGAAAGTAACTAGGAAGGGTCCCTTCTGAGACATTTTCCACAGTCCCATTTATTCCGCAGACCCAGCTGCCTGAAATCTAACATTTGCATGGTTCTTTCTCCTGTCTCCCAAAGCTATTAGACTCTACCTTAGGGTTTCTCAGTCTGGGCAACTTGAAGATGTGTGGACTTCAATTCCCAGAATTCCCCAGCCTGGAGAATTTTGGGAGTTGAAGTCAAACAAATCCTCAAACTTGCAAAGGCTGAGAAACTCTCCTCCTCCTCCTCTCCCTCTCATTCCTCTCCTCCTCCTCCTCCTCCACTTCTTCCTCCTCCTCCTCCTTCTCCAATAAATCGAGCAAGACCATAACACAAGACAACATGGGCTGTTGCTTAATGCCACGAGATCTCTCCCCAGATGAACCTACCTCCCTCTTGCCCCAAAAGAGGGGGCTGCAAGTCTTCGGTCTTCAGATCTCCTAAGGGGGTGGGAGTCACCGTCTGGCTTCGATCCGGGGTAGGTGTGGGGCTGGTGTCACCTCCTTTCAGCAGGGACGTCTCCGAAAGCGAACTCTGGTTGCTATTCTCATCTGGTGGAAAACAGAAACAGGGCCATAAAGAACTGTATCTGGAAACTGGGAAAGTTTTTTTGATCACTGCATGGAGACTCCAGGTCCAGTGGCCGTGTACATTGATGTCTTATGAGGGCCTGATGGAACCAAGAGGTGGAATGAGAAAAGGTGAAGCTCTGTTCCCAGCAGCTATGCCCAGGTGAGGCAAATTGTAGTTTAGAGGGCATTCAAAAAAGCCAAAGGTTTTATAGAACCATAAAGCAGGAATGTACAGGTAGTCCTTGACTTACAGCCAAAATTTCTGTTGCTAAGGAATACGGTTGCTATGTGAGTTCTGCCCAATTTTACTTCCTTTTTTTTTTTGTCAACATTGGCAAGCAAATCACTGCGTTGTCAAGTGAATCATGCTATTGTTAAATGTCAGACCTGCCCCAGTTTGCTCTCCCAGGAAAGTAAAACTCATGAAGCAAAGAGACTTTTACTGAAAGAAACTGGTTGCAGCAAAGTCAGGCAGAGTCAGGTGCTTCCGTGCAAAATAAATAAAACTATTTTTTACAATTCCAAATCTCTCCCCCTCAGTCAATGCGACGCCAATATGATGTTTTGAGAAACTCTGTGATGTGAAACTGATAACATTGCGTCCTCGATCTTGGATATCCTGGTATAAGCCAGTTTGGTGATATGGTCTACTTCCATTATCACTTCTCCCTCCCCATTTCCCACCATTAGATAATACACAGGTGTGGATTGCCCCAAATGCCTCCCTACCTCCCTTCCCCTTTGATGGCAGGAACCCAGCAAGGCGCCTGGCCAAAGATGAAGATCCTGACAGTTAAGCAAATCTGGATTTCCCCATTGACTTGACTTGTCGGAAGCCAGCTGGCAAGGTCGCAAATGACTGTCTAATGACCCCAGGTCACTGCAGCCATTGTAAATAGGTGCCAGTTGCCAAATACCTGAATTGATCATGTGACCATGGGGATCGTGCAATCATCATAAGTACAGGTTCTAAATTACTTTTTTTTTGTGCCATTGTACCTTTGAACGGTCACTAAACAAATGGTTGTAAGACGAGGACTACCTATATCAGGGATCTGCAACCTTAAACACTCAGAGCCATTTGGACTCGTTTCCCACAGAAAAGAAAACAGTAGGGGCCACAAAACCCTTCCCATGCCTGACTATTTCTTGAGTGGCCACAAAACTAGCATTTGTAGTTCAGTGGTGGGTTTCAAATTTTTTACTACCAGTGCTATGGGTGTGGTTTGGTGAGCATGGCATGGCTTGGTGGGCGTGGCTTGGTGGGTGTTGCATGGGAAGGATGCTGTAAAATCTCCATTCCCTTCCCAATCCAGGGGAAGGTTACTGCAAAATCCCCATTTCCTCCCAATCAGCTGGGACTCGGAAAGCAGAGAATAGATGGGGGCAGGGGCAGTCAGAATTTTTACTACCGGTTCTCAGAACTACTCAAAATTTCCGCTACCGGTTCTCCAGAACTGGTCAGAACCTGCTGAAACCCAACTCTGATGTAGTTGAATTAAACATTCTGTTTTCTTCTGAAACTTTTTTCTTTTCTTGGATTTATCCATGGTTGGCCTACCGGGGGCTGAAAAGCTCAATAAATTGTTTACTGGCGGGTGTCACACATTGGCGGTTGTAATGCATATTTTATTTTATTTTATTTTATTTTATTTTATTTTTAAATTTATATACCGCCCTTCTCCTGAAGGACTCAGGGCGGTGAACAGCCAAAGGTAAAAATACAAAATACAAAATTTAAAAGCAATTTAAAGTAAATTAAATAATTTGGCCCAACAGTTTAAATACCCCATTAAAATTCAGATTAAAATTAAACAATTTAAAAATTTAAAAATTAGGCCAGCCCGGCTTGGTGAAATAAGAAAGTCTTTAGAGCCCGGTGAAAAGTTCGTAAGTCCAGGATCATCCGTATCTCCGGGGGGGAGCTCATTCCAGAGGGCAGGTGCTCCCACAGAGAAAGCTCTCCCCCTGGGGGCCACTAGGCCACCAGTTTGACCGACGGCACCCCGAGGAGCCCCTCTCTGTGGGAGCATACTGGCTGGTGGGAGGCTCTTGGCGGCAGAAGGCAGTCTCGTAGATATCCAGGTCCTAAGCCATGGAGCGCTCTAAAGGTGGTAACCAACACCTTGAATCGCACCTGAAAGACCACCGGAGGCCAGTGCAGCTCGCACAGGAGAGGTGTTACATGGGAGCGCCATGACGCTCCCATAATCACCCGTGCGGCTGCATTCTGGACCAGGTGAAGCCTCTGGGTGCTCTTCAAGGGGAGCCCCATGTAAATATTACAGTAGTCCAGGCGGGAAGTGACGAGGGCATGAGTGACCGTGCGCAAGGCATCCTGATCCAGAAAGAGACACAACTAGCGAATCAGGTGAACCTGATAGAAAACCCCGCTGGCCACGGCCATCATATGTTCTTCTAAGGACAGCCGTGCATCCAGGAGGACGCCCAAGTTGCAAGCCCTCTCCGCAGGGGCCAATGACTCGCCCCCAATAGTCAGAGATGGCAACAACTGACTATATCAGGACGCCGGAAACCACAGCCACTCGGTCTTGGATGGGTTGAGCTTGAGCCTGTTTCTCCCCATCCAGAGCCACACGGCCTCCAGACACCAGGACATCACGTCAAGGGCATTATTGGGATGGTCCGGGGTGGAGATGTACAGCTGAGTGTCATCAGCGTACTGATGGTACTGCACCCTGAAACCACGGATGATCTCATCCAGCGGCTTCACATAAATGTTGAACAAAAGGGGTGAGAGGACCGACCCCTGTGGCACCCCACATATAAGGCGCCTCGAGGTCGACCTCTGACCCCCCCGTCAACACAAACTGCGACCGGTCAGAGAGGAAGGAGGAGAACCACCGCAACACAGTGCCCCCCACCCCTAACCCCTCCAACCGGCATAGCATGATGCCATGGTCGATGGTATCAAAAGCTGCTGAGAGTTCTAATAGGACCAGGACAGAGGAACAACCTCTGTCCTGAGTCCTCCAGAGATCATCAACCAATGCGACCAATGCCGTTTCCGTGCTGTACCTAGGTCTGAAGCCCGACTGGAACAGATCAAGATAAACCGCTTCATCCAGGTACTGGGGGAACTGTCGTACAACCACACTCTCAACAACCTTCACCACGAAGCGGATAATCTGTTATTTTCGTTAATTGGTCCGGTCCCATCACCTGGCTCTGCAAAAGGCAGAGTTCTCCCGACGCCCGGAGCCAGGGAGGGCTTCTTGAGGAGGGGCCTCACCACCGCCTCTTTCAAGGCGGCGGGAAAGTAACCCTCACTCAAAGAAGCGTTGATAATCCTCTGGAGCCAACCTCATGTAACCTCCCGGGAAGCCAGCACCAACCAGGAGGGATACGGGTCCAATAAACATGTGGCTGCGCTAAGTCTACCCAGAATCCTGTCCATGTCTTCAGGGGTCACTGGATCAAACTCTTCCCAGATAACACTCTCAAGACCTGCATCCATCACCCCACCTGCATCTACCCAGTCAGAGTCCATATTTTGAGTGACAGGGAGCCGCAGCGGAGGGATGAAAGAGCCACATGCGGCTCCAGAGCCGCAGGTTGCTGACCTCTGACCTATATCATAGAGGTCAGCTGGCTAAGAAATTCTGGGAGTTGAAAGCCACACCTCCTAGAGGTGTGTTTGAGAAACACTGGGCTAAAGCATCTCTAATACTGTAGAGCAGAGGTCTCCAACCCCCAGTCCATGGACTGGTCTGCAGCACGCCATTCAAAGTTACGACAACACTGAAAAAGTGACTTCTGATTGTTTTCCACACTTACAACCATTGCAGCATTCCCATAATCACGTGATCAAAATTCAGATGCTTGGCAACTGTTCATATTTATGACGGTTGCAGTGTCCCGAGGTCATTTTGTGATCTTTTGACAAGCAAAGTCGATGGGAAAGCCAGATTCACTTAACAACTATATTGCTAACTTAACATCTGCACTTAACAACTGTGGTAAGAAAGGTCACAAAATGGGTCAAAACTCACTTAACAATTGTCTCATTTAGTAAATTTTGGGCTCTATTGTGGTTGTAAGTCAAAGACCATCTGTATCCTGTGTAGGGAGGGCCCGAGATGCCAGATTTTACAAGGCCCTTGTAAAATAATACTGTTCCCCCGAAAATAAGACCCAACTGGAAAATAAGCCCTAGCATGATTTTTCAGGATGCTTGTAATATAAGCCTACCCCAAAAATAAGCCCCAGTTAAGATCATGAACCAGACAGAGATGTTTAGTACTGTATTTTCCCCAAAATAAGACGTAACCAGAAAATAAGCCATAATGCATCTTTTGGAGCAAAATTTAATTTAACACCCGGTCTTATTTTGGGGGAAACACAGTAGAAAATATTCTTTCCTTTTCCCTTTCATATCCCAAAATGTACCATTCAGGTCAAACATGAGCAGAGCAGGATTGCTTCGAGAAAACCTTCTCTCTTTGGTGGGCTGTTGCTCTTTGCTACTTCCCAGTTGTCTTTTTTCCTGCAACAGAAGAGAGGGAAACAAATAAGTGAAACTAAAAGTACTAAAGCCCCTCATGAGAAACCAGGCAGCCTCTTTCTCACCTCATCCCGAGGGTCCATAATAGGCACCCACTTGTAGATCCGTAAAGAGGTGTCTCCCACCGTCACCCAACGCTTTTCCCTAGAAAGAGAAAAATGGGAACGCTTGCATGAATTCTCCACTTGTGACTTTTGGAGGTGTTGGACTAAAAAAGTAAAATCTTCTCTGAACTTAGATTTTTTTAAAAGGTAAAGATTTCCCCCTGGGGGGGGAGGGGGTGATGCTCATTTCTGTTTCTAGCCAAAGGATCCAGAGTTGTCCTAAGACACTCCCAGTGTCATGTGGCCAGCATGACTATACACCGAGGTGCACAGAACACTGTTACTTTTCCACCAAAGTGGTACCTGTTTATCTACTCCCATTTGCATGGTTTCGAACTGCTAAGCGAGCAGGAGCTGTGGCAAGACTGGACCTCATCCCATCACACAGTGATGGGACCTTGAATTGCCAACTTTCCGGTCAACAAATCCAGCATCTTAACTGCTAGCTGCTGATAAATTTATGGATGCAACCCAGGGGTGGGTTCTATTTACCTTTACTACCAGTTTGCAACGGGATACGCAGATCGCTGGTGACGACATCCGGAGCAGTGGGTGGGGCCTTCCGCCAGTTTTACTACCGATTTTTGCAAACCGGTCCAAACCAGGGGCAACCCACCACTGATGCAACCATATAGTACTCTCAGAATGAAGTATTTCTTCTACTTTTGCCTTCTTGCAGAAAGTTTTTCTCCCAATTTTCCAGACTAGCCTAGATTCCTGTGATTTTCTAGTGGAGTCCTATTCATTCACTAACCAAGTATAACCATGTTTAGCTTCTGGACTTATACAGAGTATTGCAATTTCTTTGAGGTGTTATAAAATATTATCCTAATGTTATGTGGCTTTCCCAACAGTATTTAATCCCCTTCCATCTATCTTGATTTTCCAATATCTTTCTGACAATCTAAGGATAGTCTGGGAAGATATCTTTCCAGGGAGAAAATGAACCTGATCAACACTCTGTGTTAATGTTTTTCAAACTTGGCAACTTGGAGACATATGGACTTCAACTCCCAGAATTCCCCGGCCAGCCTACTAGGGACTGAAGGCTAAAACATGAAGACCGGTTGCAGGAACTAAATATGTCTTGTAGCTTCATAAAGAGGAGGAATAAGGGTGACATGATAGCAGTGTTCCAATATCTAAGGGGCTGCCAAAAACAAGAAGAGGTCAACCTATTCTTCAAAGCACTTGAAGGCAGGACAAGAAGCAATGGATGGAAACTGATCGAGGAGAGATGCAACCTAGAACTAAGGATGAATTTCCTGATCTTGAGAACAATTGATCAGTGGGACGGCTTGCCTCCAGAAGTTGTGGGTGCTCCATCATCGGAGGTTTTTAAGAAGAGATTGGACAGCCATTTTCTGAAATGGTTTCTGAAATGCTTCAGCAGAAGATTGGATTAGAAGACCTCTAAGGTCCCTTCCAACTCTCTTATTCTGGGAGTTGAAATTCACGTCTTCAAGCTACCAAGGTTGAAAAACACTGCTGTATATCAACACCACTTCATGGCCTATCCTCTTCTTCCTTTAGCTTTCTTTCCTCTCTTTCTTCTCCCTGGCAACCTATATGTGTCTTCATAGGTCACGTGAAATCATGACAAAGCTGAAGATCACATTTAGCAGAAAGCAGAATCAAACCATTTTGATAATTTCAGATTCAATAGAAACAAAAAAAGCAGCCAGACTATATTCTCCCATACCGGAAAAGCCGCTGGCTTTCAAACTGTTAAGTGGCTGCAGCCTCTGGTGTGACGATTTGATGAGGAAAGGGGAAGGATTAGGCAAGACAAAATTACCCAATATATAACATCAGGCACTCGGATCAGCTGCTCTGGTGGAAAAGGGAGAAAGTGGAACTATTTCCAGAAATCCCTTCCTGGACACAGGAACATTTGGCCAGCTCATCTGGGGTGCAACTATCCTATCCCACCTTCCTGGGCAGATAGCACTGAGATCAAAGCCATAGAAAAACACCTGATGATCCAAATTGCTTTCAGCAAGCCTTCCAAACTATCTAGATTAGTGTTTTAACACCCTTGGCAGGTGGACATCATCTCCCAGAATTCCCCAGCCAGCATGGCCAGCAAAATTGCCATGGTTGAGAAACACTGATCTACACATGCTACACATGTGCACAGACGTACACATGCTGTGCAGATGTGGTGGAAAGACCCATAATCAGTGGTAGGTTGCTTCTGGTTCTCTCCGGTTCTTACAAACCGGTAGTAAAAGCGGCGGGAGGCTCCGCCCACTCACCTGGACATCATAATGGATGATCTGTGCACGCGCGGAAGCGCACGCGCGAAGCAAGCACACGCATACGCTCCTGTTGCAAACCGGTAGTAAAGATAATAGAACCCACCCAGTGGTGGGTTGCCCGCGGTTCGCACCGGTTCTATAGAACCGGTAGTAAAACTGGTGGGAGGCTCCACCCACCAACTCCGACGTCATCAGAACACTTCTGTGCAGGTGCAGAAGCTTCTGCACCTGCGCAGAAGAGTGCACATGTGCACGAGCAAAGCAAGCGTGCACATGCGACCCTATTGCGAACCGGTAGTAAAGGTAAATAGAATCCACCCCTGAATCCACCCCTGCCCATAATCAACACCCCAAAACCAGGAGTTGCTTCCCTCCAAAACAGGCCTTCGTGGTACCCTCCAAATGTTTTGAGATCACCCATCCTGTGCCAGTCTGGAACCCTCCTAAACACAGTCAGATCTGCATGGGGCAACCTGTGGCTTTCTCACCTAAGTTCTCCCCACCGGTAACCCCCCCCCCGGCATCCCCAAATTGTGCTCACCATCTCCGGACATGCTCAATAGCAGCCATCACTTTCTTGATGTCATCTTTTGCCCGGCTCCTCGTCTCGGCTCGAATGGCACGTCCTGACATGAGATCAGAAGTTTGGAGAGTTGGAAAGCTGCGATGGATGGAGTGGGCAGACAATCGGGAGCTTTCTCTCTGAGCTGTTAGTTCTGAGTTGTGCTCTTTTGTTCTCTTTATCCCATTTCTCTCCCTCTTTCTTTCTTTGATTGGTTTCTCTGCACCCCCTATCTTCTTTTGCTCACAGTGATGATTGGATGCTGGAAAGATTATGAATGCACACCCCTTTGCTCTTAATCCATCAAATTTTGCCCGCCACTTGTCTCTGTTGTGCCATCCATCAATCTTCCTGCATCAGTTTATTCCAGTTCTTGTTTTTTCCCCTCTGCTCTTGTTTTCTAATGTGTTTTTTTTCCCCCTTCTCTCTATCTCTATCTTTCTTATCTCAGCCTTCATATACTTCTTCCCTCTGTTGGGTCTCCACCATTCTTCCTGTCTCTGTTCGGCTTCTTTAGCTATTCTCCTTTTGCCCGAAAAAAGGAAGAGGAGAAAGGAGGGGGTAAAAAAAAAAAAACGGAAAAAAAGCAGTTCGCAAACGGAAGAACTATAATATAGTTCTTTCAGGTTGCTTTTTTTAAAAAAAAAATAGATATTTCAAACTTCGTGAGCGCCCTCTAGTGACTGGGAGAACTGGAAAGTGTACAGAGGAACACAAAGTTGGTCTGGTGTGTTGAGAAATGGTGGGAAGTTAGCAAAACAGGAGAACAATCAGAATAAAAAAAAATGTAAATCAATGCAAGGAGATTATCTTACATTATAATCTTCCTTGGGGATCCAAAGAGATGACGCACCGATATTTGCGCTGCATGCTTTATGGGAAAATTCACTATGGGTATTAAATTAGGTTTATTACAACAGAATGAGCAATGAGCAATACAGCAAAATAATTCAGTGGTCTTACCATCCAAGGGTGGGGAGGATCTTCTTTGGGCAAACCTGTACATTATTATTTTAAAGTCAAAATAATAAAATGATTGCTTGTTATACATATCTAGCCAGGTGTCCCTGACTATTTTTTTTTTTTTAGAAAAACAAGAAAGAAGAAAATAAGAAAGAAGGATAACCAGGGCAAGTTAGCCTATAACTTGGAAGTTGGCCTGAAGTTTATCTGATGCTATTCTAGTCATTTCCTACTCTCTTTTGGTCAAAAACATCCAACCTTTGTTAGTTTGAGGATCTCCCACCAATACTGGGTGGGTCCAGGGCCAAATCTGGAAAGCTACAGTTACTTGGCTTGACTTACAATCACAACTGAACCCCAAATCTCTGATGCTAAGCAAGACAGTTATTAAGCAATAATAATAAACAGTTATATCGTCACCGCTACCAGCTCGGGAGAACCGGGCCAAACTGGGAGGAACCCACCACTGAGTAACACGGTTGTAAAGTGAATCTGTTTTCCCCATTAACTTTGCTTGTCAGAAAGTTGCAAAAGGGGATCACATAACCCAGGGACACTGCCACTTGTCATAAATGTGAGTCAGTAGCCAAGCATCTGAATTTTGATCATGTGTCCATGGGGATGCTGCAACGATCATAACTTTGAAAAACAGTCATAAGTCAGCACTTTTTTCACTGCTGTTGTAGCTTTGAAGGGTCACTAAGCGAGCTGTTGTAAGTTGAGGACTACCTGTATATCTAAGGGAGAAATTGAATGTGATGCTGAAATCCTCAATTCTTCAATTTGGGACAGTCTTAGGTTCAAAATAATTCAGCTAAACTCTTAGATGAACTTCCTCACTAAGAAAATCCCTCTGAATGTGTGAAATGTACATCAGAGCAGATATATGCAAGATGACAACATTAAATTGGGTTCTGACCAGGGGTGGGTTGCTCTCGGTTTGGTCCGGTTCTACAGAGGAATTATTGAGTCTGTCATCTGCACCTCTATAACTATCTGATTTGGTTCTGCAACCCAGAAAGACAGACACAGACTTCAGAGGATTATTACAACTGCAGAAAAAATAATTGCTACCAACCTGCCTTCCATTGAGGACCTGTATACTGCACAAGTCAAAAAGAGGGCTGTGAAAATATTTACAGACCCCCTCACATCCTGGACATAAACTGTTTTAGCTCCTACCGTCAAAACGACGCTATAGAGCACTGGACACCAGAACAACTAGACACAAGGACAGGTTTTTTCCTGAATGCCATCACTCTGCTACACAAATAATTCCCTCAACACTGTTAAACTAGTTACTAAGTCTGCACTACTATTAATCTTCTCATTGTTCCCACCACCCATCTCCTCCCACTTATGACTGTATGACTGTAACTTTGTTGCTTGTATCCTTACAATTTATATTGATACTGTTTCCTGATTGCTTATTTGTACCCTATGACTATCATTAAGCGTTGTACCTTATGGTTCTTGATGAACGTATCTTTTCTTTTATGTACACTGAGAGTGTATGCACCAAGACAAATTCCTTGTGTGTCCAATCACACTTGGCCAATAAAAAATTCCATTCTATTCTATTCTATTCTATTCTATTCTATTCTATTCTATTCTATTCTATTCTATTCTATTCTATTCTATTCTATTCTATTATTCTATTCTATTCTATTCTATTCTATTCCATTCCATTCCATTCCATTCCATTCCATTCCATTCCACTCTATTCTATTCTATAGAACCGGTAGTAAAACCGGCAGGAGGCTCTGCCCATCCGCCACAACATCATCCTAGGTGATCTGCGCATGCGTAGAAACTTGTGCACGCCCGTTGTGAACCATTAGTAAAGGTAAATAAAATCCACCCCTGGTTCTGACAACATGCTAAGCTTGGCCAAAGTTGGGTAGTTTGTGGATCAGCAAAGTATGTGAAGTTGCCCCTTTCTTTGCAGATTTATGATGTAGCCACTGCATTTGTAAAGCTTAGGGTTAGCATCAGGGCCGGATTTTCCTATAGGCTAACTAGGCTTCAGCCTAGGGCCTCAAGATCAAGAGGGGCCTACATTCAAATTGTTAGCAAAATTAAAATTACACTTTCACTATAGGTGAAAGGGCCTCATAAGTGGAATAGCCTAGGGCCTCTTTTCATCTAAATCCGGCCCTGGTTAGCATGACTTTGATCTCCACTCCCATATATTCTTCTTTTGGAATCAGTCCTTTTTCACCCAGAACAAAACTTTTCTGGATTAATTGTCAGCAGAGGGCGCTGCTCATCCAGTTATTTTGCTAAATGGAAAGGAGATTACTGAGGGGGACAAAGGCATCATTATGACTGTAACCTGAGGCTTTCTGCATGTTTTGAAAATACAGTTGCAATCAAATCTGTCTCTGGCCCTGATAAGAATAAATGAGTCTCCTTATCAAAGAAGGAAGCCGGAGGAAACACAACTTTCTTTGTATTACCAAAATAGAAACCAATTGGAATAGTGTTAATTAGCCAGCAGAACTGTCACCAAGTTCATTATTAAGTGTTAGAAGATCATTTAAATTTTAGATCTTTCCTAGTTGGCATAGGAAGATATTCTTCGAGACATACCAGAAAATACACCCTGTTTGTTTGTTTATTTAGCGTATGGCTGGTCACACACAGTATTAAAACAGTTCATTTTTACAGGTTAAAAACAATTAAAACAATAAAAAAGCAGTAAGAAAACCTAAAAAGAAAACAGAAATAACATTTCAAAGTTTAATGTCGAGTTTGGAGATCCAGTCAGTAGCTGCCGTTGTTATGCAGAGGAAGTCCCTAGAATCTCCTGGATACCTTCTGTTAGGGCATTTCCTCACTATGTGCTGGATAGTCTGTCGAGGGGCCCCGCAATCACATTGTGCTGAAGGTGTCTTTCCCCATTTATACAGGGAGTCAGCACACACCCCATGAGTTGTCCTAATTCTATTATATGTCACCCATATGTGTCGGGGTAGGCTAAATCCTGGAGGTATACTACTAGGACTGATATGCTCGGAGACATCTTGGGGGGAACAGCTATTAACTATTATCATTATTATTAATTATTATAATTATTTATTTTTATAATTATTAATAAGTAATTAATAAATATTAATTAACTATTAGCTATTAACACACCCTCTTAACTCCTTCAGTGGAATGATCAGTATAGGTCTGGGTGAAACTTCCCAGAGAAAACCACCATCACAAAACTTGATTACAGTCAAGTTACAGAGCAGAAAGCAGAGGGAAAATCAACATATGGCAATGTTGAAATAGTTAAACTATTACATATCACTAGAGAGCATGGTAAAAAAAGCAGAGACCTCACCTTGCTGACAAAGGTCCACATTGTCAAAGTTATGGTTTTTCCAGTAGTAATGCATGGCTATGAGAGTTGGACCATAAGGAAAGTTGAGCACCAAAGAACTGATGCATTCAAATTATGGTCCCTTGGATTGCAAGGATATCAAATCAGTCAATCCTAAAGGAAACCCAACCCTGACTGTTTTTTGGAACAGGGGTCTCCAACCTTAGGAACTTTAAGCCTGGTGGACTTCAACTCTCAGAATTCTGGGAGCTGAAGTTCACCAGGTTTAAAGTTGCCAAGTTAGGAGATCCCTGCTTTGGAAGGACAGATACTGAAGCTGAAGCTCAAATAGTTTGGCCTCCTAATGAGAAGAGGAGACTCATCGGAAAAGACCCTACTTTTGTGAGAGAAGGCAAAAGGAGATGGGAAGGGCAAAAGATGAGATGGTTAAATAGTTTCATCCACATGATGGAACATGAATTTGGGCAAAGTATGGGAGACAGTGGGGGACAGGGGGACCTGGCCTGCTATGGCCCATGGGATCGCGAAGAGTCAGATGCGGATTTAGTGACTGAACAACAACAATCACATCCACAGCATATCATTTATCATTGCTCCCATTTTTATTTGATCCTTCTTGACCCATAAAATTAACATTCTACAGCACACCGTAAAGCACCTATGGGAATCTCACACTTATAGAAAAAAGAGATGGACTTAGCTCACACAGCTGTGCCTTCAATCTTGACTTTTTTGACCTTCCCCTCTGAATAACTATCCTTATTTCTGCAGCCTAGAAGATCTGGAGAGTCCACGATAAAATTATACCTATTATTGTTGAGGGATTGAGGGATTCTCAAATGCTAAGAGGGGAGATTTCCATAAAGGGAAATGACTTGGATCAGAAGCTTGGATATTCTTTTATGCTTTTATTACCTATTAATTGTATACATAAAACACAGTAAGAATTTGATAGCTGTTAGTGCAGGGGTGAAATGTTCCTAGTTCGAACCAGATCGCCCGATCCAGTAGCAATGGCGGCAGGTGGTTCGGAGAACTGGTAGCAAAAATCCCTGCCCCCCCCCCACCATGCCCAGCTGAGCCCCATGATCATCAGAGGCTTTTTTAAAAAACTTTTAAAAGCATTTTTTCTACAATCTCTTCCAACAAAAAAATACTTTTAAAAGTTTTAAAAAAAAAGCCTCTGATGATCGCATGGCTCAGCTGGGATCGTCAGAGACTTTTCAAAGCATTTTTTTCTGCAACCTCTTGGCCGAAGAGGTGGTTAAAAAAATGCTTTGAAAAGTCTCTGACGATCCCAGCTGAGTTGCCTGATCGGCAGAGAGGCTTTTCAAAGCATTTTTAAAAAAGCCTCTCTGATGATCCCAGCTGAGTTGCCTGATCAGCAGAGGCTTTTCAAAGAATTAGAAAAAATGCTTTGAAAAGTTAAAAAAAAAAAAAGTTGGCCATGCCCACCCAGTCACATTACCCCCAAGCCATGCCCACAGAACCAGTAGTAATAAAGTTTACATTTCATCCCTGTGTTAGTGTTACTTATTTTATAAGTAGAATGGTTTTGGTCTTAACTAAAACAATGAAACGAATTGCTAAGTAAAGAAACAATAGAAATAGTTTCAATATTTCACTTTCGTTTCCTGGTTGAACAGCTTCACAGAACTTTTTCCAATGTAACAACATAATAAAATAATTTTCCCCAAGAAATCGAAGATAAAGGTATCCTCCACTGCAACCATTACTTAGAGTGACCATTTGAAATTACAATGGTACTGAAAAAACCATTTTTCACACGGACCGTTACAGCGTCCCCATATTCACATGATCAAAACTCAGGTGCTTGGCAACTGGCATGTACTTAGGAAAGTTGCACTGTACTGGATCGTGTGATTACCATTTGTAACCTTCCTAGCTGGCTTCTGACAAGCAAAGTCAATGCGGGAAACCAGATCCACTTAACGACTGCATGATTCATTTAACAACCGCAGTGATTCACTTAACAACTGTAGCAAAAAAGATCGTAAAATGAGGCACAACTCACTTAATAACTTCCTTGTGTAGCAACAGAAATTTTGGGGTCAATTTTAGTTGTAAACCGAGGACTGCCTCTATATCTAATCCCTCATTTGGGGATAAGCCTTAAAAAAACCAACTGGCTGAATACAATATTACCAAGATCTCTAGTTATCTGCTTCAGGCTATTCAAACTTAATTGCTTTGGAATACGTCACTCGGATAGTCTCTCGGAAACAACAGAGAAATAGGGATTTCGAATGTTCCCTGGAGAATGAGATCAAAAGTGCTACCAAGACAATCCACAGGATGCGTTGCCTTCTTGTGGAGTGACATTTGCAGCTTTAGATTCAGGCCTGAAGCCCCACTGAGATTGGTCTGGGTCCCCAAGAGGACTGCATGGTATTATCCAAGATTTGACATATATAAATGTCCCAAGCATGTGTCTTGATCATCCTTGATCTTCTTCCAAAGTACCATCACTCATGCTATCAGTACAGTTTAACAGAATTGGAAGGGACCTTGTAGGTCATCTAGTTCAACCCCCCACCCACCCAAGCAGGAGACCCTACACCATTTCTGACAAACGGCAGTCCAGTCTCTTCTTGAAAGCCTTCAGTGATGAAGTCCCTACAACTTTCAAAGGCAACTTCTGTTCCATTGGTTGATTGTTCTCACTGTCAGAAAATTTCTCCTTATTTCTAGGTTGAATCTCTCCTTGATCAGTTTCCATCCATTATTCTTTGTCTGGCCTTCAGGCGCTTTGGAAAATAGCTTGACCCCCTCCTCTCTGTAACTCCTTAAGGCAGCCTGAGAGTTGTATATTTGTTTATTTATTTGCTTGTACAGGTAGTCCTCAATTTACAACAGTTCATTTAGTGACCATTCAAAGTTACAACAGAATTGAAAAAAGTGACTAATGACCATTCTTCACAGTTACAACCTTTGCAGCATGCCCATGATCATGTGATCAAAATTCAGATGCTTGGCAACTGTTTCATACTTATGACCGTTGCAGCGTCCTGGGGTCATGTGATCCTCCTCTTTTGAGACCCTCTGACCAGCAAAGTCAATGGGGAAACCAGATTCGCTTAACAATCGTGACAACTGTGGCAAGAAAAGTCATAAAATGGGGCAAAATCCGCTTAACAAATGTCTTACTTGGCAATATAAATGTTGGGGTCAATTGTGGTTGTAAGACAAGGACAACCTGTACTCCAATGGACTCCGGAAGGTGAAGAGTTGCCCAAGGAAAAGAACCATGTGATACAAGGACTTGCAGATGGGTGGGCTCCTTCTGTGCTTCCATTCATATTTCAACCCTCAAATCTGAAGTGCTGCCCAGCAGGATGGCTGAATTCTTCATGTTTTAATGCAATTAAATTAAATTAAAATTTCATTTCTTAGAACTGTTCTCCTGGGGTCAGTTTATTTGCTCTTTTATATAGCATAACATTTGCAGCTCTCATTTAGTGTCTATGTTGGTCTCAACTGTGGGAATTTGGAGATACGTGGACTTCAACTCCCAGAATTCTCCAGACTGGGGAATTCTGGAAATTGAAGTTCACACATCTTCAAGTTGCCTAGGTTAAAAAACATAGATCTACACAATGAAAGAAATATGGGATGACCATGATGGCTAGGCTCACACGCCATCATTGAACAGATTCACAGATGACACCAGGGATAAGGAATGACATGATTTATTTATTTTGGCTTTATTTTGCTGCATGAAACCCAATTTAATGCAGTTTGGCATGAGTAAGGCGGGGCTTGGCATGACAGGTGAACTACACAGAAACATTTTGTGGCATTTCAAAGGCATTTGAATTTATTGGGGCATAAAATTCTACATTCGTGCATCTAATGAAATGGGCTGCAATCTAGGAAAACCTCCAGCCATTAAAATATGTTGTTTTTGAAACCTTGAATGACTTTTTGTGGTCCCTTATCCCTTTGTGGTAACTTATTGAAAGTTATTGATTAGGATTTGCAATTTCATCTTGTTTTCATATAGTGATTCATTGATCCAATCCCTTTAGCAATGTGGCTGAAAGGCAGGATGTGAGTACAATATAAAAATATAGTTTGATTATCTACTGAGTTCAGTTAAGGTGACAGCATAGACACATTTAGATAATATTCTGCACAAGAATTTATTTTTTTATGACTTCCCGGTGTCCCATGACTTCTTGGTGTTTTCCCATCCACGTTTAAACCACCCAGCTTATCTTTTTTTTCCCGCAGTTTCCGTTTCTATTTTTAGCATTGGGAAAACAGATAAAAGTATGCTATCGCAAGAGACAAAAATATATTACCACCTTTCTTTTTTGATTTTCCCCAACCCCAAACAATTCAATTTACCTAAAAGACTAACTTTTTCCCTCTAAGAAAAAGATGAAATACATTTGTTGTCATAGTTTTGCAAGAATATAGTAAATTCTTCTTCCTTCCTTCCTTCCTTCCTTCCTTTCTTTCTTTCGTTCTTTCTTTCTTTCTTTCTTCTTCTTCTTCTTCTTCTTCTTTTGTTGCTGCTGCTCCTGCTGCTATATCTTCTATGTTTTCTTCTATTACTTCTACATCTTCTATATCTTCTTCTTCTTCTACGTCTTCTATGTCATCTTGTTCTATGACTTTGTCTTCTTCTACACCTTCTACACCTTTTCTGCCTCCTCCTCCTTCTCCTTCTCTCCTTCTTTTCCTCTTCCGTCTCACTTTCTGAATTCTCTTAAATCCACAGTCATTTTCTGTTCACTAAAGACAATACAGTCTTTTCCTTATAGTCCCACAATTTTGGAGCCTCGCAGAGCTTTTTCTGGGTGGGGTGGGGTGACACTCTATTTAGGAAACACCTTTCCCCAGAGATGCTGAACAGATGTCCATAAGAGCATCATTTCACCCCCTTGCAAAAAAACTTTTTTTCTCGGGCTCCTAAATCTTCCGGGTGCACTTTAAGGTGTTGGTTCTCATCTTTAAAGCGCTCCATAGCTTAGGGCCAGGGTACTTACAAGACCGCCTGCTGCTACCGATAACCTCCCACCGGCCCACCGGCTCACAGAGAGGGCCTCCTCAGGGTGCCGTCGGTCAAGCAATGTCAGCTGGCGGCCCCCAGGGGGAGACCCTTCTCTGTGGGGGCACTCGCCCTGTGGAATGAGCTACCCCCTGGAATACGACCGATCCCGGACCTCCGGACCTTCCGTAAGGCCCTAAAGACTTATTTATTCCAGCAAGCCAGCCTAGCCTAAATGGTTTTTAATGGGATTTTTAAATTTATAGACTTGGGATTTTAAATTGGGAGGCCGATTGATTTAATCTCTTTTAATTATCTTAACTTTTGTATTGTATGTATTTTAATTTTGGTTGTTCACCACCCTGAGTCCCTTTTGGGAGAAGGGCGGTATACAAATTAAATTAAAATAAAATAAAAAATAAATAAATAAAAATAAATGGGCTTTTCATTATATTTCAATCACTTTTCAAAAACGGGGAAACGTTATTCCCGTTTTCATTGAAGGCTAGGGCTGCTTTCTCGTTTATGGGCTGCTTTTTTTTTCCGATTCCACCCTATACTATTCCTCTCTCTCTCTCTCTCTCTCTTTTTTAATAAAGAGTGCTTTCCTGGAAATCGCCCAGAAAAATTCGACTGGGGAGGGGGAAATATGCGTTAAATTTTTTACCACTCCATAAATGAACTATTTCCCTTTCTCTCCTGGGAAAGAAATGAAGCTGTCCCACCGGCCACCCATTTCCTTCCTAGATCTATCTATTTCCCCATCGGCTAAGCAAGCCGCACATTCCTGCCCAAAGCAGGTGCGTGTTGGGTGAGGGTGAGGGTAATGGGGGTGGGAGGAGAGGAGATGAAAGGGCAGCCGCCGGTGCTGAGACCCACAGCAGGAGACAGGCTGTTTAGTGACCTCAGCCTGTTGGAATCCTCAATCCCGGGCCGGCGCGAGGACAAGGGGAGTGGTCAGCGGCTCATAAAAGGTCCGGCGTGGAACCAGCCGAGCCACAAAGTGGCGGGAATCGGCGCCGGGGAGGGTCGCAGGATGGAAGTGCTGTCAGGTACGGCAAAAGTCCGCAAAAAACGGGGTGTGGGGGGGGAGAGAAAAGCGAGGAGAAGCCTGCGCTTTCCCAAAGTTTTCCTTGGAGTCTCCAAGCTTCCCTCCGCGAAGCGGGACGGGACTCGGGTGGGGAGGTGGGGAATTCGGTTAAAAAGGATTCGAAGCCAACCTCGCGTTTACCCACCCCTGTTTGCGCGGTTCTGGAGCGCTTCCATCTCGTGCCCAGCTCGGGTGGCAGCTCTCTTTTAACAAAATCACGAGGAAGCAACCTCTCCAAAGGGCATCGCGAGCGTCCCAGCCGCTGCCACCGACGCGATTCCAAAGGCTCGGGTTGCGCTGCGAAGGTCGAATCGAAGCGGGCTGGGGAGCAGCGGAAGGCAGCTGGGTCCTTCTCGGGCGAAGTTTTAACCCCAATCGGCCGCTTTTGTTCCCTGTTCGGCTGGCAGGCTGAAGGGAAAAGCCAAAGGGGAGAGATTGATTGATTGATTGATAATTGATTGATTGATTGATTATGCCCGCCCACCTCACCAAAAAAGCGATTCTTGGGGTGAAAATAGCTGGAGACTGCATTTCATTTCATTTATTAAATTTTTATACCGCCCCTCTCCCGAAGGACTCGGGGGAGGGGGTGAACAGCCAGGATTAAAAAAACATACAATTTAAACATTAAAATACTTTAAAACATAATTAAATCTATAATTTAATATTGGACCCTTCTGTCAGCTCGGTGACCGGGTTCCCCCAACGGATCCTATTGCTTGCATTTTCCACTTATTGGACTGTCAACAAAGCCACACAGCCTAGTTTAGCATGGTAGAGACCGCCAAGTAGTTTTCCTTATTTCTTTTTACAAAGTCGTGGGAATTGAGCGCCTTGCCTTGCTCTGCCTCACCTTTCCTCTCCTTCCTCTTCCCTTCCCTCTCCTCCCGATACCGTTTGATAATAACCAATTTTCGGGGGGGGGGAGCGGGTGTTAGAGCTGCTTTTTGTAAGAGGGAGAGAGAGAGAGACCTGTGCTTTGGATTCTCTCTGAAGTTATTTAGAAAGCAGAGGGAGGGACTTTACCGGTTGAACCACCACCTTTCCTGCAAGCACGTCAGCGCATGCAGTCACTTCTTGAAAATAGCAAAGCTCCAAATACCCTTAAGGATTATGGCTGTTATAAATGATCTTTTACTGGTAGGATGAATCCAGGTCAGTGGGACACAAGTGCTCTCCGAAAGCTGGCCAGGCTGCTTTTTGGTTGAAATGTATTTCATGTATGTAAGAACATCATGTTTGGCTTCTGTGTCACTCAGAACTGCTCATGTACTGCCACAGCAGCATTCACACACATTACCAACCTGCAAAGTCTTCTATTAAATTTGTGCTTAACGTTTGTTAACCAGGAGTAAGGGTTTACTTAGAGGAGACCTGAATCATTTATGGTTTACTAAAACAAAGCATAATTTAGCAGCCCTGAAGCAGATCAATAATGTGATGAAAGTCCCAAGGTTCAGTTCTCTCCATAATGTCATGATTATTGCTTAGGGCAGGTGTCCCCAACCTTTCGGACCTCCAGGACCACTAAATTCATAATTTTAAATTCCGCGGACCAATAATATGATCTGCCTAATGACCGGCTGGGTAGGCGTGGCTAGGTGGGTGTGTGACTAGGTGGGTGTGGCCAACTCAATGTCACTCACGTCAAGGGGCACCTCACCAGCCTCTACTCGCCCCTCCCACCCACTCCTCTCTTGCTCCCCCCCCCCATCTTTAGGGTCCTAACAGGAAGCAGTTGTTGGAGCTAAGCAGCTACCAATGAGAAAGTGTTGGCAAAATAGTTCATATTGAATCTGATCAAAAAGGAGGCTCAGCAGAAGCACCTCACTGCGGACTATGAGCATAGGCTTTCCAAGCAGAGGGAAGACCTGTGGGAGCACAAGGCCAGGTACTGGCGCTTGGAGGCTCAGTGGGATGAGATGGTCAGCCAGTTCCAGGCCATGATGCAATCCCACTGAAACAAGATTGTCCGGCTTTTCGCCACCAGCGGCACTTCCCTCCAGCCTTTGCCCAAAGCTCTGCACCAGGAGGCTGAAGCAGACCCCAAGTCGGAATTTCTGCCCCCCTCCAACCCACACAAAAAAGACCCCAAAAGGGGAGACTCTCTGCAGCAACACAAACGTTCATTGCACGTATCCATCCCAGGGGTCGTAGTTTGAGGACCTCTGATTTGGTGCAATATAAAAAATGCAAATAATATTTCTGTGGACCACCAAAATTTTCTCACAGACCACCAGTGGTCCACGGACCACCAGCTGGTGACCACTGCCTTAGGGGACCTATTACCTCCAATTCCCAGCTGTAGTAAAAGTTTAACATTCCCTAATTTGCAGGGGTCTAGGTAACATATTAGCATTCAACTCCTAGCACTGTTGCTGGAAAACTTTATAACTCATAGCTTTAAAAAAAAAAAAAAAAAACCCTCTTCTGCAAATAATTAAAACTTTTTGCTAATGATAAATTTTGCATCATTCATCTCCCAAGAATTCTGAACTTTGATAATGTTGCATGACTATGAACTGAGAAATAGTCATAATTATTTGGATGCACGCAACATCCTAATCCAAATTATATGTTTTCTTGCTTGGTTTCTATAAATTTGGGTTTATGGTTTCTAGTGTAGCCCAAACCCAGTTGGTGCAGGAAAACCTGTGAAGCAAACCATGGTTTAAGAAGTTAGGTGACCTTCCACTAGACTTTTGTACATGACTAGCAGTGCTGTTTCAGGTTTCCACAGGAACAGTTGAGTGAATTAAGACTGAACGAGTCCAGCTTCTATGGAGTCACATGACATGTTAATTCCCATTGCCTGGTTCACACAACGAAAGAAGGTAGATTTGTATAAGCTTAGCTTTTGAAAACCCTTCTCCTTCAATAGCAGTGTTTTCCTAACATGTTGCCTCTGACTAGTACTGAATTGCAACTTCACAACATTTGTGTGTCCAAAGCCAGCTGGGGATGATGGGAGTCCTGAGCCAATATATTTGATGTGGGAAAAGTTTGGGTTTCTCTCTTTTTTTTTTTTTAATTTGATTTATATGCCGCCCTTCTCCGGAGACTCAGGGCGGCTTACAATGTGCTAAGCAATAGCCTTCATACTTTTGTATATTTATACAAAGTCAGCTTATTGCCCCCATAATCTGGGTCCTCATTTTACCTACCTTAGAAAGGATGGAAGACTGAATCAACCTTTTTTTAAAAAAATTGATTTATATACCTTGAGCCTGGTGAGATTTGAACTTGCAGTAATTGCAGGCAGCAGATGTAAGTGGATGTTAATAACAGTGCTTTAGTCTGCTGAGCCACCAGAGCTCCTTGATTCTTTTGGACAGTTTTTTTTTCCTTATCTGCATGTTAAGCATATATATTTTGCCCACCCTCTTTGGTTCTTCATGTGCTCTGTCCAGTTTATTTCCTTCATTGTAAAACCTCTGGAATGTTCTGCTCTCTTCGTTCTTCCTTTCTGCTACCCCCCCACCCTGAAGATCAAGAGATGTAAAGACTCTGATGACCTCATATCTTGAACTTGAAGGTGGAGTTAATCATTGATCTTGGATGGCAATTTTAAAAGACATTTACTGCTTGGCAGTTAGAACACCTGGCACAAAAATGTACAATTTGCATTTAGAATAGCCAGGGAGAAGATTTGGTATTTCCAGATAAAACAGCAGAGCAATCGAGCAAACATAGCATTCTCCTTCGTCCAACCAAATATACCTCCCTTGTCTTGTGTTCTATGTCTTCATGCAGTCTGCAGGTCAGATACAGTGCTTTTGAATTTAGAAGCTCCATAGAGTTATAGTTAGAAACTATGGATAGATCTTTCTTCTCTGTCCTAATTTGACAATGTCCTTTGGCAATCATCCTGATTTTTTCTTTACTCTTCATTCCATTCTCTACTTTTATCACCTGCTGTCTCAGCTTTCTTGAACCAGGCACTTTCCAAATATACTGGCACTATAATTCCCAGAATTCCACACCAGCTAGGAATTCTGGTTGTTGAAGTTCTAAAAAGTTCATGATTCCCAACTTCTGAAGACAATCCATCTGTGTCTTGATTGTCTTAGGTGGTGTTTCTCAACCTTGCCAGTTTTAAGATGGGTGGACTAACTTCCAAAATTCCCCAGCCACGGCTAAACTGGATGGGGAATTCTGGGAGTTGAAGTCCACCCATCTTAAAGCTGGCAAGGTTGAGAAACTCTGGTCTGAGGTGTCTTTTTCTAACAGGAAACCAGAGACCATAGGAAAGGATTAGGGTAGTAGGTAGAATGGGCAACATTTTTATCAAAGTTATATAAAAGGTTTTACCATTCAGTCCCACAAATGTCTTCCCCCAGGTAACTAGGAAAAACATATGCAGACATTTTATTGCTGGCTGATGAAAAGACCTGTGGCTCACAAAAACTTATGACCTTAATAAAATGTGTTAATTTGAAAGGTTGCCATCAGGTTCCTTCAAGTTACCATCAATAACCCATGATCCTGAGCTTTTCCAAACTTCATAAGGTTTGTCTTGAAGTTGGCAATCTAGTGGAATTAAGTTGAAGGAACTTAAAAGGGAGTCATTCTAGGAAAGATTAGGAGCTTGGCACAATTTTGCCTTTGCTAGATAAAACAATTTGCATAGAAATTATCTCAGTGGGAGGCTTAGAGTCTGGTTAAGAAGGAAGGGAAGTCTCTTGGTTTTTGCTGTTTGTACATGCCAGCTTTCTCCAACTTGGTCCTCCAGATAATGCAATGGCCTTGCTGTCTGGAACAATGAATGCTCTTGTCCATCCATCAAAGGCTCAAGAATAGCCAATGGCCATGCATTAATAGGATCAACCTCTTCTGTTTTTCCACTGAAAGATGGGGAAAAAAAGGGTGAAAATTCATAGCACAGCTTCAGAGGTTTTTTTTCATGTTTTGTACACTGAATTACTTGGGATTTGGGTTTTCCCTGCATTCAGAGGGTGATCTTCAGCATGTTGTCAACAGAAGTTCCTCCTCTGTACTATTTTAGAAGCTTCTGGACCAGATGATAGCAACTATAGGATATCCTGCAGTCAATGGAGGAGTCCCCTCTTTTCTGTATTTAGCAAGTGTCAGAAACTTCAATGTGCTTTGACAATCATTCCTGGTCCTTCTAATAACCCTGCAGTTTCAAAGTCCTTTTCCTTGAACACTGATATAGAATTTAAAAAGGGGGGGGAAATGTGCTGAAATCTACAGGTGTGTCCAAAAAGAGCACAGGTCATGAGAAGGAGGGAACATTCCAAACCAGAATAGAACAAAGTTTCTGTTTTTCTAAGAGTTTACAGGCCAACTATATCTGTATGGCACAAAATAACAAATCTCTAACAGGGGAAAAAAACTTCCTGCTTTTAGAGTTTCTTTTGAAAACACAGCCATGCAAAAAAGGCCAGGAATTTTCTACCTGGCTGCATTTTATTTTTACAGCTTTGAATGCTGCCCCGAGAGCATGCTTGCTGAACAGGTGACGGGAGATCTTTATTTAATGACAGCTGCAATTCGCAAGAGATCCTGCCTGAATGATTTTTGGGACTGGCAATTTCTGCATTATTGCATTACTTCACAATTCCATAGGCTGCCTCTGGAAAACTATTTGGATCTCGAACTAATTTCAGGCATATTATTATTATTATTATTATTATTATTATTATTATTATTATTATTATTTATTGGATTTCTATGCCGCCCTTCTCCCGAAGGACTCAGGGTGGCTCACAACAATAAGAAACAAAGAATACAAAAGTTAAAGACAAATTAAAACAGAATATCCAATAAATAAGGTTAAATGTGGGAATACCAATTCAAATTTAAGAATTTAAAAAGCTACAAAATCAGTCTAGAGTCAACCCAGGCCCGCCCGCTGGAAGAGTTCGGAGGTCGGGGATTATCCGGAGCTCCAGGGGTAATGCATTCCAGAGGGTAGGGCCTCCCACAGAGAAGGCTCTCCCCCTAGGGGTCAGCAGTCGACATTGTCTAGCCGAAGGTACCCTGAGGAGGCCAACTCTGTGGGAGCGAACCGGGCAATGGAAGGCTACCGGTGGCAGGAGGTGGTCTCGCAAGTACTCTGGTCCTAGGCCACGTAGGGCTTTAAATGTGAGTGCAATTCGGAAGACAACCGGGAGCCAATGCAGACTGCGAAGGAGTGGTGTAACATGGGACTACCGAGGCACCCCCATGACAACCTGTGCGGCCACATTCTGCACCAGTTGAAGTCTCCGAGTGCTCTTCAAGGACAGCCCCATGTAAAGTGCATTGCAGTAGTCCAAACGAGAGGTGATGAGGGCATGAGAAACTATGAGTAAGGCATCTCGGTCCAGAAAGGGGCGCAATTGGTGAACCAGGTGCACCTGGACAAAAGTCCCCCTGGCTACTGCAGTCAAATGATTTTCTAAGCTAAGCCGTGGGTCTAGGACGACTCCCAAATTGCGTACCTTCTCTGAGGGGGTCAACACCTCCCCCCCTAGGGATAGTGATGGAACATAGTGGACAAAACGGGGTGCCGGTAGCCACAGCCACTCGGTCTTGTCGGGGTTGAGTCTAAGTCTGTTCGTCCCCATCCAGACCCGTACGGCCTCCAAGTACCGGGACATCACGTCAAGGGCATCATTGGGGTGATGCGGGGTGGAGATGAAAAGTTGGGTATCATCAGCATATTGATGATCTCACCCAGTGGCTTCATGTATATGTTGAACAGGAGAGGCGAGAGAACCGACCCCTGCGGCACCCCACAAGGTAGGGGCCTAGGGGTCGACCTATGCTTTCCTGCCAGCACAAACTGCGTACGACCCGAGAGGTAGGAGGAGAACCACTGAAAAACAGTGCCTGCCACTCCCAACCCCCTTAGCCGTCACAGTAAGATACCATGGTTGATGGTATCAAAAGCCGCTGAGAAGTCAAGTAAGACCAGGACAGAGGAGTAACCCCTATCCCGGGCACGCCAGAGATCATCTACCAACGCGGCCGATGCCGTTTCTGTGCTGTGACTGGGCCTGAAGCCGGACTGAAACGGGTCCAGGTAATCCGCTTCATCCAGAAATTGTGGGAGCTGACACACCACTACGCTTTCAACTACCTTTGCCATAAGGCAAAGGTTAGAAACTGGGCGATAGTTCTTAAAGAGAGCCGGATCCAAGGCAGGCTTCTTGAGGAGGGGTCTCACCACCGTCTCCTTCAAGATTCCCTCTCTCAACGAGACATTAATTACTGCCTGAACCCAGCCTCATGTAACCTCTTGGGAGGTCGAGACCAACTAGGAGGGACACGGGTCCAGCAGACACGTGGCGGTGCTCAATCTACCCACAATCCGGGCCACATCATCAGGAGTCACAGGCTCAAACTCATCCCAGATAACATGCTCAGGACCAGTCCCCATCAATTCAACGGACCCTGCCCAGTCAGAGTCCAGGCCCTCCCGAATCTGAGCAATTTTATCCTGTAAATATTGAACAACTTCTTCAGCCTTACCCTGCAAAGGATCATCCCTCACTCCCACATTAAGAAGGGAACGAGCCACCCTAAACAGGGTGGCCGGGCGATTGTCCGCGGATGTAATAAGAACGGAAAAGTGCGAGCATTTTGCCGCTTTTATCGCCACTAGGTAGGACTGAATATAAGTTCTTAACTGTGTTCGATCAGATTCGGACTTGCTAGTCCTCCAGCACCACTCTAGGCGTCTTTTCCGGTGCTTCATCTCCTGGAGCTCCTCAGTAAACCAAGGGGCAACCCGGGATCCGCTCCGGGTCAAAGGCCGTAAAGGCACAGTTCGATCCAAGGCCCCGGCAGCCGCAGTTTCAATATTGCTGTCCTTTTTGTCTTCTTTTTTTAAGGAGGCATCCACTATGCCCCAAGATGAGCTTCCACAGGATAGGTGCCATTGATATCATAGGTAGATACAGGTAGTTCTAGACTTATGACCACAATGGAGCGCAATATTTTTGTTGCTAAGTGAAACATTTGTTAAGTGAACTTTCATGGCATGGTTGTTAAGTGAATCACTGCAGTTAAGTCGCAAAAGGGGATCATGACCCCAGGATGCTGCAACCATCATAAGGATGAGTCAGTTGCCAAGCATCTGAATTCTGATCGAGTGGTCATGAGGATGCTTCAACAGTTTATAAGTGAAAAAAAAAATCATAAATCACTTTTTTCAGTGGCATTGTAACTTTGAATGGTCACTAAATGAACTGTTGTAAGTCAAAGACTACCTGTACTGCATAGAAGTATCTCTCAACCTTGGCAACTTTAGTATGTCTGGACTTCAACTCCCAGAATTCCCCAGCTAGCCTGCTGGGATTTGAAGTTCATACATCTAAGAATTGCTAAGTTTGAGAAACACTGCTGTATAGTGCTTTTCATTCTTCCTCACTTCTGATGCTGTACTCTAAAATTTGAGTTATTATTTAAGATGAATTGATTTCCTTTTTCTGTCTCTTAACTCTCTCCACCTACCCTTGTTGTCTTTTGCAGGTTCTGTGGCTTGCAAAAAAAGCAGAACAGCATTTATGGTATTATTGATACAAATATTTGAATGTTTAGTTATTCGTTCTTGGGTCTAATGTTCCTCTTGATTCTCTCTTGCAGTGGATTTGCCAATGTGCTCTGAAGCAAGAAGCACCCAGCAAGAAATAGCCTTAGAGATTGAAAGGACACACAATCTCACCCTCAGCATGCAATTCAGCTCAGGACAACTGCTGTCAAACTACGTGAGTCCTAAATATAAGTGGAACAAATTAATGGAGGGTATGGGCAGTGATGGGATTCAGCCGGTTTGGGTGAACCAGTAGTTAAATTGCTGTCTGGCTCCACCTCCTTCCTGCCCCACCCCTTCCAGGAGTCCCTACGCGCCCATTGTGGCTCCCAGGTAAGTGCAGGGAGGCCTCCTAGGCCAAACACGGGGCACAGGGGGGTGTTGTGTGACCCTCCATGGCCCGTTTTCACTCCCAGGAGGCTTCAGGGAAGCCTCCTAGGCCCAAAATGGACTGTAGGGGGACAGCACATTCCCCCCCACGGCCTCTTTCTTCTCCCAGGGGGGTGCAGGAGGTCGATTGCTGCCTGTCACACACATCCTGGCTATGCCCACCATGGCCACGCCCACCCAGCCGGTCATTAGGGCAGAGAACCGGTTGTTAAATTATTTGAATCCCACCACTGTTTATGGGGCTCTGTCTACAGGAAGGGAGGGAAATGTATTTTATTTAATTTACAAAGCTTCTAAGCTAGGAAAGAAGAAGGAACTTTAGTGATTGCAAATTGATAATGATTTGAATCTCCTGAACGAAGGACCTGGGCATTTTTTTCAAAACAAATGTTTACTTGTGTTTTTAGGTAATTAAGTTAGCAGGGTAATTAGGAAATTGAAGGAATAAGAGATGCTGAATGTTATAATTATTTAGATTAGGATAGATTATGATTGTTGAATGTTATACCCTGTAATTTGTTCTGGGAAGGGGGGGGAGGGGTGGTGGGGGTAAGCGGGGGAGGGTGTGGGGGTGGTAGGGAAGGGGGAGAATAAACATGTAAACCTTCTGTAAAACTTTTTAATAAAAAAAACATAAAAAATTATTTCACTCAACAACAGCTAATTGTGGTGTTTTTCTTGTGACAATAATTCGTACATTATTTACAAAAATTAAATTGTATGTATTTGCATTTTTATTTTATCTATTACTTGTACTTAATAACTATCTATCTTCAATCTATCTCTGTTCCATCTAGTTATACCACTGTTCCCACACATTGTAAAATATCGATGTCTCTTTTTCTTTTGCGACCTTCTAACTAGCAAAGTCAACGAGGAGGCCAGATTCACCTAACAACCAGGTTACTAATTTAACAACAGCAGTGATTGACTTAACAGCTGTGGCAAAAGGGTCGTAAAATGGGGCAAAACTCGCTTAACAACTGTCTCACTTAACGACATAAATTTTGGGCTTAATTGTAATCGTACGTTGAGGGCTACTTGCAATAATGAGAAGGCATTCCATCACTTTCTGACGATCCAAGAAACCACCTTTCAAAGAACTGACAGTCTGGCTTTTCTCTGTTTTAGGTGCATCACCAGGGGGTACCTTTTGGTGACCCCGATTTCAACCCAACCATTCAGCCCTTTCCAGGACTCCCGTTGCCAACCCTGTCTACCACAGAGTGGCTTGGTCTCACCGACAAGGAGCGGCTGCAGCAGAATGCCTCCGCCTTCTCCAATTTGCAGGTGTATTTAGCCAGCGTGAAATGCCAGCAAATGGATCTGAATCCATTGGAAGATGAATTACACCGTAAGCTCGATTCTTCGCGCCTGCACTGTTTGGGTCTGGAGAATAACCTTAAATCCATCATGTCTTCCCTGGGCATCGTGCCAGGTCCAGTTGTACCTGCTGAGCCTCTGGAATCTGACAACGCCTTCCTTATGAAACTCACAGGCTACTACGTTTGCCATCTCTTCCAAGACTGGGTCAACAGATGTGAAAAGGACATAGCCTTATTAACTAAGAAATATCCTGTCTGAAAATGCTTCTCTTTCCACATTGACCAGAGGCAGGGCTGGAAATATGGAGGGTGCACAACACGCCCCCGGTATTTCTCTAAACTATGGCTCGGCTCGATCTATCCGTTTTCTTGAGTTCACACAAAATATCAGCACGCAGCACCTTTAACCACTGAGTCAGTTGCAAATCCAATCCTTACTGTCAGACAATGTACTCAAACTTGCTTAGTTTTAAGCTGGTTTGTTTGCATCTTACCTTGTTGTGCAAATTCGGCTTGCTTGGGTCAGCTTATTACATGTTCTGTCCAAGAAAATGGGTTTATTTAGTAACCAGGTTAAAAGGGGGTTGCAGCTATTCAGGGGTAGGCTTCAAAAATTTTAGCAAGGGGTTCTCTGCCTGGCCTCTGCGTGGCCATGGTGATTGTACACTAGTCGGCCTCCTGCACCACGGTGGGGGAGGAGCATTTTTGCCCTTCCCGGACTCCGAAGGCTTTTTTCAAGCTTCCGGGAGGGTGAAAATGGTCTCCCCAGGTTCTGAAAGCCCTCAGGAGGCTGGAAACAGGCCCGTTTCCGGCCTTCCCGAACTTCCGGTAGACCCATTTTTCAACCTCCCCAAGCCTCCATGCACGTCCTGCACTTACCTGCATCCAAAACGGGATGTGTGGGGACTCCTGGGAGGGGCGGGGTGGGCAGGGCCAGCCAGGAGTGGGATTTGGAGGTTTTCCAAACTGCACAGAATCTTAGCTAGAGGTTCTCCCGAACCCCTTCGAACCCCCAGCAGTCCACCCCTGCAGCTATTGAAGCATAAGAGGAGTGCATGTGGTTCGCCCAACTGTTAACGTGTCTTACAACAAACCAGGCTGAAGGTTAACAACCCAAAGAAAACGTATCTTCAGATCAGTAAGTTTAGGAAACAAGGACTTTCAATTAACAATCTGTATATGTGTGTGTGCGCTATTGGACCAATTACTGGTAATCCTTGACTTACAACCGTTTCGTTTAGTGACTGTTCAAAGTTAAAACAGTCCTGAATAAAGGGACTTAATGGCTGTTCCTCACATTATAACTGTTGCAGCATCCCCACAGTCACATGATCAAAATTCAGGCATTTGTCAGCCGGCATGCATTTAATAACGGCCCTGCTTAGTTACAAATATTCTGGTCTAGGGGTACCATTCACTTTCCCTACCAGTTTGCAAATATGAACTGCATGCACCCGGCCTGAAAAACGTGCCTAAATAGGATGGCATAGAGCCAAGGCAGGTGGGCTACCGGTTCAGGCGAACCGGTTCGAGCCAGCTGAATACGACCTCTGTTCTGATCCCAATAGTAGTCATAAGTCATGGACTATCTGTATACATCTGAGAGCTGTGTAAAAGCTCTGAAATCACACATGAACCTTGCGTGGTAGATAACTTAGCTTATTAATATGTTCCCGGTGGGGAGAAGGAATCTCTTTTTCTACTCAGTGAGAACCCTGAAGGGATGGCATGGTACGTTTTCAAAGCACGAGGTTTTCCATTTCACTCTTCATGGGTGTAAAACTGGCCAGTTTCTTTAAATGAGCTTCTCCAAATCTGCTTTTCTCTGGAACTACAGCTCCCATAATCCTATAGGCAACAAGGAGGGGATTGGCTTGTAGGCTGGACAGCAGATTCTGGTCTAATCACATCTTTCTCCTTGGCAAGTGCCAAGAAAGCCAAGGGAGATGTGAGGGTCATCATTTGGAAGGCAGATTTGCAAATACGCAGCCCAATATTCACTTCAATGCACAATCCTTCCTGACTGTGTTAATGAGAAATGCAGCTATGCGTTTGCTTGTAGGCTCCGGTGGGAAATATGATTCAGTCGATGTTTAAAATACAGAGGAAACCCAGCTTCCTAAGGTGATTGAATTTTAGTAGTTTGCTTAAATTTGGATTTTCTGAAACGAGTCCATTCTCCCCTCTAAATCGGTGTTTTTCATCCTCAGCCACTTAAAAATGTGTGGATTTCAACTCCCAGAATTCCCCAGCCAGCATAGGAAATTCCCCAGCATGCTGGCTGGGAAATTCCAAGTCCTACCCACCATAAACTGGTTGAGGTTGAGAAACATTTATCTAAATCATACTGACTATTAAGAAACTAGTCCTCAATGTTTTTTTTTAAAATTTGATTTATATGCCGCCCTTTTCCGGGGACTCAGGGCAGCTTACAATGCGTTAAGCAGTATTTCAATGTTGAAATACTTGGACAGTTTATTGTCCATTCACTGATACTGTTTCTCAATAGCACCATCCTCTTTTAATGATAAGTTGTCACATAGGGTTGTAACATCTGGTGGGAGGATTTTTTGTTTTTTAAATGCTTTTCCTTATGTATTAGTTTTAATATTTGCTATGTTCTTTATAAACGCCTCCAAGGCTATTAGCATTGAGAATTTTTATATTTTCTCTTTTCCAGCTAAAATTCCAGTTGTGGAGTTTCTTTCCTCTAGGATGTATGTTCCTAGCTAAAGAAATATTTATTTCTATATGGTTTTCTAATTATATATGTATTGTATATAGAGCAAAACTTAAATTTATAATCGTAATAAAAGTATTTTAGTAGAATGTATAGTTTTTTTGTCTTTTCTTCTTCTTATTCTGTTGCAACGTACATATAATTTACCGTGTTTTCTCGAAAATAAGACCCTGTCTTATATTTTTTTGAACCCCGAAATAAGCACTTGGCCTTATTCTTGGGGAGGTCTTATTATTTTGGGGTGTGTGGAGCAAGATGGGGCTCCTCTTGCCGTCTCACCTGATTTCCAGCTCTGTCTCCCTAACCCTAAGAGGAAATGGCGGGGACTGGCTGCACATGTGGTTTACTATTTTGGAGAGGGTTTATTTTCAGGGGAGGCTTATTTTAGTGCATGCGCTCAAAAGCCCAATTGGGCTTATTATCTGGGGAGGTCTTATTTTAGGGAAAACAGGGTACTAGAGAGACTTGCTTTTAAGAACTCAATACAACCTCTTCTGTTGCCAAGAAAACTTCATGGTTGTGTGAATGAAATCACTAGGAATTAGTTTCAGAGTATCTTAAGTTAAAAAGTTCACCTAAATGAGAGCATCTGAATAATCCTGTCTGCTCTCCAAAAGCTACATAAAGTTGAATCTTATTATTACTTGGATAGTTGGATCTTATTATTACTTGGATGGGAGACCACTAAGAAATCTCATGTCAATTGGGCAGGCTAAACAACGTATCTGCTGAAGGTAACGGCCAATGAATGATAGGGCTGTATCAGTCATTGGGGGCCAAACTGGACTTTAAATTAGTTTTAAAAATAGGTTTTATCCGGAGTTAATATTTCTCTAATTCACACATCTTACTAAGTCATAATTAAGTGTGATTTATTTTAATTGATTTTCATAGCCAATCATATCAACAGGGGACTGTGGGCAGCATTGAACATTAAATATAAACACAATTAAAAGCAATTAAGAATGATTGTTGTTACCATTGCCTGAACACCCTTAAATCATTAAAGTCAAAAACAAGCCAACCCTATCGTGATTTATGGAGTTCCTGAATGATCACTTCCACAATCAGCTACAGGTCCTTCAGTCCTTATTTCATATATTTATTGCTTTCCACCCAAAGTGCACATCTGTTTACAGCACAAGTTAATTTGCGGTGTACAAGTGCCTTTTCCCAGTTCTAATGCCAACCTGCAGAATTAGAGGCTTCTACTTTGCAGGCCAAATGGCCCACTCTCAAATTAAAACATCACAATCTTAGACATAGGTAGCAGAGGTGATATTCAGCAGATTCTGACCAGTTCTGGAGAACCGGTAGCAGAAATTTTGAGTAGTTCGGAGAACCGGTAAATACCACCTCTGATTGGCCCCACCCCCATCTAGTCTCTGCCTCCCGAGTCCCAGTTGATTGGGAGGAAATGGGATTTTGCAGTATCCTTCTCCTGGAGTGGAGAGGGAATGGAGATTTTACAGTATCCTTCCCTGGAGTGGGGAGGGAATAGAAATTTTACAGTAACCTTCTCCTGGAGTGGGGAGGGAATGGAGATTTTACAGTATCCTTCCCCTGGAGTAGGGAGGGAATGGAGATTTTACAGTATCCTTCCCCTGCTATGCCCAGCAAGCCACGCCCACCAAGCCACACCTACAGAACCAGTAGTAAAACAATTTGAATCCTACCACTGCAGGATAGCAATGCCAAGTTGTGTCAAAGAGAGGTGTACCCAGCTTCAGGACATAACATGGTCTCCCAAATATCTGGATGCAGCTCTGCGAGACTATCAAAAGTTTTATCCCCATCTAATGTCTACAAATAATCCTTGACGTACAACCATTTGTTTAGTGACCAATGTTACAAAAGCACTGAAAAAAAAGTCCTTTATGAAGGTTTTTCACATGACGAATGCAGCATCCCTACGGACACGGGATCAAAATTGGGATGCTTGCCAACCGTCATAAATACAGGTAGTCCTTGAGTTATGACCACAATTGAGCCGAAAGATTATGTTGCTAACTGAAACTTTTGTTAAGGGCGTTTTCCCCATTTTACTACTTTTCTTGCCACCGTTGTTAAGTGAATCGTTGCATTTGTTATGTTAGTAACGCGGTTGTTAAGTGAATGTGGCTTCCCCATTGACTTTGCTTGTCAGAAGGTCGCAAAAGGGGGGGTCACATGACCCCAGGCAGGGATGGTATTCACTTACCTTCACTACCAGTTTGCAAATATAAGTGCGCATGCCTCCTCCATGCATGCGCAGAGTCTTCTGTGCATGCGCAAAGTGTCAAAAACGGGACGTGATGAAGTCTGGGCGGGTGGGCGGAGCCTCCCCCACTGGCGCTACCAGATTGCACGATTCAGATACAGCCAGCTGAATTTCACCACTGACCCCAGGACACTGCAGCCATCATAAATATGAGTCAGTTGCCAAGCACCTGAATTTTGATCACCTGATCATAGGGACGCTGCAACAATCGTAAGTGTAAAAAAACAGTGGTAAATCACTTTTTTCAGAGCTGTTGTAACTTTGAACTAAATGTACAGTTGTAAATCGAGGACTACTTGTATTTCCCATGGTTGCGGTGTTGTTCTGGCCCAGCTACGGACCCCAAAGAACGCAGCACACACAAATCTGTACAAACTTCAGTTTACTAAATTAAATCAGGTTTTTTTTTCCAAACAAAGGCTGTTAATTAATGTTCTAAACAGCCGACAAGAATCCAAATAATAAATAATTGTAATCTTACTATGGTTGGCAGAAAGCCCAGAAGCAATTTGCAGAGAACTAAGATCAAGACGGGAAAGAGAGTGAACTAAATTGTTCCCTGCAAATTGCCTCAGTTGTTGTCCTTTCTTAAATAGGCTAAGGGAGTGGCCAATTACTCCTTACTCTCGAGGAGACCTCCTCCTGAGGAGCCACTCCTGCCTTTTGGCAGCTCTGTGCACCCGAGAAGAGGCTCCTCCTCTTCTTCCTCTTCACTTAAGGGAGCTTCTGGAGGTTCTGAAGGCCCTGGCTGAATCCCCGCCTCTGGCATCACATCTTCTCCAGCCTCCTCACTGTCCCACTCAAGTGCCAACTGCACAGGCTGCTGGCGCAGCACCACACCAGCCTCCTCACTGTTGGAATCAGTTACTAGCTGCACAAGCCACTGACAGGCCACAACAGGTGTCGCAGGATCACATGATTCCTTTTTGCGACCTTCTGACAAGTAAAGTCAATGGGGAAGCCAAATCCATTTAACAACTGTGTTACTAACTTAATTGCGGTGATGATTCACATAACAACGGTGACAAGAAAGATCATAAAATGGGGCAAAACTCAATTGTCTTCTTAGCAATGGAAATTTTGGGCTCAATTGTAGTCTTAAATCGAGGGCTACTTTATTTTCTTTGAAGGGCAACTAGAGATGAATCATATTCTGAACAAAAGGAACATAAAAATAAATGTAAGTATTGTTCTGGTTGTAGCATTCTTTTGAGAAGTGTGTGCCATAGTATAATTCTGAAATGCATTATATTAATCCTTACCAAAGTTAAACAATGAATTTCGGCTAATTTACAAGGTACATTTGGCATTGTTCTCCTTTATCTGACAAATATATTTGCTCTGGGAAAAAATACTCCAGACCCAGAAAAACCAATACATAGAAAAGGTAGTTAAACTTTAAGTGGGAATTCATGGTTCGTTTCAATTCATCTATTTCCTGGTTGCACCTATTCATTGGAAAACAGTCCAAGTAAAAAGGTTAAAAAAAAAAAAACTTGTCCAGGTGGCTTTGAGGAAATGAAATACATCTCCACTCTTCCTGCGGACTTTGGTTTTCCTCATCTGTGAACATTTGGGTTTTTTCATTTTAACACTACATCAGTTCAACCCTATCTAATATAAATAGGATTCTCAACTGCTCAGAAGCTAGAATCTGCACCGTTGCTGTTATTTTGTGGCAGATTGTCAAAAAAACAAATGGCAGAACATATTTCAGTTTTATTCTCAAAAGTTATGTAATGTAATAATAACCTGGCTAATTATTAAAATATATTTATATGAGTTATGGGTATACCTCAGTACATTCACGTAACACCACAGCCCCCAGCTGCTGTCCTGATTTCCATTAGACTGCCAAGTTACAATTTCAATATATTAGTTGTCACCTCTGAAGCCCTGCCTGATATGGGGTCAGAATAGACTACCTTTCTTTCTCCCACCTCATTAGATCCACAGGGTGGGCATGCTCCGGGATCTATGGATCAGGCAGGACCCAAGAAGCAGGCTGTCTCAGTTTCCTTCCCTCAAGATCTGGAGGGTTCTTCAAACTTGGCAACTTTAAGATTTATGGACTTCAACTCCCAGAATTCCTCAGCCAGCCATGGAGGAATTCTGGGAACTGAAGTCTTCAAGTTACCAAGTTTGGAGATCCCTGCTCTAGGTCATCATTCCTCCTGATAATTTTTTTTTTTTTCAGAAGTCCTTAAAGACTTTGGAAGTCTCCTCAGTGATGGGATCTGGAGGTTAGATGACACCCATCACTATTGCTCATTCTTATGATTGGAGCTGGGTTTGTGTAATGGTATGTCTGTAGGAATGACCTTGGGAGATCTGCCAACATCTAGAAACAAGTAAAGTAACAACTAGCAGTCAGTATGGGTTTGTTAAAAACAGATCATGCCAAACCAATCTTATTTCATTCTTCAACATAGTGACTAGACCAGCAAAATACGGTGGACATAATATATTTGGACTTTAGCAAGGCATTTGACAAAGTAGACCACAACCTACTTCTTGATAAGCTAGAAAAAAGTAGGATAGATAGCATCACCACCAGATGGATTCGCAACTGGCTGACAAACCGTACTCAATGAGTAGTCCTTAATGGGTCTAAGTCTACATGGAGGGAAGTAAGCAGTGGGGTGCCACAAGGTTCCGTCTTAAGCCCAGTACTCTTCAATATCTTCATGAACCACTTAGATGAGGGAATAGAAGGGGAATTTACCAGAGATGGGATTCAAATCCTGGTGCTACCAGTTTGCTATTGGAAGTGCATGGGCGCATGCACTCACTTCGCAAGCATGTGGCGCTTCTGCGCATGCACAGTGCATTTTT